CGCTACCACCTCCGTCCGGCTTCCCGCGCTGCCCTCGCTGCTGATTCAGCTTCGTCGGTGCAGCGTAGTTTGCGTGCGGAAGGAGCTCCGTGGGCTGTTCGGCCTCCTGCATCGCCTCGTCTTGAAGGATGTAGCTGGTGATGGAGTCCTCGTCGAGGGATTCACGCGTGCCGGGCACCATCATCATCCTCTTCATGAGGTTATAGTCACGCGGCAGGCCCTTGACGATGTGGGTGATGTAGGACGCCGTCGAGTATTCGGCGCCCGCCATCCGCATCTCAGCCAGGATCCGTCGAGCATGGTTGCAGTAGTCCGTCGCCGACTCCTGCTCGGTGTCATCTTCTCCTCTGGCTGTCCGATGTACAGGTCGTCCCTGACCTGGTACGTCGACAGGATGAAGTGCCATGCCTGGTGACCAGTATCAAGTCGCTCTCGACAGCTCCTGAGCGCCAGCTGCACCACCGGCGAGCAGCACCTCGAGATGACCATGAAGGTGAGCAAGTGAGCCGCACGAAACTCCCCGCGCAGCTCGACATCGTCCACGGGAGGAATTGGCACTGTGCCGTCGGCGAAGCCCTTCAGCCCGGGGACCTCCAGCTGAGGTTCTATCGACTCCCTCCAGGTGATGAGGTCCCGTCGACCTTGCAGCGGTGCGACGGTGATCCGGTCCTGCGAGAACTTGAAGTAGCCATACGCCGGTGCAATCCCGCCCGCCGTCACATGCGTCGTCGCCGAGAGCCCTCCACCGCTTCGTAGAGGAGAGCGACGTCGACCATCGACGTCGGCACGCGAGCTGCCTGCAGCCGCCGTCGACCGCTGCACTCGCGCCTGAATCCTGTCGACGCCACCGTCGACCTTGATCACCCCTCTCTGCTTCGTGCCATCGTTGCCGCTGACTCGTGCACCGCCGTCGACCTCGTCGTCGACGCCACCTTCGTTTCGCACCGGTCGAGGAGATGCAGGACGGGAAGGGTGTTCCGTCGCCCACTGCGCCCGGATGCCCAACTCGACGATCTCCAAGGGGATCGTCCCGTACTCGTTATCTGCATGGCGTTTCCTCGCATCAGTCAAGCGTGCCTCCAAGGTGTCCTCTACCGCGCCAGCCGTTGGCAAGGTAGGCGTCATGGTTGCACGTACTGCCGGCCTACGAACGACTTAGTGGGTGCAAAAGTCGGCTCCTATCTGAAGGACGCGTGTTCGTTCCACGCTCACCGCACCATCCGAAGAGTCACTCGACAAAGGTAGTGAGCTAGACTACGGGGGGGGGGTTGGCACGAACTACTAGGAGTGATCGTAGCTTTGCTAGTTCCTTAGCACTTGCACATTTACGGGGAAAATCGGCAAGAGTTTTACTAGGCAAAATTCACATTACATAATAATAGAACAAGCAATGACAGAATTGACTACATAAGGCACCTAGCAACCCTGCAGCTAGCCTGGTCGACCGCCAGCACAGCTTGGTCGACCGCCTGCCAGCGTTGCGTAGAGGAGCCGTGCCAACACTGCAGAAGGGCGACCTGCCAACACTGCAGGTCGACGGCGTGCCAACGCTGCAGCAAAGCGGCTGTCCAGCGTTGCCCCGTAGAAGACAGCAGTGCGCACGCTCGCAGGTGCGCGCAGACGATTGGCCCGACTTGCACCGTTGTGAATCCGTCGGCTGTTGTCTGCGCCTGACGAGCCACATCGAACAGGTTACCCGGTCGACCTGGTCGACCACCAAGTGCTCCGGTCGACCACCAGTGCTTCTGGTCGACCACTGGGTCCCTCTGGTTGACCACCAGGTCCCTCTGGTCGACCACAGCTCCCGTCGAGCTACCCCCTGGTCGACGGACCCCTTCCGTCGACCAGAACTGTCAGCTGTTGTCGCCGAGCTCCCCTCGTCGACCGCTGCTCACTTGTCAGGTCGACGGACTACTCCGTCGACCTCCCGGTCGAACTACAGGTCGACGGACTGCTCCGTCGACCTCCCGGTCGAACTGCCCCTCCTGGTCGACGGCCCACCCGTCGCCCAGACCAGTCAGTTGCAGCTGTCGAGCTCCCTGGTCGACAGCAACACCACAGCGGTCCCCAGCAGCTCGACCAAGCCTGTCGAGCAGCTCTCCCACAGTGAACGGTCGGCTGCTACTCCCGTACATCCGACCAATTCGTCGGCGTTGCCCAAGCGAGGGCGGGGCCAACACTCCATTCCCGTTAACATGTTCCTCGAGAAATTGCTTGTGAAGTTCATCTCACGGTCACTGATGATCGCCGCTCGTATTCCATGCAGACGAACGACGGTGGCGATGAAGAGTCAGGCTGTTTCTTCGGCTGAGATTGACTTTTTGCAGGCTGCAAAATGTGCCTTTTTTTTTGCAGCTCAACCTCATGACTACATATCCCCCTTAGAGTGATATATGAAGACAATTTGTCCCTGCTGCAATGTAATGGCCCGTGAGTTTGGAAACAAAATGGCATTGACCACTGCTGTCCGAGAACACAAACATTTGCAAAATTCTCCACCCTCCACGGTATTGGAGAATACCATTCGCTATCGCAACATTCTGCAAATATATACACATTACTGTCACCATTCACCATGTCCTATGCTCATGCCTTCGCTTCGCACGTCCCATTTTGTCTTTATGTACCTCCTCGATAGTGCGGTTATGGTTTACTTACTGAAGAAAATCCATAGCATAACTTTCTCAACAATACCATAAATTAGGAATGGATGCATACAATGTTAAAGTGAAAGGCCCCGCCCTCGCTTGGGTGCAGGCTTCCTCGGCGCCGACATCGTGAATTCGACGAAGTGGTCGTCGTATGGGCCTTCGCTGTTAGACGTCAGAGGTTGTCGAAAAGGCCCTGCCTTGTTCGACGAGATTTCGTAGTCGACGAAGGACCTTGCTGGTTGACAAGAATGGTCGTCGACAAGCCCGCGCTCTGATCGGCCAGCCCGTCGACGAACTCTGATCGACGGGGTGCTTTTCGACAAGCCAGTCCTCTGATTAACGGGGTGTTGTTCGACGAGCTCGTCGTCTGATCGAGGGGCGCTGTTCGGCGAGCCTCGTATCGGCGAACTGGTCGCCCGAATTCGCTCGATTGTGAAACTCTGTCAGGGTGTGCGAATTTCGTCCATGATGTTTTGGCAAAGTCGACCTGCGGAACGGCATCACGTGCTCGACGGTGCACATTTGGCGAAACCGTCGACAAGTTTTCTACATGGCACCTGCGCAATGTGCCTGACGGTGCAACCGTCGACCTGCACCTACTTGGTAGGTGCGCACATGCGCGCACATGCTCACCTGCGACTGCAGCGTTGACACGTCGACCTTGTGCTACGCTGGCAGACCGTCCTGCTGCAGCGTTGGCTGGTCGCCCTTCAGAATGCTTGGTAGGTGTTGCACTGTCTTCCTTGCTATATCGACTTGCATGCCTCATTGTAATCATTTGTTGTTCTCTTTTGCTAGTGAAACTCTTGCCAATCTTCTATGTGAGCACAGCAAGTAGTGAGAACGCTAGTAGAACGCAACGATCACCCGCATAGCCCCGTGCCCTCCTCCGTAGTCCACTCCCGTTGTAGAGTGACTCTCCGCATACACTATACAATACAGGGACCAATTACGGTAGGAGTGTTACCGTGTTACCCCGGATAGATGTTGAGAAGTGAAACATCGGAATGGAGTGAACTAGCAAGGGTTGGGTACAAGTAGCAAACCCTAACAAAGCTGTACTCCCTACAGCATGCCTAACTACAGCGTATCAACAAATATAGCAACAGACAATAGAAGCGCAGGCCTATTATATGTGCATGCACTTCTATCCGGAGCACTGCGCTTATGGCCGGACCTCGATTGAAAGCGCACCCCCCTAGAAAAAACGTGATTTGGTATACGCGCATGTTTATTTCTAAATTTGAAAATATGTCAAATTACGATAACAAGTTTTACCTTAGCATCCAAATTCGATTCTCTTCATGCTCAACACAGTCACTGGCTCCGCGTCCAGTCATCATTTGCTGTTAGGGGTGCCTACTGACTCACATTGAATGTATTTGCTGGCTGGGAATCTTTCCTTGTCAACTTGCGGAAGTTTTTCATTCATGACCCCATGTCAATTCGACTCTGAATTGACAAGGACGAGATATACAATTTGGTGCTACAATATTATAAATATATATTTGCCATTCTATAAGCGCATGCGCTTATACATTATACTCAATTAGAAGCGCACCCCCTGAAAAACGCGTTTAATTATAAGCACATGTGCGCTTCTATCCGGTCCAGGGTAACACGGCCAAAGCAGTGCAGGCTCCTACACTACACAGGAAAAAGTGAGTAATCAAGCGCTGTTGACATGGTTTTGATAGTCACATGGGCTTGCCGAAGAAGCTTCTGTTACGAATAGTGAAAGATGAAACATTACTGTGCACTCTTGACAGTAGCAATCGAAGCACGCAGTACCGAAGCTGAAGACAAAAGGGCGGAAGTGACGCGAAGGGTTATACAGTTACGAAGCATCTGGACCGTCAAGGCAGACAGCATCATGCAGCAGCAGTGGCGAGGATTCTGCCCCGTCAGTTTCGTAACCGCCTGGAGTCGCACGGTTGGGTTTCGCTGCAATAAGGGAATGTACCCCTTAGAGTACATGGCTAGCCTAGGTCGATTCGTATTCCCTTGTACTCTTATTTATATTCCTGTATTTGCATGTTTTAATTATCTCAATCATCTTACATCCACTCTGAATTGAGGTCAAGGGTCCACCACCACTACTCAGTCGTGTGCGAACCTTCCTGAGGTAATCCTAGGGACGATCAAATTCTGATCGCAGCAGCTTCAACGAAGATCAGTTGATATTTCTAAGTGGGGCTTCCAGAGCCTTCTGGTATCAACTCAAGTGTAGCCGATGTGGCCACTCTAAGAACCGCTCTCTCCAGAAGAGCTGCAGAGGACTGGGATAGTCCGAGGTCCTGCAAAGAGAAGAGAAGAATCGGAGGGGCACCCGTTAGCACGAAGGATAAGATGGTTACACTGTTACGTGAGATGAAGTAGCTTGAGAAAGGCATTGCAGCGTCAGGGAGAGGGAGGGCAGGGACAGGGAGGATGGAGTGGGGTGTGGGCAGTGGGGAGGGATAGAGAGACTCACTGGACTGTGTATAAGATCCAACAGTGCTGCTTTCTGCTGCTCAGTCATTGGCTTGGGCTTGAGTGGTGTTGCTCCTGCTGCAGCTGCTGCAGTTGCTGCTGCCCCTCCTTCAACCATCCCTTCTCCTACGCTGTGGATTGCTGGTGCAGGCGCATCTGCTGCATCACCTGCAGCAGCTGCTGCTGCTACAGCCGTTTCAGCTACAGCCGTTGCAGTGTGGGTAGAAGGATGGTCGGCAGTGGCGGAGGGATGATTGGAGTGGGTGAGAGACCAGATGCGATGGAGAGCAAGGGAGAATGGAGAGTGGGGTCGATGGGGGCTTGAAGAACCTGCACCCGTGTGCTTCGGTGCTTGGCTCGCAGGGTTTGAAGTGTGCAAGTCTGAAGGTAAGGCGTTTCCATTGGAATCAGGTGGAGAGTAGGATGGACCTGCTTTGCGCTGGAGAGAGGGAGGCTGGTTGTGAGTCTGAGGAAGTGAGCTGGGAGAGGGGGAGAGCGAGGGGGAGTGTGGGTTTGATGGGGAGAAGGGGGAGAAGAGGGATGCTAGAGTTGATGCTGGTGATGCAGGTCGTCTTCCTGGCTTTCCAGGAGTCCTTTCAGGCGTTTCTTCAGGTGCTTTTTCAGCTGTTTCACCAACAGAGGAAGCTGATTCTGGAGCTGCTGTTGCTGCTGCTGCCCCAGATGCTGCAGGCTTGGCATTGGCTGGTTTTCCCATGGTGGGGCGAGATTTTGTGGGGCTGAAGAAACGGAATGGGGAGAGTGAGCGAGGGCGAGAGGATTTTTGGGAGGAAACGGAAGAGGAGGAGGAGGAGGAGGAGGAGGAGGAGGAGGAGGAGGAGGAGGAGGAGGAGGAGGAGGAGGAGGAGGAGGAGGAGGAGGAGGAGGAGGAGGAAGAGGAGGAGGAGGAGGGTGTGGGCTGAGAGGAAGGAGAAGCAGGAGTGTCAGAGGCAATGCTGGTACCAGAAACGGAGCTGACATTGGGTGCAGCAGCAGAAGGTGTATCAGCAGCAGAACCAGCAGCGGCTGCAGCATCAGCTGAACCAGTAGCAGCCGCACCAGCAACAGAATCAGTATCACCACTGCGAGCCGTAGCCAGCGAGAGTGGATCAGAAGTAGCAGCAGGAGCAGCGGGAACAGCAGGAGCAACAGGAGAAGCAGGAGCAGCAGCAGCAGCAGGAGCAGCAGGAGCAGCAGGAGCAGCAGGAGCAGCGGGAACAGCAGGAGCAACAGGAGCAGCAGAAGCAGCAGCAGCAGCAGCAGCAGCAGCAGCAGCTGTAGTGGCAGGCAGCAGTCTTGCGACAGCGGAAGAGAAAGAGGTGGTGGAGAGAGGGGAGGAGAAAGACGGATGAGAGGGAGGAATAGGAGGAGGAGGAGTGGTAGAAGGAGGAGGGGGGGATGGAATAATCTTAAGGAGGAGGAGAGGGGCGGTAGGCGTTACCAAGGGGCTCTTGGCAGGGGATGCTAAGGGGGAGGATGGCACAGGGGATGCTAGAGGGGATGTTGGGGATCGTTGCTCCTTCAAAATCAAACCCAGATTTCTCTCCTCTTTGATCGGTGTGAGAGCAGTCCAGCTCACAGACCTGCCTCGTTCCATGCTGCCTTGGAACTTCGATTCTTCCGAATCTAAACCAGATCGTTCCACGCTACCTTGGGACTTCGATTCTTGAGAATCTATACCCAATCCTTCCTCTTCCTGGATGGGAGAGAGGGTGGTCCACCTCACAGATGTGACTCGCGGCTTCCTGGTGGGCGGCTCGCTAAGCAGAGCGAAGGGGGGACGACGCGTTGAAAACTGAGGGGTGGTAGCAGCTGCTTTAAAAACAGCCTGTTGCTGAGACGCCTCAGTAACGGTATTGGCTGTTTCGCCAGAAACAGAAGCAAGTGTGCTTGTTCCTGCTACAGCTGCAGCAGCTTTAAAAGCAGCCTGTTTCTGAGGCGCGTCATGAACAGTACTGGCCACTTCATCAGAAACAGAAGCTACTGTGTTCGGTCCTGCTCCAGAAGCAGCAGGAGATATCGAAGCAGCAGCATCAGATGGATCCATTTCTCTGCACTGCACATCTCCTTCCGTTGCACCACTTCCTTCCATTCCTCCACTTCCTCCCTCCCTTCCATTCCCCCCTCCCAAGCCCTTCGTGCCTTTTGCCTCACGTCCCATCTCTTCACTTGCTTTTCCAGTCAAATCAGAAGTCAGCTTGTTAGGGTCCTCCTCTTTTGACTTGCCCTGCGTCTCATGCTGCATCCCCTCACCAGCCTCCTTCTCTTTGGGTGTCTCAGAGTTCTCTGCTGCCTCGACGGTTTCTACGACCCCTGAATCTCCATCGGCTTCATTCCTTTCAGCTTCCTCTCCCACTGCAGCATGAGCATCACTTGGTGATTCAGCACCACTTGGTGAGTCAGCTGCAGTTGGCGAGTCAGCACCACGTGGCCAGTCAGCGTCAGCGCCACTTGGCGAGTAAGCATTGATTGGCGAGTCAGTGTCAGCTCTTGAGTCAGCACCACTTGGTGAGTCAGCACCACTTGGCGAGTCAGCATCACTTAGCAGCGACGCAGGAGATGACGACAGGTCAGCAACCCAGGACACATCAGCAGCAGCATCAGGCGCAGCAATGACATCATCAGCGACATCACGAGCAACCGCTTCAGTGCCAGAAACAGCTGCAGCTGCAAAAACAGCTGCAGAAGCAGAAGATGCAGCAGCAGCTGCAGCCGCAGCAGCAGGAACAGAACCACCAGCAGCACTTGCTGCTGCTAACTTAGCAGTAGAACCAGCAGGGGTAGCAGAAGCACCACCCAGAGCACTTGTACCAGTGCCATTGCTCCCCCCGTTAGCAGCACACCCCAGCCACCCCCGCAGCCTGCTTGTCTCCTCCGCCAGCTGGCGCATCGCCATTCGCTGCTGCTGCAGCCGGTTCCGGAGGTTCTGCAGGCTGTGCAGGCTGTGCTGCGTGGCCACACGGGCGGCTAGGGCGGGTGAAAGGGGGAGAGAGGAGGGTGGTGGTGGTGGTGAAGTGTTGTGCAGGCTGTGTTGGGTTGCCACGCGGGCAGCTAGGGCGGGGGAGAGGGGGAGGGAGGGGGGTTGTGATCTGGGGGTGAGGGCGAGTGAGGGGGGTGGTGGTGTGGTGGAGGTGACGAGGGAGGGAGGTGGTGGTGAGGGGCTGTGCAGGCTGTGTTGAATGGTCACGCGGGTGGCAGGCGCAGGAGAGAGGGGGAGGGAAGTGGGCAGGGCAGGGGAGAGGGTGAGTGAGGGAGTGGCGAGGGAGGGTGGTGGTGGTGAGGGGCTGTGCAGGCTGTGTTGAGTGGCCACGTGGGCAGCTAGAGCAGGGGAGATTGTGAGAGAAGGAGGTGGGGTGGGGGAGCGGGTGAGGGAGAGGGGTGGTGGTGTGGGGGTGACGAGGGACGGAGGTGGGTCAGGAGAAGCAAGGGCGAGAGTGAGAGAAAGGGAAAGTGTGGAGGAGGAGGGGGAGGTGGAAGGCTGAGGGGAGAGGCACGAGGATAGAGGTGGTGTGACTGTTCTTTCTGAAACGCCTGATGCTGCTGATCTTGTGTTTGCATTGCTTCTCTCTAAAAGGACTGGTACACCATCCTTTGCTTGACATTCCAATGTTCCTGCATCACCGAAATCGAAACCACTCTCCTCCTCACCACCTGATTCTTCTCTTTCTTCCTCTCCTTCAGCTGGCGCTGTGCTTTCCTGCAGCCTTGCCCACTCACACCGTGCCATTCTCTCTGCACTCTCCTCTTCCGCATCGTTTCTCTCACACTTCTTCTCATCCTCCTCCTTCTCCTCCTCCTTCACTTCCTCCAAAAAGCTTGCTCCCCCAACCTCTACTTTCACATTTTCCTCCCCTCCCTTCTCCCCTTCTCCCCCCTCCTCCTCCTGCCCATCCGGCCTCTCCTCATCTTCCTCCTCGCTTTCCCCCTTTACCTCCTCTTCACTTCTCTCCCCTTCACCTCCCTCCTCCTCAACAGTTGTCCCTTCTTCTATCTCCAATGATACTGCTACAGCCGGCCCATCGGTCTCAAACTCTGCAGGGAAACCCGCTGCTACATCCCTGCAAGAGGTTACAGCTGCAGGGGGGATTTCCTCTGCTACAGCCGGCCCATCTGTCTCGATAATATTTGCAGCAACGTCTGCTGCTACATCCTGGGAAGGGAAAACAGCTGTTGGAAGAGAATCCTCTGCTACAGGCGGCCCACAGGTCTCACCTCTTGCAGGGAAATCTGCTGCTGCATACTCGCAAAGGGCTACGAGTGTTGGAAGAGAATCCTCTGCTACAGCCAGCCCACAGGTCTCAGATTGTGCAGGGGAATCTGGTGCTACATCCTCGCAACATGTTTCTTGGGAAAGCTCCCCTGCTACAGCCACACTAGGGAAAAGCTCTGCTACAGGTGCTGCATTAGTAGATTCCGCTACAGCCGGTGCAGATGGAATTCCTGCTGCAGTTGTCACATGGGAGCCGCCTGCTACAGCCAGTGTGGGGGAAAGCCCTGCTACAGCCAATGCAGGGGAAAGCCCTGCTACAGCCGAGGTTGCTCCTGCTACAGCCAATGCAGGGGAAAGCCCTGCTACATCCACCACTGAAGTAGCTGTAGCTGCTGCTGCAACTGGAGATTGGATTGGCTCTGCTGCAACTCCCACCTGATCCCTCGGCATAACACCTGAAGAATCACTTCCTGCTACAGCCAGTGCAGGCGCTTCGCGAGATTCACCTGAAATTCCACCTGAGCCGGCACCTGGGCTGAGCATCTTGTGCAGGGAGGAGAGGAGACGGCGGGGCGAGGGTGGTCGAATCTTAGCAGCAGGTGGGGAGGACTGTCTAGGTGAATTCCGGGTGAAAGCAAAGAGTGAGGATTTGAGAGCAGGAGATGCAGGACGAAGTGGTGGGGTGGAAAGGGTGGTGTTGACAGGAAGGGCTGGGGGCGAGGAAGGAGAGGGTGAGATGGGGAGAGCGGAGAAAAGAGAGCCATGAGGAGGAGCAGGAGGAGGAGCAGAAGGAGGAGAAGAAGGAGGAGCAGAAGGAGGAGCAGAAGGAGTGGTAAACGGGGGTGGGATGGGATCCAAAGCGATAGCGGGTGGAGGAAGGTCTACCGGGGGAAGATTCCAGAAAGTTGTGGGTTTGGAGGAAGGACCTGCTGGGGCGGATGCAGGGAAAGGTTGAGGAGGAGGGAGATAGGCATGTGGAGGAGGGGCATGGGGAGGGTAGGGGGCATGATGAGGGGAGACGAGAGAGGCGAGTGAGGAGGCCGAGGTAGAGGGTGCATCAACAGACGCCAGAGAAGGTGACTGTGCGCCGTGCAACTCTGTTGAGTACCTTGACTGTCTGGCGCGTGGTGCTTTAGCCGATGAGGAGGAGGAGGAGGAGGAGGGAGAGAGGGTGGACTTGAGAGAGCGGAGCCAGGAGGCAGCAGCAGCTGCTGCCGCTGTTGACAAGCTCTTGGATCGCTTGGGTGTCACAGAAGATTGCCTGGGTGTACCGCTGGTGATAGTAGTATCCCCGATTGCCGAGTGCTGCTGCGGCGAGTCAGAAAGGGGCAGCTTGTGCTGCTGACGCAAGCCAAATATGGGCGCCTTGCTAGCGGTCCCCTCACTTGGGGATCTGAAGACCTTGATTATGAGGTTGCCAGTCTTGACACTTGGATTCGACAGGTAGAAGGCACTTCTGCTCGCCTTGCCAGCCGCAGCGTTATCAGCAGAAGCATCAGCAGCAGTATCAGCTTCAAGAGCATCAGCATCAGCAGAATCAGAACCAACAGTAGCGACATCGTTACCCGAATTAGCAGCAGCAACAGGAGGAGAATAGAGAGAGGGTAGCTGCGTTGGGTGCAAGCGAGGGGAGGACACGCGGATATGGCTAGGGAGACTGCTGCTGGGGGAGAGTGAGGAGGATGTGGGTTTGACTGCTGCTACTGCTGCCATCACTGCCGCTGCTGCTGCTGTTGCTCCAGCCACCACTGATTCAGCTGGGACTGCTTTCTGCTGGTCGTCGGCAGGAGTAGAGAAGATAGCAGCTATTGAATAAGCACGATCAGGCTCAGGTAGTATTTCAGGTGGGCCGTCAGGTTGCTTTTCAGGTAGGACGTCAGACTGATTGTCAGGCTGTGCCGTGGTAACTGCAGTGGCAGCGTATGATGCAGTAAGAGGGGAGGGAACAGAGTCACTGTCAGCAATGGTAGTAACCCCTTCGCACTCCTCTCTGCTTTCCACTATCTTCTTCTCCTCCCCCGTCGTTCCCAAAAAGGATATTGAAAACTCGCTCTCCTCCTCCTGATCACTTGCTGAGACACCAGCATCTTCGTGAGACGTTTCAGGTGATGCTTCAGGTGCTGGTGGAGCTTCTGGTGGTGCCTCGATTCCTCCTTCAGGTGTTTCTTCAGGTGCTTCTCCCGGTTCTGCTGCTTCAGGTTCTGCTGCTTCAGGTGCTGCCTCTTCAGGTGCTGCTTCTTCAGGTGCTGCTTCCTCACCACTCACAACAGGGAACAAGAGTGGTGCTGTGCTGATTGTGGTGAAGGAAGGTGGGGAGCGGTGGGAGGAGATATGAGTGGCTGCAGATGGGTAGGAGAGAGTGCGTGATGGGGCCTGGACCTGGGAGGAGTGAAGGGCGTGAGAGGAGTAGGGAGTGTGAGAAGAGAAGTGAGTGTGGTGGGTTGAATAGTGAGTGTGGGAGTAGTGCGTATGGGAGGAGTGAGTGTGGGAGTAGTGCGTATGGGAGGAGTGAGTGTGGGAGTAGCGAGTATGGGAAGAGGAGCGGCCGAATACACTGGCTTGGTCAGAGTTGGTTTGGACAGAGTGGGTGCGAGGAGGAGAGAAGGAGCGGAGGCGGGAGAGGGGGAGGGAGAGGCAGGAGGAGGAGGCGCAGGTGGATGGGGAGAAAGGGGTGGAGGGGAAGGAGAGGGACTGAGGGGGCGGGGAGGTGGGGGAGTGGGCAGAGGCGGAGGATGGGGAGGGAGGGGCGGAGGACGGGGAGGGAGGGGCAGAGAAAGGGGAGGGAGGGGCGGAGGAGGAAGGGGTGGAGGAAGGTGAGTGAGGGACGGAGGATGGGGAATGAGGGGCGGAGGAAGGGGAATGAGGATTGGCCGAGAAGTCAGGAGAGAGGGAAATGGCGTTTGAAAGAGCCTGCGACGTGGCTGCTGTGAGGGAAACATCTGCTGGCAGGGAGGCGTGTGATACTAACGAGGCGTGTGATACTAAGGAGGGGGACTGGAGGGCGGAGGATGGGGAGTGAGGGTCAGAGGACGAATCGGGAGAGATGGAGACGGCGATTGAAAGAGCCTGCGATGTGGCTGCTGTGAGGGAAACATCTGCTGGCAGGGAGGGGTGTGACACTAACGAGGGGGAATGTGACTCTAACGAGGGGGAGTGGAGATCGGAGGAGGGGGAGTGGAGGGCGGAAGATAATTCAGGAGAGATGGAGATGGCGTCTGAAAGAGCTTGGGATGCGGTTCCAACAAGGGAAGAATCTTCTGGCAGAATGGGATGTGCTTCTAACGAGGGGTAAGAGGGGTGTGCTTCCAGGGGGGTAAGTGGTGGGGGGGAGTTGGGTGAGTGTGGTGGGGAGGATACGACTGCTGCTGAGTTGACCAACGCAGGCGAATCTTGAACAGTTTCGGACAGCAAGTCTCCTCCTGTCTCCTCACGCAGTGCTGCATCTTGAGTCGATTCAGAGATTGCTACCTCGATTTCCGTTTGCGGTGTCGCCTTTTGAGTCCAGTCAGAAGGTACCACTCGTGTCTCCGTATGCGGTGGCTCCAGAGTCGAACGGACAGCAGCAGCTGTTACAGTAGGCGCAGCAGCAGCTGCGTTGACAGCAGTCGACTCAGATGATCCAGGAGCAGCAGCAGCAGCAGCAGAGGAGTTGACGAGAACGAGCCTTGCCTTGATTCGCCGCAGCAGTTGCTCTAACCTCTCCACCCTCTCCTCCTCCTCCTCCCACACCTGCTTCCCTCCGCTCGTTGATTCCTCCACTTCACACTCCTCTCTCTGCTCTCTCTCACTCTGCAGATGCTCTCTCCTCACTTCCTCTCTCCTCTCCTCCCTCTCTATCTCCCCTCTCCCCACTTCCTCCCTCTCGATATCCCTTCTCCCCTCTTCCTCCTTCTCTGCTTCTCTTCTTACCACCTCCTCCCTCTCCTCTTCCCCTCTCCCCACTTCCATCCTCTCCTCCTCCCGTCTCCCCACTTCCTCCCCCACTTTCTCCCCCACTTCCTCCCTCTCCTCCTCCCCTTTCCCCACTTCCATCCCCACTTCCTCCCCCAATCCCTCCCCCACTCCTTGCCTGCCCAACTGGGTCCGTATTCGCCTAAAAAGCATGTCCACCAGTCCCACCCTCTCCATCATATCCCTCGTGCCCACCATATCCTCTCCATCCGCTGCATCCCCCACACTCAACCCGGACTTCTCTATTTCGTCCACGCCCATCCCCATCATTTCATTCTCCTCCTCTCTCCACTCCGTCCTCTCCCTTTCCTTCTCATCTTCCCCTTTCTCCTCCTTCCCTCTCATATCCGAACATGGAAACTCCATTTCTCCATCGCCGTTGGTATATATACAGTTCTGAGACGTCTCAAACCTTCTTACCGCAAACTCATCTCCCTTTCCTGCTTCACTCCCTTCTACGACCCCTCCTCCTGCTCTCTCCCTTCCATCGCTTCCAGCATCATCAGCACCCTCAAAAGCAAAAACCTCTGGACAGAGGACAGTCGATTGATCTAACAGCACCTCTTTCTCGTTATTATCATCGTCGGCACACTCGCAATCCTTCTCAGACGCCTCAAAGAATACTTGTTCGCTGCTGAACGGGCTTTCAAACCCCTCCCGAGCCGAATCAGACAAATCTTCGGCAGAAGCAAAGTCAGCAGGGCTTGCAAACCCCTCCCGAGCTAAATCAAACAATTCCGAGGCAGCAGCACAGTCAGCAGGGCTAGCAAACCCCTCTTGAGTCGACTCGAAGGGCCCCTGTTCAGAATCAACCTCTGCCGCTGCATAGCCTGCAGTGAACTCAGCTGCCACTGCCACTACTACTGCTGCTTCATAGTCAGCAGGGCTTGCAAACCCCTCTTGAGTCGACTCAAAGGACCCCTGTTCAGAATCAATGGGACTCTCAGTAGCAACCTCTGCTGCTGCATACCCTGCAGTGAGCTGATCAGCTGCCATTGCCACCACTGCTGCTGCTGGAGATTCTGCTCCTACTGGCGCTTCTGCTCCTACTCTTGCTGCTTCTGCTTCGACTCCTTCCGAATCGCTGGGAATCTCAGTAGTAGCAACCTCTGCCGCTGCATAATCTGCAGTGAGTTGGTCACCGGCTGTTGCCGCTACTGCTGCTTCTGCTGCTCCTTCTCCTCCTGCTGCTCCTGCCGTTGAGTTCCCATCGGCTCCTTCTCTCACTTCTGCTCCTGCTACTACAGAGCAGCTCGCTTCTGTTCCTTCAAAATTTTCTGCTGCTGCTTCTGCTCCTGCTGCTTCTGCTTCTGCTTCTGCTCCTGCTGCTTCTGCTTCTGCTTCTGCTCCTGCTGCTTCTGCTTCTGCTTCTGCTCCTGCTGCTTCCGCTTCTGCTCCCGCTGCTTCCTCTTCTGCTCCCGCTGCTTCCGCTTCTGCTTCCGCTGCTTCCTCTTCTGCTCCCGCTGCTTCCGATTCTGCTCCTGCTGCTTCCTCTTCTGCTCCTGCTGCTTCTGCTTCTGCTCCTACTTCTGTTCCTGCTGCTTCCGCTTCCGCTCCTGCTTCTGCTTCAGCTGCCGTTGCTGCTGGTGATGCTTCTTCTGCTGCTTCTGCTACTCCTGCTCTTGCTGCCCTTTCTGCTGTCTCTCCTGCTGCGGCTGCTGCCTCTGATTGTGTCTCTGCTGCTTCATCTGCCTCTCCACCTGTCCTTTCAAGTCCTGTAGTCAATGAACAGCCGACTGCATCAGCTGTCTCTGCAGTCTGTTCTGCGGCTTGTTTGCTCTCAACTGCGACAGCTGCTTCTGATTCCACCTCTGCCGCTTCGTCTGCCTCGCATTGGAGTATACCCGCGCTTTCAAGTCCTGTTGTCAACAAACATTTGTCTGCATCAGCTGTCGCTACTGCCTCTACTCTCTCAACATCTGACACTTCTCCCGCTCTCACCTCTGCTACTGCCCCTGACGCTGCCACTCCCTCATGCTGCCTACAGAACAGCGACTTCTCTCCTTTTTCCTGCGAAACCTCTTCATCTGCCCTTCTCTCACCCTCCTTATTCTCCTCCCTCCCTTCTTCTTCCTTCTCCTCTTCTTCAACCCCATCCTCTCTCTCACAACCGCCATCCTCCTCCTCCCCATCCTCCCCTTCCTCCCCTCCATCCCCATTCCCACTTCCCACTCCACCATTCCCCTCTTCATCACTCTCCCCTCCATCACCCTCCTCCCCATCATTCCCCACTCCGCCTGCCCCACCTGCTCCCCCTTCTCCCCCTGCTCCCCCTTCCCCGCCTTTTCCATTGCTCTCTCCGCTCCCACTTCTGCCCTCACCTCCCTCTCCTCCCTCCCTACCACTCCCTTCCCTTTCTTCCCCCTCCCACGGTTCCCCCTCCATCTCTTCCTCCTCCCTCTCTTCCCCGTCCTCGTCTTTCCCCTCCAACGCCTGTGAAGGCCCAACTTGGCATCCCCCCCGCGCTAGAGACAGCGGCAGCAGCTGCTGAGGCACCTCAAACGTTTCACCCTGCCTTTGAAACATCTCATGAGGAGAAACGCAGCCGTTCACAGGCCCAACTTCACGTCCTCCCCGCGCCATGGACAGGGGCAGCAGCTGCTGAGATGTTCCCAACCGAGCAGCACCGGAGTCCACACCAACCGCAACCTCACATCCCTCCCTCGCCATGGCCAGGGGCAGCTGCTGCAGCGCTTCAAAGAAAGGACTCTGAGTCTGCATTGGAGATGTTTCCAAAGGAGCAGCGCCGGCGGCGTTCATACGCCCAGCTTCACATCCCCCCCGTGCCATAGCCAGGGGCAGCAGAACCAAACCGTCTTCACTTGACCCCCTCTCACGCAACCAGGGAGACTGGTGAGCAAACTCCTCCTCCTCCCTGCCCTCGCTTCCCAGGCCCTCAGACACAGCAGCCGGAGCTGTCGCAAGTGACACGGCAAGGTGATGGGTGGTGTGCCGGGTGTTGTGGAAGAGAAGGGTGTTTCTCACCGTGCCGTGCTGGTGGGGCAGTGTCAGGCCGTTTCTTTTCCGCTTGTGCCCTGTTAGGGGCCCAGAGAGGGGGCGGTAGGGAGATGCTGCCCCTGATGCAGCCTCTGATGCTGCTGCCACTGCTACAACAGGTCCAGAGAATGGCCGCCAATGCAGCACCAGACGACCTCCTCTTGTGTGCGTTGCTGCTGCCCCTGATGGTAGCTCGGCTGGTGGTTTTGCTGTTAGTTCGGCTGGTGGTTCTGGTGCTGGCTCGGCTGTAGGTCCTGCTGTTGGCTCTGTTGCTGCAGGCTTTGCTGCTCCCGGCCCTGCTGCCAACTCTGCTGCTGGAGGTGTTGCTGCCAACGCTGCTGCTACAGTTGCTGCTGGAGGCTCTGCTGATCCTTGCTCTACTGCTGCTGCTGCTGCTCCACCTACCAGCAGACCTCCTCCCGTAGACTCTAAGCCCATCTGCCTCTCTTCCCATTTCTCCCGACTAGACGACAATCCAACCCCAGCAGCCCCCAGTAACGCTGTGAGCGTTATTATGTCCAGAATCGGCGAATCACCGCTTGCCAGCTCAGCCTCTCCTTCCATCTCCAGCCATTCGTGCACCAGGCTATGAAGATCCTTACACCCCCCTTTTTCCTCCTCTTCCTTCCCCATCCCCCACTGTCTCCCCCCGTTCCCCTCCTCTCGCTCCTCCACTTCCTCTCCCTCCTCTCCCTCAATCAGTCCAACTAACCCCTTACTCCTCACTGACCGTTCCCCCCGACTTCGCTTGCTTCTCACCCGGCTGCTCCCCTTCCTTCTCCCAATCGAGCCCTCCACAAGCCTGCTCTCGTGTCGACGGGCTTCACAATCCTGCTGACTGCGAGACTGCTGTAGCGAGACCAGCATCGCAAGAAGATTGTTTCTGCTCCCCACGAAGCTGCTCCCCTCGATGCTGCTCCCCCCAGTGCTCCTCCCCTCACCAGCCCTGCTGCTGCTTGTACCCAAGTCACGTGCCCTTCGTCCCTTGCCCAACTCCCCACCGCCCCTGCTCTTGCTCTTGCTCAATTCCCCACCACCCCTACTCTTGCTCTGGCTCAAATCCCCACTACCCCTGCTCTTGCTACCTCTACCGAACCACCCCTTGCCACTGCCTATGCTCCCAGCCTTGCCTGGGCTCCTGTGGCTACTTCCTCCCTTGCCGCTGCTAGCATGGCTGCGTCTGTCACTAGAACTCTTGGGTCTGCTGTTTCCGCTGCTGCTGCTGCTGCTGCTGCTGTTGCCATCCTGCCTGTTGCTGCCACTGCTGCCATTCTGCCCGGTGCTACTCCTGCTTCTGCTGCCGCTATGCCTGCTGCTACCATTCCGCGTGCTGCAAATGGGGAAGCTACTGCTCTGGCCCATGCTGCTGCCAAGGCCGGCCCCATCCGCCCTACTGGCGGCCCCACTACTGCTAAAGCGAGCATTGGTGTCCGCTTCCTCACACAGCATACCCAGCTCAGCCAAGCTCTTCGTTTCCATCCTCCGTTCCTCCACACTCCCCTGATTCAAAACACCCCCAAGCTCACTCACACTCCTCCCAGGATCTCCCTTCGTCTCCTCTCCTCTTCCTCGCTCCTCAGCATCTCTCTGTCTCAACAGCCCCACGCCCCAGCCGTAACTAGAGGCTTGAGACGCCTCACCACTCGAGCTGGCCCCACCGTGTTGACTCGAATCCTCGCTTCCTCCGTGCTTCAGGGCGTCGTCAAGCCTCAGAAGCCCCACGCCCCACCCGTAGCTTACTCCTTCTGTTGCGGGCCCGCCCAGAACTCTCCTCCCTGGCGACAGACCCTGATTTTCTTTCTCGTTTTGTGAAGGGGCACATCCAGCAGAATTACACCTGGCAGAGCCACACCTCGCAGAGTCACACCTGGCAGAGCCACACCTGGCAGAGTCACACCTGGCAGAGTCACACCTGGAAGAGTCACATCTGGCAGTGTCACACCTGGCAGTGTCACATCTGGCAGTGTCACACTCAGCAGTGGCACACCCAACAGTGCCATACCTGCTGCCGCCTCTGAGCCTCAGAGCCCCATGCCATGCCGCGTGGTTCCTCTCTTCGTCCAGAGCGTTCGGAGGCAAGCTAAACTCGCTGAAGCTGCTCACCCTGCTGCTGCCCACTGCCATGCCCGACCCTGCCGACCTCCACCCAGCTGTAGCAGCACTGGCAGGAACGCTGCTACAGCCGGAGCCTGCCGACCTGCACCCGGCTGTAGCAGCACTGGCAGGAACGCTGCTACAGCCGGAGCCTGCCGACCTGCACCCGGCTGTAGCAGCACTGGCAGGAACGCTGCTACAGCCGGAGCCTGCCGACCTGCACCCGGCTGTAGCGGCTGCAGCAGCTTGGAAACGCCCTGCTGAGGAATGTGCTGCTCTTTGCGGTGCAGGCAGGGCGGGAGAAAGGGTCGACGAGGAAGGACTGTAAGGCGTTTTGGAGGATAGAGAGCGATTTGAGGGCGATATTGGGCGGTACAGGGAGAAAGGGCGGTTTAACGAGTGGGCGGTGGAAGCGGGGGTGTTGAGGAAGGAGTGTGGGAGCGGGGGGAGGGCTGGGGTGGTAAAGCGAGAGGGATGGTTGGAGGACGAAGGGGTGGTTTCGGCAGAGAATGGGGGAAGATGGAAGGGGAAGGGAAAGGGGAAGGGAAAGGGGAAAAGGGAAGGATGTGCAGAAGGGGTGGGAGACTGGGACGGGGATGGGCCAGGGAGGACGGATGCTGTGGTGGTGGTGGTGGTGGTGGCAGTGGCGGCTAAGGGAGGGGAGTGAGTGAGGGGGAGTGTGGAGCAGGAGGAAGGGTGCGATGGTGACATGTACTCTAGAGACTGGCCACCAGCCTTTTCCTCTGCTTCATCCGCTTCCCCCCCTTCAGCTATTTCCTTTGCCCCATCCGCTTCCTCCCCTTCCGCTCTTTCCTCTGCTCCATCCGCTTCCTCTGCTCCATCCGCTTCCTCCGCCCCAACCCTTTGAGGCGCCTCAGGAATTTCCTGACAGACAGATCCAGGCACATTCCTCGCCAATAGCCCCTCCTCCGCCCCAACCCTTTGAAGCGCCTCAGAAATCTCTTGACAGGCAGAACCAGGCACATTCCTCGCCAATAGCCCCTCCTCCGCCCCAACCCTTTCCCCCGCTCCCTGCCTGTCCCTTTCGCCCCATTGCTCCTTCACCTCCGCTTGTCCTCCCTCAAACCTTCCCACGGAAGCGTCAACCAGCAGCTGCGGCGGCGGCTGCAGCAAAGTGAAAGCGCGCTCTCGCTCCCCTCCTCCAAACCCCACCCCTCCTCGTCCTGCCACTTCAACTGATTCTGCATGAACCATACCCGCCGACCTCACTCTCCTCATTCTCCGAGGGTGCTTCTGGTCTTGACTTACCGCCCCTGCCCTCGCCTCCACCTCCCTAACGAAATTTCCCTGTGAACTCTCCACAGCCTCCTCTGCCTTACCGAAAGTTTTTTGCAAATTCTCTAAAGCCTCCTCTTTCTTGATCTGCGGTGCGTGGACCTCACTAGCATTTATTGACCCTATCTGCATCCGCTTCCCTAGCTCGTGGCATGCGTCGTCCTCACCCTCTTTCCCTTTCACTTCCCCTTCGCCCTCTGCTATTTTAGCATCCCCTGTATGAGCATCTTCGCCAAGACTCACAACACGGTCTACACTCACGGCACCATCACCTCCTCCAGAAGTCCCCTCTATCCGCTTCATACACACTCCCTCCTCCCTCTCCTCTCCCTTTTCCTCTTCCTCTTCCTCTTTCTCCATTTCAATCCCCTCCCTCTCCTCCACCCCTTCCTCCTCCCGTCTCTGCAGCGCCAGCGCAGTTTCCAGCGCATCTATTCCCATCAGATAAATCCCTTCACCATCGGACGGCTGAGATTGAGAGACGCGGTGCGCACTATCCTGAGCCAATAAACCAGCAGCCCGAGTCAGCTGGGGGTTAGAAGGGTCGTTGGGATTTGAACCGCAGACTTCAGCTAGAAAGACTCCGCCAGCCTCCTTCTCTCCTGCTGCTGCCTCTGTCCGTGCTGCTGCTTCTGTTCCTGCCCTTGCCTCTGCCCCAGCTGATACCTCTCCCCTAGCCGTGGCCTGCTCTGCTCGCTTCCCCAACATCCCCGAATCAGCGACCCTATGTGCGCTATGCTTCTGTCCATACCCCTCTCTATACACCCCTCTGTGTTCGCTTCCGTGTGTCCGTTTCCGCGGTATTAGCTGCCCCTCCGCTGCTGATTGCTGCCCCTGCTGCGCGCAAGCCATTGTCAGCGCTTGCGCCGCGAGAGCCTCGAAGACGCTCTGAGATGGGCTGCTGTGGAAGTCGAGGAATGAAACACATAAACGGACACAGGATGCGGGGGGGAAAGGGGGGGGAGGGGGGGGGGGAGGGGGGGCGTGGGGGGTTTGGGGCCAAAATGTGAGGAAAAGAAACACACGTGACGAATGGTGGGACGGGGGAGACGGGGTGGGCGTTTCTGTTCACTTCTTTATGAATGTAGAATGTAGAATGTAGAATGTAGAATGTAGTGTACATCAAAAGGGAGGACGTATTCAGGTGTCTTACATGTGAGGCGGCTCCCATTGGTGACACACTCTTCTAGATTGGAGGTAGCTCGGCGCGTAGTGACCGTACGAGTCCTGGGCTTGCAGGTGAGAGCACCCAATGATCCCCGAGCCAGGAGGAACGAGACGTAGAGTGGGAGGAACGGACGGAGGCTCGGCGGACAGCGAGCTTCGGAGTTTGCTCAGGTTCGGCAGGCAAGGCGAAGAGTCGTGGGACGGAGAGGGGTGGGTCTTGCTGTTGGTTCGCCGAGGCGACAATTACAGTGGGTGTTGACAATTTTCCAAGAGGGAAGGAGGTGGGTATATAGTGGGGAGAAATTACCCAGGTGAGTTATCAATGTCAGTAAACCTTTGAATAAAACAGAAACACTTAATCGGTAAGTAGATGGAAGGAAGCGAGCTCTAACGAAAATGAGATCAAGCCACTTACTTTTGGACGTTAACAAGCTGTCGTATAAGAGACGCAAAGGTCGTCTTGGACACGTGGCGAGACAGGTGTTTATCTGATGCTGCGACGTCTTCTTTGCGCTCCTGCGACGACCGTCGAAAGGACGCGCTTTCGTGACGTCGCGACGAAGTGTCAGTAACATCGCTAGTAAGTGGTACTGTAGTCATTGTTAAGTGAGCTCAACAGAAGGGCTTCAGGTTAAGTTAAGAGGTAAGATACTACGAAGAGCAGTGGAGTCTTGAAGTTGGTTGCATTATTGTGAACGAAGTAGAAGCAGACCTATCTGGTTCAGTCGATAGCGACGTTAGACGAGCAGGCATATTTCAGGTTCAGTAGTTAGCGACGTTAGATGAGCAGACATATTTCAGGTTCAGTAGTTAGCGACGTTAGACGAGTACTTCACAACCTCATAAGTCGGAAGATGATATGAATATAAGTTAGGCTGAACTATAAGCGGTTGACGCACCGCTTACGCAGGAACGTTGGCGTGAAATGCTACAGGACTAAGACACCCAGGCTGCACTAGAAGCTCAAGAAAGCAGCTGGGAACTTTTGATGCTCCTACGTAGTGCTTCTAAAACTGACATCTTGGAAACACCCACGGAAATCAGCCTTCGGAATCACCTTGCTCAGGAGGAAGAGCAACAGCAGCAGTCACTGGTGCTCCTCGCAATGTTGCGCTGTTCTGGAGTTCCCAAGACCGGAAAGGTTCGGAGCCTAGAGACTCCCACAAAATGTTCCAAACCTGGAATTCAGGCTTGAAAAGAGGCGCCAAAGCTGCAAAGGTTCGTTAGGCTGCTTCTGATTCGTTGAGAGGTGATGTAGCGATTTGTTACCATGGGAAGTGCCCACGATTGACTGCTGATCGCAGCCGCAACAGGTCTGCGGGCAGTTGTTGCAGGCGAGGGATGAGTAGTGGTTACTCTATTCTTGCATTGAGAATTCGCGAAAGTCCGTTGTACTCGCATTTGTCGGTCGTGCCAAAATGTCCTGCGAGGATTCGTCGCAACCGATTCGCGAAGGAACTTGGTCTGCCGTGCACCCCCACCAAAGAGGAGCAGGCCACGTCGCTTGGCTGTGGGTTTGGTCGGAACCTCGTACGAAGCGCCCAGGCCTGCACGAGCCGACAACAAGGTGGCATTCACCATTCGAGCTACTTCGGTTCTGTACACATTGTTCGCATTTTATTGCACTAATTGAGTTTCTGGATGTAACTGGACAACAGGTAAGTGAAAAAATATTATCTGCATCAATATAAACTACTCCTCAGCTAGCTCTGCCAACTCGAGCCACCTATCTGATTTCGCCTCTATAGCCTGTCCCAACGCAGCGAGCTCATCGGACAACCCCTGGAGCATTGCAAAATCTCCAGCCTTGCTCTTCTCCTCAAGCCGTGCCTCAACCACCACCTTTTTCTTCTCCAACTTCTCAATCTCCTGCTCCAACCGCTCCCACTCCTTCCTCTCCATATAAGACATTTTCCGAGCCGACTTCCCTTTCGCCTTACCCCCACCCGAACCCGCTCCCTCCTCCTCCTTCCTCCACTCCTCAGCCATGCTCTTCGCTTCAGCCTCCTTCCTCCTTTCCTCCTCCGCAACCCTCTCTTTCTCCTCCGCTTTCTGCTCCTGTGCGTCAGCAAGGTATTCCGAAAACAGCCCATCATAGAGCAACACCTGTCCGTCCCCTTGCAGCACGAACTGGCGGTCAACCACGGCATCCATGAATGCACGGTCGTGGGAGGCAACCAGCAGACAGCCCTCGTAGGCCGATAGGAAGGACTCGAGGGCCTGGGGGACAAGGGGAGAAGCAGGGGAACAGGAAGGGGTACAAGGCGTTGAATGGTCCATCGCCTTGTAGCACGAACTGGCGATCAACCACGGCATCCATGAATGCACGGTCGTGGGAGGCAACGAGCAGACAACCCTCGTACGCCGAGAGGAAGGACTCCAAGGCCTGGAAGAGAAGGAGAGAGGCAGGGGAAGCGGAAGGCAGAGGGAGGGGAACAAACTGGCGATCGACCACGAGAGGAAGGACTCCAGAGCCTGGAGAAGGGGAGAAGCAGAGGGAGGAAAAGTGGGACATCACATCAGCCTCTCCACTCCACTCAGCACCACGGTTTCCATGAATGCACGGTCGTGAGAGGCAACGAGCAGACAGCCCTCGTATGCTGAGAGGAAGGACTCGAGGGCCTGGAAGAGAAGGAGAGAAGCAGAGGGAGGAAAAGTGGGACATCAGCCTCTCCACTCCACTCAGCACCATTGCACCACAGCATAAGGAACTTCAACGCTGTGCCAACCCTGCTGCCTAAAACCAAGCACACACACGGTTCAAGAGTAGCACACTTGAAACACATAACAAGTTCCTTGATAGACTCTAAGTCCAGGTCGTTGGTGGGTTCGTTCTGCATGAGGAAGTTGGGTTGCTGCGCCAACACAGGTGGAATGGACACAGGCTCACCTTGAGTAAGCAGCAGCATTGCCTGTGCACAACAAGAAGGCGCACCTCAATGGTCTGCAGGTCCAGGTCGTTGGTGGGCTCGTTCTGCATGAGGAAGTTGGGTCGCTGCGCCAACACCGCTGTCTTGAGCACACGCACACACTTACTTCAAGCAAAGCACACTTGCAACAAGAGGCACACACCTCAATGGTCTGCAGGTCCAGGTCGTTGGTGGGTTCATCCAGCATCAGGAAGTTTGGAAGCTGCGCCAACACAGGTGTGTTGAACACAGGCAGACATACACACTGGTTCACCAGCATACCTAGAGTAAGCAGCAGCATTGACTGTGCTAGAAGGAAGGCGCACCTCAATGGTCTGCAAGTCCAGGTCGTTGGTGGGCTCATCCAGCATGAGGAAGTTGGGTCGCTGCGCCAACACTGCCGCCAGCAGCAGTCGCCGTTTCTCCCCTCCACTCAGCTTCGACGCCCTGACGTGTGCGTGGTTGGTTGGTTGGTTGGTTGGTTGGTTGGTGGTACATTGGCAACGCAGGGCAACAACGAAGGCGAAGGGATTGAAAGAGAAGCCTAACTGATTGATACATCAAGGGAGAGTAGGAAGAGAGGGTCAAATAGCACCTAGTAGTAGCCCTGCTGATACATTGAAAGAATGGCACCGACGGGAATGATTTTTTTTGCGCCTCAAAAGGTAAGCCGAACCGTTTTGGTACATTAAGGGAGAGTAGGAAGAGGTTCAGTGGCACCTAGTAGTAGCCCTGCTGCTGGTATATTGAAAGAATGGCACCGACTGGAAAACAGGAGCTCACCAGGCGTATTGCTTAGCCCGGGGAAACCCGAACCGCTCCAGAAGCTCCGAAGCGGAAACAGGCTCGTCGGAACCACTCCCTCCAGACATAGTAGCCGCACCCGAACCAACAGCAGCACCAGAGGCAGAACCATCACCAGCAGCAGCGGCGGCAGCGGCAGCAGCAGCAGGGATAGATCCCCAGGAGCCGAGAACAGCAGCAGTGGGGTTGAAGTTCTGAACAAAGTCGAGAACTCGCATGTTGTCCGGCACGGGGGGCATGTGCTGTGTGTAATACCCCATCACCACCGTCTCCCCAACATCTCTGGTGCCCCATGGGAGGGGGAGCAGGCCGGCCAACGCGTCTAGGAACTGAGAAGAGGGGAGAGGGATAGGAAGGGAAGAAAAGAGAGGGGCACGGGGGGCATGTGCTGTGTGTGATACCCCATCACCACCGTCTCCCCCACTTCCCTCGTGCCCGATGGGAGAGGGAGGAGGCCTGCCAAGGCGTCTAGAAACTGCGGTTGGGAGGGGAGAGGGGAGAGAGGGAGGAGAGAGGTGGAAGAGAGGGGCACGGGGGGCATGTGCTGTGTGTAATACCCCATCACCACCGTCTCTCCCAACATCTCTGGTGCCCCATGGGAGAGGCAGCAGGCCTGCCAAGGCGTGTCTAGGAACTGAGAGGAGGGAGGGGCGGAGGGAGAGGGGAGAGGGGGAGGAAATGGGGCAAAGGAGGTAGGAAAGTTCTGAGGCGCCGCAAAAGAGGAAAGTAGGGACGAGAAAGGAGAGCGGGAGGGAGGGAAGGAGGGGCGAGCGAGAGGAGAGAGGAAAGCGTGCTGACGCCCTGGAGCGCAAGAAGCTGATCCAACTTAGGAGAAAAAGAGAAGAGGATTGCAACGGTGGTGGCTAGCAACGGGTCGTGTTTTGAGTCGACTCAAAACACGACTCATTACACGAGGAGAGAGGAGAGAGGAAAGAATGCTGACGCCCTAGAGCGCAAGAAGCGGATCCAACGGTGGTGGCTAGCAACGGCGATGGTAGAACGCAAGAAAAAAGAGAAGAGAAGTGCTGAGTCGGAATAAAACAGTGGTGGCTGCTAGCAACGGTGCTTACGGTGGTTTTCCCTGCCCCGTTTCGCCCCACCACTCCCAGGCGGTCCCCCCGACCAAACTCATACCTGCTTGGCAAGGCACGGGGAGGAGGCATGGGGGGCATAGGGGGCCATGGGGGGGTATTGGGGCAGGGGGTAAGGGGCATGGAGGGGGTGGTTGAGGGGGTATGGAGAGGCATGGGAGGGAATTTGGCGGGGCATGCATGCATGGGGAGGCATGTGGGGGTATGGGCGTTGCATCTCTCTGCATCTCTCTGCATCTCTCAGCTTCTTCAGTTTCAGCAGGATACTGATTGTCAGGAAATGAGATGTTTCAGAACTCGTAACCGACAGAACCATCCATCCCCCACTCACTCACACCCCCATCCTCCCATCGCCCCCCACCCACACTCACGTGAACCCTTAACAAACGGGTCTGCCTGCCCTCCCACGTCTGTTGCATCTCTCAAATCGTAATACAGACGTGCCTCAACGGGTCTGCCCATTCATCGTGCAACCAACAACCGCCCACCACACACAATCACACCCCATTCGCCCCACCCCTTCCCCACACTCACGTGAACCCTTCAAACACGGTGCTCTCTCCTCGCATCGCCGTCGCATCTCTCAACGCCAGCACCTTCCCACCCTACCTACCCCCCAGACCATGCTCTCGCCTCTCATGGTCATGAATTGAGACGCCCCAACACTCATAATCGCACTGCCTTCCTCCCCACCCCTCCAAACCCAGCACTCACGTGAATCCTTCAAACACGGTGCTCTCTCCTCGCATAGCCGTCGCATCTCTCAACTCCAACACCTTCCCACCCAGCCGTGCCTCCCCCACACCCATCTCCACCACACTCCCCACCGCCGTCTGCTGCTGCCTCTGCCTTTTCTCTGTCGTCGCTTTAGTAAGCGCCAAAAACCGATCAATTCTCGACCGGGATTTAGTCGATCTCGCTTTCGGCATTCGCCGCATCCACTCCCCCTCCCGCCGCAAAGTGTTCGCTGCCCGGCCAATCGCGGCGGCCTCTTCGACCGCCCGCTTCGCCCGGGCAGCCAAAAAGTTTGTGTAGTTGCCCGAATGGCGAAAAGAAGACCCGCGGTCGATTTCGAGCATTTGCGTGCAGACGGCGTCGAGAAAGTATCGGTCGTGGGAGACGAGAACGACGGTGAGAGAGGGGTCTGAGAGGGCCGATTGCATCCAATCAATGACTGCCACGTCCATGTGGTTCGTGGGCTCCTGAAAGGGGGGAAGGGAGAAGGGGATAGAGGGTTTCTTCCAAGAAAGTAACGGTCGTGAGCGACGAGAACGACGGTGGCAGAGGGGTCTGCATCCAATCAATGACTGCCACGTCCATGTGGTTCGTGGGCTCCTGGTTAGGGGGGGGGAGGGGGGGGGGGTGGGGGGGGGGTAGGACTGATTGAAAGAGTGATGGAAAGAGAATATGAGTAAGTGGGACGGGACAGGACGGCATCCAATCAATGACTGCCACGTCCGTCCATGTGGTTGGTGGGCTCCTGGTGAGAGGGAAGAGGAAACAGGCAGAGCCACTCACATCGAGAACGATGATCTCTGGTTTTAGAGTTGACTTTTGAGTCGACTCAAATGTCAACTCGGGAAGAGAAAACAGGCAGAGCGACTCACATCGAGAGAGAACGATGAGCTCTGGTTTTGGCAGCAGCGTGTATGAGACGTCTCAAAACACATGCGACAAAGCCACTCACATCGAGAATGATGAGCTCTGGTTCTGCCAGCAGCGCCGCAGCCAGGGCCACCCTCTCTTCCTCTCCTCCTCTCCCTCCTTCTTCTTCCTCTCTCCCTTTCCCTCCTGCTTTCTCTCCTTGACTCACATGCGACAAAGCCACTCACAGCGACAAAGCCACTCACATCGAGAATGATGAGTTCTGGCTTCGCCAGCAGCGTTGCAGCCAGAGCCACCCGCTTCCTCTGCCCGCCACTAAGCGACGAAACTTGCCGCTCCATAATCCCCCCGCCACCACCACCACCACCACCACCACCGTTGGTCAAAGCAGCATCCCCCAGACCTAGGATTTCCAGCAGCTTCTCCGCCTCTGCCACCACGTCCCATGCCCCCATCGCCTCCACCCCATCCATGGCCCGCTGCAGCGCTGCTGCCTCTGCGGGGGTGGGGTCTGATGGGAGCACAGGAAAGGGAAGGGGGTTCAAGGGTTAGGGTTTGAAGGGTAGAGAGGTGTATAAGCAACCCTTTTCTGCTTCTGCCACCACGTCCCATGGGAAAATGGGGGCAAAAAAGGACTACTACTTTGGAATGGGTCAAAGGATCTGGGTTTGGGGTTTAAGGTGAGAGGGGTGGAAAGGGGGAGGGGGGTTGATTGAATGGGAGCACGCCTTTCACACCTTCCTTTCACTGGGCCACTCTTGCATGCTCTTTGCTCTCATCCGCTTTATAAGCCACCTCACTCTGCACACGTACTGCACTCGACTTCTCTGCTTTATCCGCTTTATAAGCCCTGCTCTCATTCCATTTATAAGGCACCCCACAACACGCACCTCGCCCCTTCATCCGCTGTTCAGCTCGCTCGTACTTCCTCACAGCGCGCATGGCAGCACTGTCTGCTAATACCGCCCTCCCTCCCACCATCCCTGCTTCCATCCCCTTTATAAGCTGCCCCGCAACACCCCACGCTACCCACCTCTGCCTTTCATCCTCTGCGCAGCTCGCTCGTACTCCCTCACAGCGCGCATGGCAGCATTGTCCGCTGACAGTACTGAGAGTGCCTCTTCCCTCACCCCTGCTCCCAACCCCTTCATCACATGCCCCACAACAGCACACACCTCGCCCCTTCATCCGCTGTGCAGCTCGCTCGTACTCCCTCACTGCGCGCATGGCAGCATTGTCTGCTAATCCCCCCCTCTCTCCCACCATCCATGCTTCCATCCCCTTTATAAGCTGCCCCGCAACACCCCACACTACCCACCTCTGCCTTTCATCCTCTGCGCAGCTCGCTCGTACTCCCTCACAGCGCGCATGGCAGCATTGTCCGCTGATAGCCCGCCCTCTCCCTTCACCCCCCCTCCCTCCTGCTTTCATCTCCTTTATAAGGTGCCTCACTGCACGCACCTCTTCCCTTCATCCTTTGAGCAGCTCGCTCGTACTCCCTCACAGCGCGCATGGCAGCATTGTCCGCTGACAGCACTGCGTCCAGTAGAGACAGTGACGCAGGCAGGTCCGGGTCCTGGAGGTTCAGGGTTTGGGATTTCGGGGTTAGGGGAAGCAGTGAGTACTCCTTCACACACAGCGCGCATGGCAGCATTGTCGGCTGACAGCACTGCGTCCAAGAGAGATAGTGATGCAGGCAGGTCCGCGTGGTTTAGGGTTCGGGGTTCAAGGGAAGCAGCAGTGAGAAGGTAGCTCGCTCGTACTCCCTCACGTCACGCATGGCAGCATTGTCCGCTGACAGCACTGCGTCTGGAAGCGACAGAGACGCGGGTAAGTCGGGGTCCTTTTCAGAGTTCAGGGTTCGGGGTTTGGGTGGAGGGTTAGGGAGGGCGCGGGAAAGCGTTGACAACACTGCGTTCGGAACGCAGAGGCATGCAAGAAGGTCCAGATCCTGGAAATTTCGGTTCTCTATGCGCCTATAGATAAGAGCAGCTAAGGGTTGGTTGGAAGTGTATTATTGTTGAATTCACCTGAGCGAGAAACGCCAGGTTCAGGTGCCGCCGGCGCTGCACCTTGCCCTTATCAGGCGCGTCCATCCCCGCTAGTATCCTCAGCAATGTGCTTTTACCGCATCCGTTCCGCCCCAGCAGCCCCAGCTTCTGCCCTCTGCTTATAGTCACATCCAGCCCCTCGAAAAGAACGTCCATTCCGAAACTCTTCGCCAGCCCTTCCCCCGATATAAGCGCCTCCCCGCCTCCGCCCGCGCCGGGTCTAGGCGCAGCGGGCGCGGAAGCGGGGGAGGCGGAGCCCCCCCCCGGGGCATTTGAGGTTGCGGCCGTTGTAATCCGGTTGGAGCGCGATTGGCTACGAGTTTGGAGGATGCGCTGAGCGGAATGGGAGGGCGCGAAACTGGGGGAAGCGGAATGCGGGGAGGTGGAACTGGGGGAAGCGGGGGATGCGCGCATTCCCCCGGCTGCGGCTGGCTTCGCGGCGGTTACAATCCGGCTAGAGAAGGAGCGCCTGTTTCCGGAATACCAGGGACCATTTCGCCGCGGCATAAGCAGCGGCAACGGCAGGGGCGCTAAGACGAGGCTACGACTCGACATGAGGCTACTATTAGAAATGCTGGATTGCGCGGAGGATCGAGAAATGGGTGCACCAGGCTGACGCTCCGAGCGAATGCAGAGGGACGGTGGCGATATTGAGCAATTATGGCAGGGAGATAATAGCGACAGGTGGGTGTAGAGAGGCATGGTGCCTGTAGTTCTTTGCTAGTGTCAGTTGCCAGCCGTACACCTATAGCGGCCCGCTATCCGTATACTGGCTGGCTAGGGGGTTCCTAAGATGCGACTTGGACCAGCAGGCTTCGATTAGCAGCAGGTGATGGAGAGATGGCAGTCGCATGTGTTCGGATGGCATATATGGTGCCATTTAGCATAAGTGATATCATAGAGTGTTGTAGCTGTTTGGAGGCGCGATTGAAGGGGGGAACGTCATAACGCGAATTGCCATCTCACCACAGTCAATAACACCAATCAGAAACAGCCTTCAAGATCCGATGGCCCACACTTCGTTTCCGACCTGGTTACCCGATTCGTCACGCTGATTCTGTGTCGTCCAATGCCTGCCAAAGCTGCATTGAATTCGGCATCAACGCTGACAAAATCATCGCGTTCACATCACACACATTCTCCTCCCAGGCCAGATGTTCGCATACAGTACACTGCACTTCCGAACCAGACTGGAACCCCACCGGACCAGGTCAATTCACTTGAAGCGGCGGCGAAAACGTACCTTCGAGGTTGTCGAGTTCTGCTGAACGCCCAGCTCTGGAAACCTAGGGTTTCTCCTGAAATGTACCCGTTCAGCCAACAACCACGTGAAGCCGAACCGGAAACTTGACCGCAACAAGTTTCCGAAGCAAAAGCCACAGCTCTTCCGAGCCTTGGGATTTCCGTCTGCCCTCCCTTTGCATCCCGTGCATTCACTGCACATGCTTGCTTGCTTCCCATTCGTCCTTCACGTTCGTCCGTTACTAACAAGATGCACCTGCCATTATTGACCCTAGGTTTCTAGAGCTGCCGTATCGCCTCCAGCTTTTCGTGAGTGAGCGAATATCGTAGGCTAGGCTGTGGTACTTCAGTCTCTGACGCGCGCCATAGATGGTCGTGTAAAATAAGCGCTCTTTCCTGATTTCGCTTAGAATGCGGAAAGAAATAATGCATAGAGGAAGTTAAAAGTGGCTACTCGCAGTAGTGGCTCCATGACCCAGCTGGTAACTACTGAATCCATTATTTCGTTATTGACGGAAGGAGTCGTTCCCTCATGGAATCCGTGGTTCAGGAGGACGAGATTGACACTAAGCTTCATTGACTCGATTTAAGATTCTTTCATTTCTCAAGGGGTCGTTGCCCCATGGATTTCGTCATTCTGGAAGATTGGATTGGCGATTATTATTATTCAGTTGACTAAAAAAGTCTCGTGAGATTCTCATGGAGTCGTTTCCCCATGAAGTCCGTCGTTATGGAGGAGGATATTGACGATTATTATCATTTAGCCAAAGAATAAAGTCGCTAGCTTCCCAAGAAGTGGCTTTGTCATGGAGTCCGTCATTCTGGAGGAGGAGGTTGACGCGAATTATGAGCCGACGGAAGAAGGTACTTCGGCTGGCTTCTTGATCGTTAACGTTGGTCCTCGTCGTTATTTCGCGATGCACCCGCCTAGCGATATCCTGTCAGCTCTTGCTAAGCCAAGCATTTTCTAGGACGAAAGTATCAGTTTTCTGCACGTACTACCGCTTTTCACGAAAGCTTAGTCGTGTGCGAAGTTCGATTGGGGACAAGATTTTCTGACCCACGTCTTGAATTTAAAGGCACCGCTCGTGTATGCCAGGACGTGTTCTACTTGGATTCGCAGGCTTTTTTTATTCCTTCGACATTCCTCCTGAATTCCTTACCACTCCGTTTGGATTCCTTACTGTTCCTCCTGTTCCTGACCGTTTTGAATTCCTTACCGTTCCTCCCTAGATTTTTTACCGTTCCTCCTGGATTCCTGCCCGTTCCTTCAGGATTGCTGACCGTTCCGTTTGGATTCCTGACCGCTCCTCCTCTGCACTCCTCCTCTGCTCCCATGCCCCTTTGGCCCTCTCTACTCTGACCCTTTGGCGCTCTCCGCTCAGAAATTCTCGAATTCGCGCGGTGGTTGGGAATGGAGCTCCCGGGAGAGGAGGAGCTGCTGTGGGTGGCGCACTTCCCCTGCCACCGCCCTTTCCATTCAACCACCATCCCTGCGTCCCTCGCCATGCTGCTTCTCTGCTCTGCCTCTCCCGCTTCCTTGCAGAAATATTGGAGTACGCGCGGTGGCTGGGAATGGAGCTCCCGGGGGAGGAGGAGCTGCTGTGGGTGGCGCGGCAGGGGCTGAAATCACCTCTCCCGCCCAACTGGAAGCCCTGGTGAGTGCCTCATCCGCGGTGTGAACCGCCTGGTGTGCCGTGTGATCTTTCGTTCCGTTGGTCACTATGAGCCCGCTTGATCCGAGTGGGTGGCGCGGCAGGGGCTGAAATCGCCTCTGCCGCCCAACTGGAAGCCCTGGTGAGTACCTCGTATCGCCTGGGGTGCATCGTCTCGTGTGTTGAGTGCCTCGTCTCGTCTCGCATGCCTCGGCTCGTCTGGTGCGCCCTCGCCTGCCATATTTGTTTCCCCCCCACTCTTCCCCACACCCCCCTGCCCCCACCAGTGGCACGGAGGACGGGGAGATCTACTATTTCAACTTCCAGACGGGCGAGAGCGTGTGGGAGCACCCCTGTGACGACCACTACCGCGCCGTCTACCACCAAGAGAAGGCCACCCTGCTCCTCGCCCGCTCCCCTGCCCCCTCTGCTGCTGCTGCCGGTGGTGCCAGTGGTGGTGGTGGTGGTTCTGCTGCTGCTTCTGCTCGTGCTGCTGCAGCTGGTGGTGGGAGTGGGGAGGGTGCGGGGAGGAAAGGAGGCTTTGGTGGAGCGGCGGGGCCAGGGGCGGGGGGGATGATGGGAGGAGGAGGAGGAGGAGGAGGAGGAGGAGGAGGCTTTGGTGGAGCGGCGGGGCCAGGGGCGGGGGGGATGATGGGAGGAGGAGGAGGAGGAGGAGGAGGAGGAGGAGGCATAGGTGGAGAGACGTATGTACGGCAGGCATCGCTGCCACCACAGACCAGAGGGGAGCATCACGGAAACTTGTTTCGCCAGGGATCATTGCAGCCTAACTCAGCGGCTATGGTGAGGCTGTTTGAATTCACATATTTCCACCGTTTCCCTCCTCCCTCCCTCCTGAATTTTCCCCTTTTTCTCTCGTCTTGAAACCTCCTTGACCACACTCCCGCTGCCAGCTTCACGGCACGCCCCTAGTCCCACTTACCGCACGCTGCACGCACTCCTTTTTCTTGTCATCTGTCTTCCTTCTTCCTGCAAACCCTTGTCTCGCATTGCCGTGATGTTTCAGTCGACTCAAAATCGTCTTTTGTACTCACTCCGTTTCTTGTCATCTCTGTCCCTGCCTGCATGCCCTTCACTTGCGTTGCCCTGCCAGCGTGTTTTAAGTCTACTCAAAACACAACACGTTTCTTGTCATCTCTCTCCCTGCCTGCATGCCCTTCACTTGCGTTGCCCTGCCAGCGCCAGCAGAAAGAATCGCCTAACCAATCGCATGCCCTTCTCTTTCTCTCCATCTCTCTCCCTGCCTGCATGCCCTTCTCTTGCGTTGCCCTGCCAGCGCCAGCAGAAAGGGTCACCTGCACGCGCCCACGCCCAGCAGTCGCAGCTAAGGCCTCCGCAGCAGCAGCAGCAGCAGCAGCAGCAGCAGCAGCAGCAGCTACACCAGCAGCAACGCCAGCAGCAGCAGCAGCAGCAGCAGCAGCCTGCAACAGCAGGAAGCTCAGCAAGCAAATATTCAGTGAAGCTTCTACACCAAACCTCCTGGTCCCCCGAACCTCGCTCGGCTCGGCATTCTGCCGCGGCTGCCAACCTGGCTCGGGCACGCTCCGTGCCTGCTGTGGCGAATGGCGCGAAAGCCCCTCCTGGTGAAACTGAGGAGGAGGAAGGTGTGTGTGCGTGTGTGTGTGCGTGCGTGCGTGCGTGCATGCGTGCATGATGTGCGTACGTGCGTGCGTGAGTGCTTGTGCATGTTCAAAGTCAATTTTCCCTGCTTACACCTGCTTCATTCCTCCGCTCTCCCTCTCCTTGTGCTCCCTCTACCTCTCCATGACAGATTGGAGCAGCTCTGATGGCGATGACGATGGTGGCGATGGTGGCGATGGTGGTGCGGCTGCTAATGCTGCCGCTGCCGCTGCAGGCGGCACAGGCGTTTCTGGTGGGAGTGCTGCTGGTGGGATAATCATTCCTGCTGCCGCTGCTAGCTCTGGTTCAGGGGGAGGTATCGTAGGGGCAGGTATCGTAGGCGGGGTTGCAGCAGCTGCTTCTCATTCTACTGCTGCTGCTGCTGCTACAGGTACTGCTGCGACTCCTACAGCTATTGCTTCTGCTGTCACTGCTGCTTCCACCGCTGTTGCTACGGCTGCCACTGCTGCTTCTACCGTTGCTGCATCTCGCGCAACGGGTGCAGGTGCAGGTGTTGCCGGTTCTAACCTAGCTGCAGTCATAAGCCAAGATGTGCGCCGAACCTTCTCAGACCCTAAAAAGGCCTCAGGATTTGTTACCGCTGGCACTGGTGGCGGTGGTAACCCTGTTACCGCTGCTGTTGTGGCACGTGTGGGTGGTGCTACCTCCGCTGCAGGGAAAGCAGCAGGAGGGGTAGGGGAGGGGAAGGGGAGGCGGAGGTCGTTGGATGAGGCAGGGGAATGGCGAGGAGGGGAGCGAGGAGGGGGGGAACGAGGGGAACGGGAACGAGGAGGAAGGCAGCGAGGAGGGGAGCAAGAAGGAGCGGGAGGTGGCAGTGGGAGCTTTAAAAGAGTGGAGAGTGGAAGTGGAGGTTCAAAAGCCGTGCTTCGTCTTGGTCCTGCTGGTGGTGATGCTCCCAGAATCGGGGGCAGTGGGAGCTTCAAGAGGGCGGATAGTGCCGATGCTAACGCGAAGGCCATGCTTAAATCCGAGGGAGTAAGAATAGGAGGGAGTGGGAGCTTCAAGGGGGCTGATAGTGCCGATGCTAACGCGAAGGCCATGCTTAAAACAGAAGGATCAGGAGCGAGTGAGAAATTCAAGAGGGCTGATAGTGCTGATGCTAGTGCGAGGGGCATGCTCAAAGCGGAGGGAGTAAGAATAGGAGGGAGTGGGGGCTTCAAGAGAGCTGATAGTGCTGATTCAAGTGCTAAGGGCTTGCTTAAAGCTGACGGATCAGGAGGGAGTGAGAAATTCAAGAGGGCTGATAGTGCCGATGCTTGCGCGAAGGGCATGCTTAAAGCCAAGGATGTGAGACTCGGAGGGAGTGGGAGCTTTAAGAGGGCTGATAGCGCGGATGCTAAGGGTGTTCTTCGAATTGAGGCTCCCAGGAAGGGAGGCAGTGGGGATTTTAAGAAGGATTGTACGAGGAAGGATAGTGGTGGGGATAGTAAGAGGAAGGGTAGTGGGGATTTTGCCAAGGGTACTTGTGAAGAGGCAGGTGGGGAGGAGAGAGAAGAAGGCACAGAGTCTGGGCAGGAAGGGATGGTCATTTTGGACATGGGTCGAAGTAAGGAAAGGGCAAAGGGAGTGTACGAGGATGGTGGTGATTCAAGGGGGAGACATGAGTTGGTGTGGGAGGAAATGCGGGAGGAAATGCAGAAGGAATTGCGAGAGGATATTGAGAAGGAGAGGGCGCGACTGTGGGAGGTGATGCGGGCAGATGTGATGAACCAATTAGAGAGCAGGAAGCAGGAGCTGCTTGCTGACGTGGCGAGGAAAGTTGATGCTGACGTGGCGGAGGAGTATGAGAGGATCAGGCAGCAACGGGAGGAGGAGATTAGGCAACAGGGCGAGGTTGAAGCGGAGGCTAGGGAATACCGAGCCAAGTTGCTAGCTTCGGTAGAAGAGGAGGAGGCGCGCTTGCGGGGGAATTTGAGGGAGAGTAAGGCTCGGGAAGTGGCTCGGGCTGAGCGTGAGGTTCGGCGGCTGCAGGAGGAGCTGGAGGTTCGGGCGACCCAGGTGCTAGACTCGTTCCGAACCGACCTGCAGGTTCGGCTGGAAGGGGAGAAGCTGAAGCTGAGGAGAGAAGCAGTGCGAGCATTGGAGCGTTGGAGAGAGGAACTTGAGATGAAGGTTCAGAGGAAGGTTCAGGGCATGAGGATGGATTTACAAATGAAGCTGGAAGCAAAGAGGAGGGAGATGGAGGTGGTAATGAGGAAGAAAGTGGAGGAGGAGAGAGTGTGGCGACTGGAACGGCTTAGTCGGGAGTTGAGGGAGGAGGAGACTGAGCTGAGAAGAGGGTGGAAGGAGAAGATGGAGAGGGAGAAGCAGCGGGTGCTGGGAGGTGGTGGATCGAGGCGTTCGTTTGATCTGACGGGAAAATCAGCTCTGATGGTGGTGGGGGGTGAGAGGAACGGGCAAGGCGTGGGGCTGAACTTGAGAGAGGATGAGCAGAGGGTGCTGGGGGGTGCGCCGAGACATTCGTTCGATTTGACGGAAAAGTCCCCTCTGATGCTGGGGGGTTTGAGGAATGGGCAAGGTGTGGGGCTGAACTTGAGAGAGGATGAGCAGATGATGTTTGGAAACATGAGGAGTCCTAGTAGGGTTGGAGGAGTGATGGGGCAACAGCAACAGCGGCACGTGGGGGAGGCATATGTATGGGACGGATTTTTTGACATGGAGTCTGAATTTAGCCGAGACGGCTTGAGTGGGAATGAGCATGGATATGGGCATGGGGATGGGGATGGGAATCGGAATGGGGATGGGAGTGCGTTTAGATATGGGAATGGGGATGGGGCGGGGGCAGTAGGGTTCCTCCTCACATCGTCTCCCGGTGCTCGCCCTGAGCATAGAAGGGCTAGGCCAGGGGCACAGGGGCAGCATGTAGGGGGCGCGGGCGAGGGTGGGTATGGGCTCGCCGTTGCTGCTTCTGCTAATGGTGCTGGTGGCGCTGGTGCTGCTGCTGCTGCTGGCGGTGCTGCTGCTGCCACTGCTACTAACAGTGGTAAAGTCTCAGCCCCTGCAGAAACAGCAGCAGCAGCAGCAGCAGCAGCAGCCGTTTCTCCCGCTCAAAACCTTGCTCTCCTTGAAGGGGGCCAATATGATTCCGGCAGCAACTTTGGGGAGAGCTCGTGCGAATTCATGCCAAGATTTTCGCTCGGGCAGGCCGGGCAGGTGGAAGGAAGTGTATTGGCCGGGGACTGGATGGGTCGGGGCAGGATTGGGCTGGGGTCAGGCGGGAGGAAATTGAGGAACCGCGGGAAGGGCAATCGGACGGTGGGGAGCGAATCTGGCCACGATCGGACGGTGGAGGATGCATTGAAAACGGGGAGCGGCGGAGGGTATTACTCGGCATGGGGTGATTCCGGTTCGGAGGGACTGGGAGAGCTGGGGAAGGGGGATCTGGGGAGGGTTCATCTACGAGTGCGGCGCAGAGGGGTTGAGAGCGGTGGAGGGGCGTTTGATGCTGGAGGAATCTCGTTTGGGTAAGTTGGAGGTTGTTCTTTTTTCCCCTGCCTTTTGTGTGGTGGATTCCCTAGCTTTTGTTTGTTTGTTTTCTGTTTTCCTTTTTTTTTTTTTTTTTTTTTTTTCTCTCTCTCTCTCTCCGGTAGTTCCTACCTTCCTGCCCTACATGCCCCCATTCCCGCTCCCTGTCTCCTCACGTCCCCTCCGCCCTCTCCTCTCCCTCTCCCCCCCCGCTGGTTCCCCACGCCGTCTTCCTTCCGCCCCTGCTCCCCTGCATCCTCTTCCCCCCGCCTTCCCCCTCCCCCTCCCTCACCTCCCATCCCTCCCAGGGAGCGGGAGAGCATGCTGCGTAGCGCCAAGCGGTTTGCAGCGGAGCAGCGGCGGAGCTTGAAGGAGCGAGAGGGGGTGATGGAGGCGGCTAGGAGGGACTGGAGGAGCCGCATGGAGGCAGTTCAAGAGGTGAGGGGGGGCGTGTGATTATAGCGAAGGGGTGTGCTTGTTGCGAAGGGGTGTAAGTGTTGGTAGAAAGCGGATTGGTTGTTGCAAAGGGGTGAAAAATAGCCTTCTCCCTTTCTCCCCTTCTTCCCCTCTGTTTCCTCAACTATTTTGTCTGTCTTCGTCTCCCCCGTACCTTGCAGCTCTCCGATCCCGATGGGAAGAGGAGGAAGGTGCAACACCTGATGTTTATCAAAGCCACGTTGGATCAGCATGAAAGGGAGCGTTAAGCAGCTGAGAAAGAGCCTTTTCCCCTTCTCCCCTTCTTCCCTTGCAGCTCTCCGATCCCGATGAGAAGAGGCGGAAGGTGCAACACCTGTTGTTCATCAAAGCAACGCTGGACCAACACGAGAGGGAGTTGAATGATGATGCCAGGAGCGTCCGGCAGCTGAGAAAGAGCTTACTTGCCTTCTCCCGCAATGCAGCTTCTGCTGGTAGTGGCGGTTTGAGTGGCAGTGGAAATTTAAGTGCCATTGGTGGTGTGAATACGGGGGATAGTTTTTGGGCTGGGAGTAGGGGAGGCAGTAGAGTGGGTGGAGGTGGGTTTGGAAAGTGCTTAGGAATTCCGCCAGGTGGCGGCGTGCGATTGGACCAGAACCGCCCGTTGGTCAGTTTCCCGCCGAGTGCCATCGTGTCCCCAGCCTCCTCGTTTGCTTCGATAACGATCCAAGAAGGGAACCCGGACCTGAGCGATGTGAGCTACAACTCAGGTTCGGGGGTGAAAGTCCCTGCCGAAGCTGGTGCAGCGGCGAGTTTAGCTGGTGCTAGGGGTGCAGTTGATGGTGGGGGTGGTGGCCGTGCATCCTCTCCCTTGTCATCTCCTGTACGGAGAGAGTTAGGGAAGAGCCTGCTGGGTTTCGAGTCTCCTAAAAAGAGTCCGGTTGAGTGTGCTTTTGAGGCGGTTCAAAAGTCTCCCTTGCCTTCTCCCGTGCGGCAAGAGGTGGGCAAGAGCATTTTTGGGACGAAGCGTGAAGAGACTATGGTTGGATTTGGGAAGGGCGCTGCTGGTTTGACTGCTGCTGCTGCTGCTGCTACTACTGGTGCTGGTGCTGGTGGTGGCGGTGGTGCTGCTGCTGGTGTTGGCAGCAGCCAAGGGACTGGACTGAAAGCGCAAGGACGAAGTGTGGGGGGTGGAAAAGGTAGAGGGGAAGCAGGAGGGAGGGTGGAGGAAAGCAGAGCAACGGCTGGAGAGGCAACGAAGGCAAAGAACACCGCTAGAGGTGTTGCTGATAACCCTCCACCGAGAATGCCAACAGCTGCGAAGGAGGGGAGGCGGGGAGAGGGCGACGGGAAGTGGGGCGAAGGGGGGAGGCGGGGAGTGGGCGAGGGGATGAATGCAAGTGGCCAGGGAAAGAATGCCACTGCTTCTAAAAGAGGGCCGGCTTTCGTCGGGAAGGCAGCATCAGCTGCAGCAGCAGCAGTGACAAGACCAGTGGAAGGCCAATTAATGCAGCAGTCAACCCAAAACGAGCCTATGTGAGCTTGCGTTCTTACCCCTTTTATTCTCTCCTTCTCCCATTCTTGTTCTCTTTCACTCCTCGTTTGTCTCCCTCGTCCTCTCCCTTTCTCTTCGCTCCGTCTGCTCTCTGATCTCTTCTTGTTTTTCTCGATATCGTGCTTTCCTTATTATGCCTTCCCTTTCCATCTCTCCGCCCGCGCTCCATTTTCCTTGTTACGTTTCCCTCGACTCACTCTTCTCGCTTTCCCTTCTCTCCCACTGCCTCCCCTTAAATCTGGTTTTTTTGCCTCCGATGTTTGCCAGCCAAAAGTTGAAAGCTGGTCGTAGCGGCACAAGCAGGGCTTTGGGGGTTGTGTCTGGGGGGCAGTCATTGGGGGCAGGGACCAGGGGAGGTGTGGTGGGAGGAGCAACTGGAGCGGGGACGGGTGTTTTGTGAGGAGCGGGGCTAGTGGAATGTGGGGGTGTGACGGGGGGAGGGCAGGCATTGGAGGCAGGGACCAGGGGAGGTGTGGTGGGGGGAGCAACTGGAGCAGGGACGGGTGCTTTGTGAGATGCCTCAAAGGCCGAAGTAGCAGCACAAGGGCAGGTGCACTATCGGGAAAAGCAGGAACAGCAGCAGCAGGAGTACCGTAGCAGGAAATGCAGCAATAACCATCAGTCCTCCTAACCCCAGCACCTACAGCAACCCAGCAGCACCACTGTTTGTTCATTGAAACAGGGCCAGCGGAAATGGTACCTGTGTGGTATTCTCTCTGGAAAAAAACAATATTTACGTCGGCAGGTTTGAAACAGGAGCCACAGCAACATTGGCATCGGGGCGATGCACCGTTGTATTATATGTCCATTTGTTTCCATTTAATTTATTTATTTGTTTCGAAAAGTTGCTTTGGCCTATGGAATGGATCTTGAACATTGATCTTGTTCATGCTCTGCAACAATTATGTGTAATCTTAACAAAAATGTGTTACGGTACTTGTGTTTGCAAGAACCCACTGCACCGGGCATGCCAGGTTTATATGCTTTTCTGGGCAATAACCTAGCATAAAATATGAGTGCACATACCGTAAGAAGCCAAGTACAGTACTGACTGATGATGATAATGGTACTTGCTGTTGTCACTGCCGATGATACTGGCGCTGCTGTTGCTACTGCTGCTGCCGCTGCTGCCATTGTTGCTGCTGCTGTTGCTGCTGCTGCCATGGCTGGTGGTGAAACGTTGACATCTGTTGCTGTTGGTAGCTTACCTGTTGCTGTTGAAATGTGTTGTGCTGGTAGTTAACTGGCTGCTGCTGGTAGTTAAGTTGTTGCTGCTGTGGGAACGATTGTTGCTGCATGTGCTGCATCGGCCCTAATGGGGTATAGCCCTGCTGCCCTGACCCTTGCTGCATCGGTCCTAACTGGGTGTAACCTTGTTGCCCTGATCCTTGCTGCATTGGCGCTTGAGAATATCCCTCGAAAGCATAGCCTCCTGCTGATGGGAGTGGTGCTGGTGATGCTGCTGCTGCGTGTGGTTGTGCGTGTGGCTGTGCGTGTGGTTGTGTTGCGGTGAGCGCAGCTCCCAGGGATGCCATGTTGGGGAAAGGTGCCTGTGTGGATGGGGACTGGGAGAGGGATAGAGGGGGAGGGGAGCTTGGCTGTGCGTGTGGTTGTGTGGTCTCGAGAGCAGCTCCGAGGGATGCCATGTTGGGGAAAGGTGTCTGTGGGGATGGGGACTGGGAGCGGTGAGGAAAGGGTGGGATGGGGGAAGAGATGGCGCGAGAAGGGACAGTCCTGTGGTATTGTGTTAGGTCCTGTGGGTGGTTGTGTGGCATCGAGAGCAGCTCACAGTGATTCCATGTTGAGGAAAGGCGCCTTTGGGGATGGGAACTGGGAAACAGGAAGCGGTGTGAGGAAGGGGGGAACCTAGTGAGAACTGGTAGTGGGAAGTACTAGGAGGGAACTAACAGCCCTTTATTCTGCAGGGTGGTCTTTGGAATTCTGGAGAAAAAACAAGAATGAAAAAGGCTGGGCAGGGAACTGGCCGTACTTGCAAAACATTGTTATGAAAAAGAAAGGAGGAAAGAGAGAAGGAAGAAAAGAAAGAGAAATAAGAAGGCAGGCATTAAAGAAAAAAAAACTGCGAACGAAATGTGAAGGAATAAAATAAATAACACTGTGTGTGTGGGAACATACCAATCCGGGAGACCCCAACGGTGATGGCCTCATCCCAGGGCTTCCCATGACGCCTGCAGGGCTTCCCATGACGCCTGCAGGGCTCCACATAGCAGCTCTTCCGTTGCCCATTGCTCCTCCTCCTGGGCTCCCCATAGCCCCGCCTGGGCTCCCCATTGGCCCCCCTGCGCTCCCAAGAACCCCACCTGGGCTCCCCATCGCTCCCCCTGGAATCCCCATCGCTCCCCCTGGGCTCCCCATAGCCACCCCTGCGCCCCCCATCACCCCTCCTGGGCTGCCCATTGTTCCTCCTGGACTTCCCATCATTCCCCCTGTGCCCCCCATAACCCCGCCTGAGCTCCCCATCACCCCTCTAGGACTTCCCATAGGCCCCCCTGGGCTCCCCAACACCCCACCTGGGCTCCCCATAACCCCTCCCCCCATCAACCCAGCTGCACTTCCCATAACCCCTCCTGGACTCCCCATACCTCCCCCAGCGCTCCCCATACCCCCTACTGGACTTCCCGTCACTCCTCCTGCACTCCCCATCACTCCCCGAGGGCTCCCCATAACCCCGCCCTGAGGGTATGGGTGTGATTGTAAGGGCGGGGACTGGTATGGGTGGGACTGTGTGGGAGGGGATTGGAACGAGTGTGATTGTGAGGGATGGAAGGGATGTGACTGTATCGGAGGGGACTGTACTGGGGAGAACGCCTGTGCATAACCCCCATTAGCTTGTAATCCATAGCCCTGCCCCTGCCCCTGCCCCTGGCCCTGCCCCTGCCCCTGCCCCTGCCCCTGCCCCTGCCCCTGCCCCTGCCCCTGCCCCTGCCCCTGCCCCTGCCCCTGCCCTTGCCCATATCCCTGTCCCTGTCCCTGTTCCTGTCCCTGAGCCTGAGTCGATAAGTGAAACTGACCCTGTCTTTGCGTCTGAATGAGTAATTCAGTCTGCCCCTGCCCTTGTCCCTGTGCCTGGGTTACTTGAAACTGCCCTTGTCCGACCTGGGTTACTGATTGGAACTGCCCCTGCCCGGCCTGGGTTACTGGCTGAAACTGCCCCTGCCCCTGTGCCTGCATCCCATAGGCCTCGTACCCTAGTGGTGATGCTGACAACTGAGCTTGCCCATAGTAGCCCAAGAACCCATATTCTGGGCCTGAAGAGGGGGTATTTCCAGCAATAGATTGCATAGCAGCAGGTACAACTGGTGCAGGTACAGCTGGTGCAGGTACAGCTGGGCTGCTGTCAAAATGCGCCCAGGAGGCAAACCCATTGGCAATGCTGCTGCTGTCGCCGCCACTGCTGCTGCTCTCCTTATCCGCAGATGTTCCTGCTGATGCTGCTTCCGCTGCTGCTGCTGATGTTGTCGCTGCGGCCGCTGCAGCTGCTGCTGTATCTGCTTGTGCTGGCACTTGTATTTTCCCCTGCTGATGCTGCCCCTCTCCCCCTGCTCCCCCCTCCATCTGCTCCTGAAGCTGCCAGTGCTTGGGTGCAGGCACGGGGGCAGCAGGAGGGAGAGTGAGGCTATCCCCATCCCCTTCGTCTGAGAAATCAATCAGGTTACCAATTGGGGCTAAGGGTGCTGATGCTGGTGCAGCTGCTGCTGAAGCGACTCCTGCTCCTGCTCCTGCTGCTGCTGCTCTTGATGCAAGTGCTGATGCTGCTCCTGCTGCTGATGCTGCTGTTGCTGCTGCTGCGGGTGTTGGCACAGGGCCAGCAGGTGCTGACGAGGGCATGCGAGGAGCAGGAGCGTGCGCAGCAGCAGGCGGAGAGGCAAGGTGAGAGGCAGGGAGAGTGGCAGAAGCAGAGGGGCCAGAGGGAGCAGAGGGAGCAGAGGGGGCAGAGGAGGGAGAAGCAGGGAGGGCCGAAGGAGAGGAGGCAGCTTGATACACATGTGCGTTTCCCCCCCCTGGCTCGCTGTGATACACCCTCAGCTCGATTTCGTCCCCGAGCAGGTCACTCACAGGGCGAATAGGTGCATCTACCCCATCCCTGCTGCTTGGGGTGTTAGAGAATCTAGTGCTACTCGTGCTGCTACTGCCAGAGAATCTAGCGCTAGTGCTGGTGCTGGCGCTGGTGCGTGGTGGTAGAGCGTTCTGCTGCTGCTGCTGCTGCTGCTGCGGCTGCTGCGGCTGCTGCGGCTGCTTGTGGTGGTGGGAAGGTGGGAGTGTGGGGGAGAAGGAGAGGTAGGCGCGCGCACTGCTGCTGCGTTGGAGGTCGGAGGGCTGCGGGAAGGAGGCAGAGGGAGAGCCGTCCATAGAGTGGGTTCGCCCCGAGGGGGAGCTCTGAGAGGGAAGAAACGGGGGAGGGAGGGGTGTAAAACGGTGAGAGTGAGAGAAAGGAGAAGACACGATGTGCAGGAAAAGGGAAGGGGAGGCACGCGCGCTGCTGCGTCGTTGGAGGTCGGAGGGCTGGGGGAAGGAGGCGGAGGGAGAACCGTCCATAGAGTGGGTTCGCCCCGATGGGGAACTCTGATGTAGGGGGGGGAAGAAAGGGGGGGGAGTGGGGAAAGGGGACGGGGAAATGGGAGGGAAGGGGAGGGAGGGGCCGGGGAAAGGTAGGGATAGATAGAGTGAGAGAAGGACAGAGGCAATTTTCGCATGAAGGAGAGGGAGGCGCGGACGCTGCTGCTGCGTTGGAGGTCGGAGGGCTGGGGGAAGGAGGCGGAGGGAGAACCGTCCATAGAGTGGGTTCGGCGCGAGGGAGAGCTCTGGGTGAGGAGGGTAAGGATGGGTGGGTGGGGGAGGAGGGGATGGGGAGGGAGCGGGCGGAGAAAGGTGGGGAGAGAGTGAGAGAAGAAAAGAGGCGAGATGTGCAGGAAGAAGGAGAGGGAGGCATGGGTGCTGCTATGCTACTCCGTTGGAGGTTGGAGGGAAGGGGGAACAGAGTGGAGGGTAGAAAAAAAAGAAAGAAGAGGAAATTGACGATACAGGTGGGCCTTGATTACATGTGCTATGTTAGTAAGCACATATGTGCATGCACATGCTACCCCTTCCCCCCCCAAAACACACACACACACACACACACACACACACACACACACACACACACACACACAAGCTGATCTCGATGTCATCACCACCATCACCATCACCATCACCATCACCATCACCATCACCATCACCATCACCATCACCATCACCACTACCCATCATCATCACCACATACCTCTCGTGAGTTCCGCCCCACATATCGCCTTTCCACAAAGACTGCTCGAATAAACTCCCTCACAGACTGGGGGTCACTGCGGTGGCGAGGGGGATGGCGAAATTTAGGGAAAAGGAAGGTACAAGGGTCGGGACTCGGGAGGAGGGAAGGGGAGAGGGAATGGTGGGCAGCTGACCGCCAAGCTGGATGGCACAATGCATACGGTACGGCAGACACAGGCACCATTTCTCAGTGATCCCTTTGTGGTTAACAACGGCTTGCCTGACCCCCGAACAGGGCTGCAGAACAATGAATCTATGTGTACGGGAGTCCATCAGGATCAGCAAGAGAAGCAAGACTAGCAGCGAACAGAAGCACTCGTCAGTGACTTACTTGCTGTTGGGAGGGGCACGGCCGGCCCCCGGGAGAAAGTACTCTCTCGCCCGCTGTGAGAAAGCGAAGGGAGGAGGCGGGGGAGGGGTGGATGGAAGAAGCACAGGAGAGAGCACTGCATTGCTCACCAGCAACCTGTGATCACAGGCACAGCCTGATCATGACAATCTGACGTGGAGGAACCAGCAACCACCACTTGCCTTTCTTCCAGCCGTCATTCTGGTTACCACACCTCAATTGGTTACCAGCTTCCTCACCCAGTGACCACCACTCACCCAGTGACCACCTCTCACGCAGTGACCACCTCTCACCCAGTGACCACCACTCACCCAGTGACCACCACTCACCCAGTGACCACCACTCACCCAGTGACCACCTCTCACGCAGTGACCACCTCTCACGCAGTGACCACCACTCACCCAGTGACCACCTCTCACCCAGTGACCACCTCTCACGCAGTGACCACCTCTCACCCAGTGACCACCACTCACCCAGTGACCACCACTCACCCAGTGACCACCACTCACCCAGTGACCACCTCTCACGCAGTGACCACCTCTCACGCAGTGACCACCACTCACCCAGTGACCACCACTCACCCAGTGACCACCTCTCACGCAGTGACCACCACTCACCCAGTGACCACCTCTCACGCAGTGACCACCTCTCACGCAGTGACCACCACTCACCCAGTGACCACCACTCACCCAGTGACCACCTCTCACGCAGTGACCACCACTCACCCAGTGACCACCTCTCACGCAGTGACCACCACTCACCCAGTGACCACCTCTCACCCAGTGACCACCTCTCACCCAGTGACCACCTACCGCCCAGTAACCAAGTTACCAGCTCTCACCGGGTTGGCTCCTTGCTGCAGCGCCGCCAGGCGTGACTTAGTCCATTGATACTGACTTACTTGGAACGAACTCCCATCTGGTTACCATCTGCCTGGTTAACACCTCTGGTTACAAGTCATCTGGTTACCATCGCTCACCTGGTTTGCTCCCTGCTGCAACGCCGCCACCTCTTCAGGTGTAAACTTGGCCATTGACACCGACTTGACACGATGGTTGAACTCACGGCTGCAAATGGCAACATGCAAAAACGAATATAGCACATAAGTAGCGTGTACATGAGAGGTATAGTGAAAAACGAAAATGATAAGAACAACAAACAAAACAAGGGGAAAAGTGGGAGAAAGAATGAAATGAACTGCTGGGCCCTTGAGGGGACACGGGGAACATCGAAAGGACCGCGCAATGAGCACAGTCAATGTGGAACAGAGAGGACACTCAACTGGACACCGCTGCATGAAGGACAGACGAAGATGCTGTAATTGGTGCAAACATACTGAGGGCCCTGGGGGGTTTGTGGTGTGCAGTGTTGGGGAGAGAGAGGAGACGGAAAGTTGATGATAATGGTGCGGAAGTGATTGTAATCGGTCAGGTCGTATGTCAAGGTATTATGGCAGGGAAAGACGTTAGAGTTAGTGTAAACGAATGCGAGTGATTTTTTACTGACATGACATTTACACAATGGCATGGCATGGTCACGGCAATGTCATCACATCACCTAAGATGATGACATAACACTGACATAACGATGACAGAACACTGACATCACGATGACAGAACACTGACATAACGATGACAGAACACTGACATAACGATGACAGAACACTGACATGACACTGACACCACATTATCATGTCATGACTTCGGCAAGACGTTGACATGGCAGAAGGCATTGGCATGACAGTGGAAACCCATTGACATTACATTGACACGGCAGCGAGGAGAGATTGACATAATTTTACTTCACATTGATACGACACTGACATGACATTAACACTAAATTATCATATTATGACAAGACTATGCTTTGGCAATGAGAAAGCAATGGCATGGAGGGCACGGCAAGAAGCAGGTACCAGGCTGTTGCAGTTGAAGCATTTCCGGTTGTCCGGAAGCTTCATCAATGCGCGAATGATCTTCTCGTGCTTCTCGTCCTCTCTCATCGTGACCACCGCGACGTCCGCGAAAAATCACGAATGTTACAACGACCACGAACAATCGCGTACGACCGCGAGCGACCGCGAACGACAATGACGAGGTCCCTCTCGACGACTTCGACGATGACGACGACAATGACGAGGTCCTTCTTGATTTGAAGGCTACCGTCGCGAGCTCGTTCCCCCTATTCGCAACTTCGTTGACGATAGTTACCCCACTGTAAGGAACCAAGTAGTTGAATTCTAAACAGATCGTCGTTAGTATTTCTCGAATGGCCTAGGATTGCCTCGGTTGGCTTGCACTGAACTCGGAAGAACAACTCTCGGACGAGTCATGAAGAGTAGGTTATATAACTTGAGTCATGAAGAGTAGGACTGCTTGAGCTGCTACGGAATCTCCAGAGTGAGCTGCGAGGGATACCGGTGAGTTGAAAGGATTCCGTCGGAAGTATTCCGTCAGAAGGAATGCTGTACAGGGACTGGCTGCGAAAAGGATTGCGAGAAACGAATTTCTGAGGGAGAAGTAACCAGTCTGTGCGAGAAAGGTGCCCCCTCTGGAAGAATCGATGGTCGCTGGACGGCATTACCATGGGGATGCTTCAGGAATCATAATAATATATGTACGTTTTAGCATAAATTCCATAGCTACACTGTATCTCATTGTCGTTGATATAGCATGGACTCGTTACAGTGAAGCTGGACCACAAACGACGTGGCGCCGTTCGAATCCAGCATAGCACCGACCAGAGGCGGCTGGGAATCGAGCGACAGCTGGCGTGGCGAGGTTTCGGCTATCGACGAAATTGCATCCTCGTGCAACACTTGCTGACGTAAGCGTGGTTCACAATTTTGCGAAAACAATCAGGAGCCCGGCGATCTGATTGCCAGCAAAACGCAGCAATCAGCGACATTTATGCGACGTGCGCGACTCTAACGAAACCACCTGAACACGCATGGGTTTCGCGACTTGCTCGCCGCAAAGGTGCGAATTGTCAACATGACGAGCTATCGTATGTATCTACTCGGTTATGCCAGCAAATTAGTATACCAACTAGTTAGTAGCTGAGCAAAGTACACAACAGAATCGCTGCTGATTCTGCTATATACGCGACAAGAAGCTATGGCAGCGAGCGCTGCGCGCCGATGGGGCCTCGACCAACTATCAGTCCGCGGCAAGGTAGCTCTCGTAACGGGCGCCTCGTCGGGAATCGGCCACGATCTCGCGCTCTTCCTCGTGGCACGTGGATGCCACGTGGTCGCCGCAGCTCGGCGCGTGGACCGCTTGGATCAGCTGTGCGCGGAGGCGGAAGAATTGCGTCGAGAGGGCGAAGGGATGTGCGGAGAGGGGGATGATCCGCGCAAAGAGAGAAGCTCTGATTTATCAAGCCCGGTGGAAGCTGGAGGACGGGAATGGCGGGGCGCCTCGGGAAACGAGGCGGCTCAGGAACCATCGGTGGGGAATGTTGGGCGGCCAGAATCGCGATTCGTTGTGGGGAACGAGACCCCGGGGCGCATGAGGGCAGTCGCGATGGACGTGGCGGCGGACGAGGCGGCGGTAGATGCGGCGGTGCAGGCGGCGTGGGACGCGTTCGGGCGGATAGACGTGCTGGTGAACAACGCAGGGTTCCGAGGTGAGCCGCGTTGACTTGCCTTGACTCGCGTTGACTCTCTTCTCTCCTTTAACGTTCGGGCGGATCGATGTGCTGGTGAACATCGCTGGGTTCCGAGGTGAGGCGCGTTGACTCGCGTTGACTTGGGCTGACTGCCTTCCCGCATTGGTCTGCCTTTTCGTCCTGTTGAACGTGGGGTGAGCCGTGTTACTGCACCAAGCGTGACTTGCTTGACTTTGTTTGACTTGCTTCGCTTAGAATCCTATTGACTTGGAGTGGGATGTCACGTGTTTCCAAACTTGCAGGGAAAAAGGTTGACGCGATCGACATCAGCCAATCAGAGTTCGACACGTCATTCCACACCAACGTCCGAGGCGCGTGGCTCGTTTCCAAGGCTGTGGTTCGGCGCGCGCTGGGGCGGACAGGCGGGGGGACGCGAGGAGAGGGGCGGAGGGGGGTGCGAGGGGAGGGGAGGGGTATGGGAATGGGGGGCAAAGGAACGGAGGTGAAAAGGGAGAAGGCTCCTGAAGGGGGTAATAACGGAGGCACCCGTACGGTTCTGAGTGTAATCAACATCGCATCTACGGCCGGTATTCCTGGTGCCATTCTCCCCGGCGGTGCTGCCTACTCCTCCTCCAAGGCTGCTCTCATGCGCCTCTCTGTGGTGCGTGCATTTGGGGGAATGAGGGGATGGGGGATGGAAGGGAAAAGAAAGGCCAATCCCCCGGCGGTGCTGCCTACTCCTCCTCCAAAGCTGCTCTCATGCGCCTCACTGTGGTGCGTGAAGGAGGGGGAGGGGTAGGGATGGGAGATTGGGTGGGCGGGGGATGGGGAATGGGGAAAGGGTGATGAGAATGGGAGGGCAAGGTCATTCTCCCGGCGGTGCTGCCTACTCGTCCTCCAAATCTGCTCTCATGCGCCTCACTGTGGTGCGTACAAGGGAAGGGGGAAGAGGATGGTTGATATTAGGGGTAAGGATGAGCGAGGAGAGTGGGATAGAACGGGATGGTGCCGCCTATTCCGCCTCTGCCTACTCCTCCTCCAAGGCTGCACTCATGCGCCTCACTGTGATGCGTGGGGGGGGGGTAGGGAGGGGGGTTGAGGGGAATGTGGGGTGGAGGGGGTAGGGGGAAGGGATCGGGTAGTGGCAGTCAGGAGATGGGTAGTGGCTGGGGAAAGAAAGGCCATTCTCCCCGGCGGTGCTGCGTACTCCTCCTCCAAGGCTGCTCTCATGCGCCTCACTGTGGTGCGTGCATAGGGAGGGGAGGGGAAGGAAATGCTGGAAAGGGTAGGGGGGAATGGAGTTGGGGTGGAAGGCAGGGTATTCGAGGTGCCATTCTCCCCGGCGGTGCTGCCTACTCCTCCATAGCTGCTCTCATCCGCGTCACTGTGGTGCGTGCATTGGGGGGGGAGAAATAGGGATGGGGGGGAGAGGATAGGCGAATGGAAGTCCGAGGATTTGGCAGGGCCATTCTCCCCGGCAGGGCAGTGCCTACTCCTCCTCCAAGGCTGCTCTCATCCGCCTCACTGTGGTGCGTGCAGGGGGAGGGGGGTGGGGGATGGGGGCAGGTGATAGGGGATGGGAGTAGGGAGGAGCGATGAGAGTAGCTTGAACATCGGAAAGCTCACTTTCTCTTTCTCTTGCCATCATCCCTATCACAGGCCATGGCGGTTGAGTTGGGCGAGCATGGCATTCGCTGCAACTGCATTGCACCGGGAATATTCCGATCCGAGATCACCGAGGCAAGAAGGGGGGTGAGGGGGTGGTGGGTGGGGGGTAAGAAGGGGGAGGGGAGGTGGTGGGTTGGGGGGTGGGTGGGGGGTAAGAAGTGGGGGAAGGAAGAACAGGGCAGTGGAGTTGGGAGACCATGGCGTTTGCTGCAACTGCATTGCGCCGGGCATATTCCGATCCGAGATCACCGAGGCAAGAATGGGGAGGGGTGGACGGGGGATTGATGGTACCGGAAGGCCAAGAGCTGCTGTATGTGCATTTTCAGACAGTTTGGGAAAGCCTTGAATGGATAGGAACACACACCTTCCCTCGCTGCTCTCCTCCCTCCACCCCTCCCTGCCTCCCTCTCACTTATCACTTGTGTGCATCTCTGCAGAAGCTCTTAGACAAGCCGTGGATGGAGCGGAACGCACAGGTGCTGGTGCCAATGCAGAGGTACGACAAGGTTGGATGGGTTCTGAGGGTTTAAAGAGAGGTCTGAGGATTGAATGCGAATGTATCAAGGGAGAAAGGGCAAGTCGTGGATGGAGCGGAATGCACAGGTGGTGGTGCCAATGCAGAGGTACGACAAGGTTTGCATGGGTTTGTAAAATTTAGGAGGTTTTGATGGGTTTGGAGGGGTTAAACGGTTTCAAAGGATTAGTTGGTTATAAGTGTTTTAAGAAATCATTTTGGACCTTCAAGCCATCGCAACACTGGCAAATATTTCAAATGAAAGGGACTGGTTTTGCTTATGGACCGAAGACTGGTAGTGCTTATGGCGCTCAAACTATTCAACCCTCCCCCTGTGCGTCCCCCTCCCCCTGTGCGTCCCCCTCCCCTCACAGGTGGGGTTCCATCCACCCCGACCTCACATCCCTGCTGCTTCTCCTCGCCTCAGATGCATCGGCATACATCACAGGGCAGTGCATTGCCGTGGACGGGGGGCATCACTTGATGCGAGCTAGGTTGAATCCCAAGCTGTGACTCTAGCGCGATTATGAAATGCCTTGATGTGGGTTTTATGGACCCTTTTACAGTGCCGATGTACAGTACTATAAAGGAGAGAAGGTGCCCAACCCAGGTGCCTTACATTACACAGACAAAAGCTGACCAATGTGCGATATGTACGGTACCGCTTTTTCAAATACCGTAGGTCAGAGTAAACGATTGACTTGCATATTTGCAAACTATACACACATAGGCTTCCAGTGAAGTGACATGACATAATCAGATCCCAACAGGGACGTCAAGCGACCCTGATGCTAGGAGCCGTGAAAGCACCTGCAATCGCAACAGCAGGGCACGAGAACTGGGGGTAAACTTGAGGATTACAGAATGTGATTCTTCCCAATACCGGCATGGACGAGAGCGAGTGATTCGCCTCTAACAACTCTCCTCTCTGCCTTCACCCCTCCTCCATCCCTCCCTAGACAATAACCCCTAACTTCTTTCACCCTTTTCACGCCTTCCCAATCTCACCTCCCCCCCATCTCACCTCCCCACATCGTGCCTCTATCTTGATACGAGCAATGCCATCAGCACGGTTTGGCTTCACAGCTAGCAGTGCTAACGGCTTGCCTTCATGTACTCATTGGCTGGAAGGACAGCAGAGGGTGAGGGGTTGGGTTGGATGAGAAGGGGTTGGGACGTGGGGGGTGAGGAGTGCAACAGCAATGCCATCAGCACGGTTCGGACCCACAGCTAGCAGTGCCAGCGGCTTGCCTTCTTGCACGCATTGGCTGGAAGGGGGAAGGAGGGTGAAGGGTGAGGGGAGGATGGGTTGGCCCCACAGCTAGCAGTGCCAGCGGCTTGCCTTCTTGCACGCATTGGCTGGAAGGGGAGCAGAGGGCAGGGGAATGAAGGGAGTGGGGGAAAGGGTACAGGCAGGGGCAGCATTGAAAGAGAGAAGAGCATCAGCACGGTTAGGGCCCACAGCTAGCAGTGCCAGCGGCTTGCCTTCATGCACGCATTGGCTGGGGCATGGGAGTGGGGGAGTGTGACGGGTTGGGGTATGAAGGGTTTGGGAAGTGGGTGGTGAGGTGTGCTGCAGCAATCCCATCAGCGCGGTTTGGCCCCACAGCTATCAGTGCTAACGGCTTGCCTTCTTGCACGCATTGGCTGGGAGGGGGAAGGAGGGTGAGGGGTGAGGGGGGTGGAAAGTGGGTTGTGGGTGCTAGAAGTGCTTGCGGCTTGTCTTCTTGCACGCACTGGCTGGAAGGGCAGCAGAGGGTGGGGGAATGAAGGGGGTAGGGGAACGGGTAGTGGCAGGGGCAGCACTGAAAAAGAGAACGCCGTCAGCACGATTGGGACCCAAAGCTAGCGCTGCTAAAGGCTTGCCTGATTCACACATTTTTTGAAGTTGTTTTTCCTATTATTTTCCTTAATTTAATATTTTTAACATTGATTATATTTTGTTGTTGTTTTTCTTTCCGCACCTTGCGATCCTGAAAGCTGAGAGCACCATCAGCGAGGAGCCAACGACCAATAGCGAGTCGGCAGATGACATCATCCGGGCAGCTTCTTGGTTGCGGGCAGGTGGAAGGTTGTCCCCAAAAAGTACAACCTGCCCAAGGTCATGAAAATAACCACAAGAAGAAGAGCTTTAACAGCGTGGAAAATCAAAAAGATATTCTGCAACATGATAGATCAAGAGACAAGGCACGGCCTACTCACATTGGGTTTCAACACGCCGCTACATGCACCACAGCTCGGCACAATAAACTCCCCGTGCCTCTCCCACTCCTCCTCACTGATCTCTATATCCCCATCCGGCCGCCTCCGCATGCCCATCAACTCCCGTTCAGACATTCCAGCATTTCTTGTCTCTTCACTCCTCTGCTGCCGCCTCCTCATGCCAAATGACTCGTCCGACCCTGCCGGTCCGCCCTCCTCCAGATGCTCCACCGCTGCTGCCCACTGCACGGGTAGTAAAGAGATGGAATGGGGGGCAAGGGAAAGGGGGAAGAAGCCAAATGACTCGTCCGACCCTGCCGGTCCGCCCTCCTCCAGATGCTCCACCGCTGCTGCCCACTGCACGGGTAGTAAAGAGATGGAATGGGGGGCAAGGGAAAGGGGGAAGAAGCCAAATGACTCGTCCGACCCTGCCGGTCCGCCCTCCTCCAGATGCTCCACCGCTGCTGCCCACTGCACGGGTAGTAAAGAGATGGAATGGGGGGCAAGGGAAAGGGGGAAGAAGCCAAATGACTCGTCCGACCCTGCCGGTCCGCCCTCCTCCAGATGCTCCACCGCTGCTGCCCACTGCACGGGTAGTAAAGAGATGGAATGGGGGGCAAGGGAAAGGGGGAAGAAGCCAAATGACTCGTCCGACCCTGCCGGTCCGCCCTCCTCCAGATGCTCCACCGCTGCTGCCCACTGATTCGATTTTGAAGCAGGGGGGAGAGCGGAGGAGAAGGGGGGAAGATGGTGGGGTGAAGAAACCTCACGTGTCCCACTCCTCCTCACTGATCTCTATATCCCCATCCGGCCGCCTCCGCATGCCCATCAACTCCCGTTCAGACATTCCAGCATTTCTTGTCTCTTCACTCCTCTGCTGCCGCCTCCTCATGCCAAATGACTCATCCGACCCTGCCGGTCCGCCTTCCTCCAGATGCTCCACCGCTGCTGCCCACTGCACGGGTAGTAAAGAGATGGAATGGGGGGCAAGGGAAAGGGGGAAGAAGCCAAATGACTCGTCCGACCCTGCCGGTCCGCCCTCCTCCAGATGCTCCACCGCTGCTGCCCACCGCACGGGTAGTAAAGAGATGGAATGGGGGGCAAGGGAAAGGGGGAAGAAGCCAAATGACTCGTCCGACCCTGCCGGTCCGCCCTCCTCCAGATGCTCCACCGCTGCTGCCCACTGCACGGGTAGTAAAGAGATGGAATGGGGGGCAAGGGAAAGGGGGAAGAAGCCAAATGACTCGTCCGACCCTGCCGGTCCGCCCTCCTCCAGATGCTCCACCGCTGCTGCCCACTGCACGGGTAGTAAAGAGATGGAATGGGGGGCAAGGGAAAGGGGGAAGAAGCCAAATGACTCGTCCGACCCTGCCGGTTTGCCCTCCTCCAGATGATCCACCGCTGCTGCCCACTGCACGAGTAGTAAAGAGATGGAATGGGGGGCAAGGGAAAGGGGGAAGAAGCCAAATGACTCGTCCGACCCTGCCGGTTTGCCCTCTTCCAAATGCTCCACCGCTGCAGCCCACTGCATGGGTGGAAAGAGAGGGGAGGTAGGGGAAGGAAGGGAAACGAGGAGAGGAGGAGGGGATGTGATGCCCCTTGTACCTTTGCCTCCTGCCCTGCCGGTCTGCCCTCTTCCAAATGCTCCACCGCTGCAGCCCACTGCATTGGTGGTAGGAAAGAGATGGAAGGTAAGCGAAAGGAAAGACAGCCGAATCATCTGTCTGACCCCGGTTGGGGGGTCAAGGAAAGAAGAAATGGGGGTGACGGTGGTGGGGGGGATGGAGGAGAAGGAAGGGGGAGGGAAACGAGAAACGGCATTGGTCACCGGACGCGTTAAACCAAGTGGTGGGCCTCACGTTTCTCGACCGGACGTTGACTGGACAACGTAATTAGAGCGCTGACCTGCTGCGCTGTGTTCCATTGGTTGAGCGGAGAACGAGGGAGGAAAGGAGCAGCAGAGCGTGGGAGTGGGCATGCAAGTTGGGTGGGGAGCAAAAGCGAACAGAAACAGATGCAGATTTCACTCATGTCGTCTTGGCATGAACCAAGCTCTATTTTTTTGCTTCGTGCTAAGGTATAACGGCCAGGGCCAGACATAAGAGAGAAGAACATACCTCAGGGTTGGCTTCTTTGATCCTTTCCTGGAAGGTTCTTCGACACGAGATGTCTCCACAGTTCATGCAGACCACCTGATAAGATGACGAAAACAGGAGATGTACCAGAAAGGAAAATCCACCTACATGAGTAGATACAATACAAGTGAGAGGCAAGAGGCAAGCCCAGCCGCATGAACCAAGTTCCAACCAGCGCAAGAGGCATCCCATCTCATGAATTTTTCAAAAGTCACCTCAATACAAGTGAGAGGCAAGAGGCAAGCCCAGCCGCATGAACCAAGTTCCAACCAGCGCAAGAGGCATCCCATCTCATGGCGTTGTTAAAGCAATCAACTCTTTGCCATGATGCATGAAACAAGGGAAGCGTACATTTGCTACTCATCTCTCTTCTTACTTCTCAGCCCTTATATGCAGCTTACCTCGTGCGTGGTGCCGTGGAGTTCAAGGGCTGGGCTCCCCGCAATGTGGTGCAATCTATGGGGGAGCCAGGATGGATGGGCGCGTGAAATGGGAGGAGAGCAGGGGGAGGGAGAGTGGGGAGAGTGTCAAGGGAGGTTCACTGGAGTGCCGTGGAGTTCAAGGGCTGGGCTTCCCGCTATGTGGTGCAGTCTGGGGGAGAACCCAAACGATGGGGGCGTGAGATGGGAGGGAGACGGGGAGGAAAACGGAAGGGGGAGGGGGGGTGGGTGGGGATTAGAAGGAAGTATGCTGGAGTATCGTGGAGTTCAAGGGCTGGGATTCCAGAAATACAAATTTTGAGGCGCCTCAAAAATAGTATCGTGGAGTTCAAGGGCTGGGATTCCAGAAATACGTTGCATTCTCAGGGGGGAAATATTGGTGCGACGTTGGCAGCATCTGAAACATAACAGCGTCTATAACACCCTTCTCAACGTTCTGAGTGATGATGCCGCCCGCCAGCCTCCCCCTCGCATGCAGCCGCGCCGGTGCCCTGTGCGCCGTGGCTGAATGGCTCTCAGTGACCTCCCCAGTCACGCCTTCACCCACACCTCCCACACACACCGCCTTCACCCACACTCCCACACACACCACCTTCACCCACACTCCCACACACACCAGGCTAAGTCTCTGAAACGCACCTGTCAACGTTCTGAGTGATGATGCCGCCCTCCTGTCTCCCCCTCTCATGTAGCCGCGCCAGTGCCCTGTGCCCCGTGCCCTTCAAGCATAACAGTCCAGCCCCCTTGCTAGTTTTGAGGCGCCTCAAAGCTAGACCCCTCTCATGCAGCCGCGCCGGTGCCCTGTGCCCCGTGCCCTTCAAGCATAACAGTCCAGCCCCCTTGCTGCACGCCTTCTGAGGCGCCTCAAAAGCGTCCTGTCTGCCGTGCCTCTCAAGCATAACAATACAGACACCCCCCGTGCTACACGCCTGGCAACGTTTGAAACGCACCTGTCAACGTTCTGAGTGATAATACCGCCCGCCAGTCGCCCCCTCGCATGCAGCCGCGCCAGTGCCCTGTGCGCCGTGCCCGGCCGGGCAGCTGAAAATCTCCGCCAGCCAATGAAGCTGCGAGCCCAGTAGCGTCTCCGGGCAGACAGGGAACGAACAAAGTCCTGGAGTTGGAGGCAACAAGTTGAGAATTGAGGGGCCTCAAATCACTCCTCCAACACCATGTTCAAAAGCATGACACGAGAATGGATTAAGAGGCTTAAAAAATGGAACAAACAGAGTGTTTGGTGGATCTTGCCGTGTACCCTTTACTGCTTCCTTACTAGCCGTATTTTCGAATGCATGAAAACTCCTCTCCCTCTCAAGTACCTGCCTGGTGGATCATTGGCTTGTACCCCTTACTGTATGCTCCGCCTGGGCTGCACATTTTTCACAACGCAAGGATCCATGCAGTCGTGCAAAACCATGAAGCCAAAAGAAACAGAATCGATGAAATGAAAACCGGAAAAAAAAACCGTCAAGGAAGTTTCAGGAACTCTTCTGGCGTGCTGATCACAGCGACTGTTAGCACCACCACCAGTCTATTGAAAATCATTCCCCTTATAGACTGACCTTCTATAATCCGGAATGCCGCTCTCCGTGCTCACCCCAGCGCCAGTCAGCACCAGCAGCCGGCGGCTGTCGGCCACGAAATCGTGCAGCTGCTCCAGCTGTCCGTCCGTGATTGGCGGAGCGTCGGGGATTATGGACGTTGACATGGTGCGAGCGAACCGGGTACCTGCTAACGCGTGGCGACTGTGGCCGGAAATTGCGTGATGCGTTGATTTGTGCTGCTCTTTTGGATTCGATTTGAATGGTATATTATATGCCTCCTTATCACGCCCTCTTATGCCAGAGGTGACGGGACCAATCGTGTCGCTAGCACTGGAGAAAACTAGGCGACACGATCGGATGGTGTTACTGCTATCAAGACTGCCACTACCACTGAAAATACTCTTCTTGATCCCAGAACTAATTCTTCCAAAATCAATTCCGTTACTAAATCTCAAGGGCCACTCCGCCATGTGCGGCGCATAGAGCTTGTTAGCTAGCATCCTCGCCATGAATCACCCTCAAGAGATAGGATACCGTGCGAAAAAAACCAATAACTGGCAACGGAAAATCGCAGACCACCCGCGAGTCGCGAAGTGAAGACCTTGCTGCTTGCTCAGCAAGAAATCAGGCTGATTCCCACTAGGAGGCTTCTGGAATCTGGAGCTCCACGGACAATGATTGCGGTTGGATGCAATCGTTTACGTTTCAGCGGGTTCAGATACGTTAGATCGGTTTAGTCCGAGTAGTTTTGTGGCTCAGTCGCAGTCGTCAATCTCAAGGCACATGTGCAACTGCTGTAATGGAAAGGAAAGTTTCGATAATAAGCAGCTCGTTACGAGTAACTGATAGGTGGCTGCTTTTGTTTCACAAGTGAAACAGAGATCAATATTAATTCATCACAGCAGAAAAATTGTAACGGCAGTCGCTGTTCGCGAACTGTGTTACCCGATGTCTTGTGTCCCGACCCCCACGAGGGTTTTAGGGGAACCCCATCTATCTTTCTCAAGAAGGCACCACTCTTTAGGCCTCTGTAACGCGGGTTCCTCTACTAGAACCGCATAAAACCTTGCTCAAATACCAGAATTTGGCCCTCATTAGGTCACACAAACCCAGATCCAGCCACTATCAAAGCACCACAGAATTCCGCTAGATTCTTTTCCCCCTTTATCGCGCTTCAGCACCATTTATTGGCATTCTCAAGCTTGCTGTCGCTTCCCGAATCTCGCGTGATTCGCGGTGTCGTTTGAAGGACTATCTCGCACCTGTTACGCCGTTGCCTAATTCCACAAAGCGTCACCCCATTAGTCGGCAGTCGTAACTCATCAGCCGTCAGCCGTGAGCCGTCAGCCGTCAGCCGTCAGTTAGCCACGCAAGATGATTTACGACGTCAACTCGGCGCTCTTCCGTTCGTTTCTGAGCACCAAGGGTGCAGTCGCCGACAAGAAGTAAGCTCTCCTTTCCTTCTTATGCGTACACTTGACCCTCGTTCCTCCTCTGCTTCCCCTCACGGTCTCGCGCTTCCTTCTTGTTTTTCTTAGTTTCTATCATTTTCCCCTAATTTCTGCCACCTCGTTTCCTCCTTCCGCCCTCGTTCGTCCGCAATACGTGCTTCGAAGCAGGAAGATATCGTCCGACGATGCAGCGGCCGCAGCAGCGTCAGCGGCTCTGAAGGAAGCTTCACTGAAAGACTCGACCAAGCCCGATTCCACAACCATTCAGCAACCCGCCAAGTAGTGTGCTAAAGAAATGCGAAAACCGTTTCTGTAATAACCTACCTTATATTTCCAGTGTAGCCCAACTTGGTTTCAAATGTAGAGAATGCAGCCAACTGCCCTGGGTTGGGTTGGGTTGGGTTGGGTTGGGTTGGGTTGGGTTGGGTTCCCTTCTCTGCCCCTCCCTACCATTGCCTACAACTATGCCCATGCCTGTGCGCATGCCCATGCCCATCAAACAAATCGCGCAGGAGAGGCTGCCTGGAGCGGAGAGGGGAAGGAAAGGAATTGTGTTGTGTAGCATACACAAGGCTGGGATGGGATGGTGTGGGAACACGGTTTTATACAAAGAGGAAGTCAAATTATTATGTTATATTTTTGGGGTGTTACGGTAAGCACCAGGATGTCAAGATCTGAATCAAGCAAGCAAAGACCTAAGCAGTTACTCTGGGCATCTCTGTCACTGTTGCCACCAGCTCTTCAGTGTATGTGCGCGGCCGTAAGGGAGCAGCAGCAGGCCCCCCGCCAGAAGAATCCATCGCAATGTAATTACCGTATCCCACGCGAAGCACACAAACATGGTTGCGACGACGGGCACACAGACTGCCCAGCTCGTCAAACACCTAACTAGCTAACCATGTGCTCTGGGCACCACTGTGGCTACCAGCTCCTCTGTGTGCGAGGTCGCCAATGGAGCAGCAGCACCCCCTGTGGCACCCCCAGCAGAATCCACCTCGATACGGTTGTCCCACGCGAAGCACACAAGCATGGTGGCGACGACGGGCACAAAGACTGTCCAGACCTTTCAAACACCTAATCAGGCATTTGACCTGGGCACTACTGTAGCTATCAGCTCCTCCGATTGTCCAGTCGCTAAGGGAGCAGCACCCCCAGCAGCATCCATCTCGATACGGTTGTCCCACGCGAAGCACACAAACATGGTGGCGACGACGGGCACAAATACGAGCTTGAAGGAGAAGGCTGTGATGCCGACGGCAAGGGCCACGGGCAGGAAGACAAAGAGCGCTTGGATGGTGTCGGTCTTGAGAAGATGGCCGAAGAGAGGCAGCATGAGGATGGACTGGATGGGGAGGGTCAGGGAGGGGAGGGAAGAAGGGGAGAAGAGGGGGTTTGAGATGAATGGTTATGGCATTGCATAACGGGGAGGAACGCGAAGAGGGCTTGGATGGTGTCGCTCTTGAGTAGATGGCCGAAGAGAGGCACAATGAGGATGGACTGGATGGGGGGGAGGGAAAGGGTAGGGAGGAGGGGGCCGGGGGAAGAAACGGAGGAATAAGATTGCACACAATGAGATGAGAGCACGGAGGGGAAGGAGAAGATAGCTTGTATGGCGTCGGTTTAGAGGAGATGGCTGAAGAGATTACTATGAGGATTTTTGAGTCGACTCAAAAATCGGGTTTGAGGAGATGACTGAAGAGATTACTATGAGGATGTCTTTTGAGGCGCCTCTAACCAAAGAGAGCAGCATGATCATGGAATGGATATGGGTGGGTGGTTTAGAAGAGCAGGAGTAAGGGGGAGGTGGGGAGAAGGGACAGGTGGGGATTGTACAGTTGAGGTTCACAGGTAGTAATGCAGCTAGGAACAGCTTATAAAGGGGACAGTTAGGGCTCGAGGAGAAGGAGCAGGGTGAGGGAGAAAACAAGTAAGTAACTCGGATGGGAACAACTTAGAACGGGTGGCACTTCTATTCTTACGAAGAAGAAGAAGAAGAAGAGAAGAATCAAGGCGACGATGGGTGAGATGAGATGACACCGAGGATGCTCTTGGCGGTGAGGTGAGGTTGACGGCGAGTAATTTACTCGTGGGGGGGATAGCTTGTAACGAGGACAGACACACAGGCAGGCAGATCTTACAAGGAAGAGGAGGAGAAGAAGGGTGACGACGGTTGAAATAACTCCAAGGATGCACTTGGCGGTGAGGTTGACAGGTAGTGAGTAGCTTGTGTCGGAACAGCATATAACGGGTGGCAGATCTTACAAGGAAGAGGAGAAGGATCAGGGTGACGACGGTGGAGATGACTCCGAGGATGCACTTGGCGGTGAGATTAACAGCGAGGGCGGACTTGAGGTGGTTGCGGAGCAGAGAAGCGGAGAGAGCGAGGGAGCGGCGCGAGCCGTGGCCTGATATGGCCGCCACCACCACCACGAACCTGGGGAGGGGAGGGGTGGGGGGGAAGAGGGGGGAAGAGAGGAAGGGGGAATGGGGTGGGGGGGGAAGCAGTGGCGCAAGGCGGAGAGAGCGAGCGAGCGGCGCGAGCTGTGGCCTGATATGGCCGCCACCATCACCACGAACCTGGGGAGGGGAGGGGTGGGAAAGAGGGGAGGGGGGAATGGGGTGGGGCGGAAAGCAGTGGGGTAAGGCGGAGAGAGCGAGGGAGTGCCGAGAGCCGTGGCCTGATATGGCCGCCACCACCACCATGAACCTGAGGAATGGGGTGGGGGGGGGGGGAGAGGGGGGAAGAGGGGGGAAGAGAGGAGGGGGAATGGGGTGGGAGGGAAAGCAGTGAGGCAACGCGGAGAGCGCGAGCGAGCGGCGTGAGCCGTGGCCTGATATGGCCGCCACCACCACCACGAACCTGGGGGGGGGGGCGTGTGTGGAAGGGGGGAGATGGGGGACGAGAGGAGGGCGGATGGGGTGGCGGGGAAAGCAGTGGGGCAAGGCGGAGAGAGCGAGGGAGCAGCGAGAGCCGTGGCCTGATATTGCCGCCACCACCACCACGAACCTGGGGGGGGAGGAGAAGGGGGATTGGAGAGGGTGGGGTTAGATGCATGTGCGATGACGGAAGGAAGGAGCAGGAGCGGAGGAGGAGGAGGAGGGGGGGGTGGGGGTGGGGAGGGGGGGAGAGGCAGACACGTGAAATCATGACATGGAGGAAGGAGTTGGGAAGGAGACCAGCCGATGGTAGAGAAAGATTTGAGATGCCCTGAGCCTCAGAAAAGGTAGGCACAGAGAGTGGCGGGAGAGGAGAAAAGAACCATATGGGACAAGTGAGGGCATGAGGGCATGAGTGCGTGAGGGCATGAGGCAATTTCACGCGGCTTGACTCACCAGATGAAGAAATACGTGAAGATGAAGAGAGCGAATGCGATCGCGACACGTGGCACCACGACAATCGCCGACATCCCGAACAGCCAAATCACGAGCACGTTGAGCAGCACAGACACCACCGTTGCCAGGGTCAGGATAAAGCTGACGAGACAGATGGTACCCATAGACGAGGAGTAAGCTAGCTTGACAGCCCGAGCCACCACGTTCCATCGATCCACCAGGGCGTCTCGATCGAACCACCCTCCTGCTTCGTCTTGCAAACTCCCCTCCCTGCTGCTGCTGCTGCTGGTGTTGGTGGGGTCTGATTGGTTGGAGTCTCGGTTACTGTAGACCTGCGCTACTGTAGCTGCGGCAATGAACTGGAGAGTCACGCCGATTTGATACGCCATCCAGATGCCTATAAAGAGGAAGATTACAGCGAGAGGGGACAGCCAGTACTGAACCGCTATAGTGTCATTCCATAAGACACATCTCTCCTCCTGGGCATGAAACGGCGAATCAGGTGATCCGAACAATGGATCCTGCTGGAGTAAGAATCTGCAGGAGAAAAACAGCTCAACGAGGCTGGCTATAACGGGTACAAACAGGACGATGCAGAGGAAGGAGAAGATCGCCACCCCCACTATGAGGCCCCGGGCTCGGGTCATCACAGCCTGGGACGCTCGACCAATCACAGTGGACGAAAGCGGGTGGTAATCCTTGCAGACCAATAGCACTGCCAGAACGGCTAAGCCGTTAAGTAAGTCTGTTAAGAACATTTCAAGACTGAGAACGTAGTTTGCGTTGGGATCAGGTCCTGGAGGTGGGGGTACAGGCTGGTTCGGGTTTTCTGGTGGCGCTGGTACCGCAGCTTCCTGGAGCTTTCGCCTGTTGAGATAAGCAGCGAGGTGATTGGTAGCCGTGGCAGTGATGACGTGGATGTGAGATTCGTCTGCTGACGTGTCACGCAGGAAACGCGACATGGAGAACGGAGCCGCGGACTCCAAAATGCTCGCCGCTGATTGGCCGCCGATACCCCCATGCGCGGGTGCTGACGTGGATGTGGATAAGGGAACCCCGGAAATCGCGGACTGTGGGGGCGCGTCAGGCGCCGCAGGAGCAACCGCGGATCTCGGCGGCGGAGGCGGCGTGTGTAGCGCCATGAGGCTGTGAATAACGAAGAACGCTACAGTAACTCTGAGGCACCACTTAACGAGCTTAACGGACATCCTTCTAACGCAGACAAGAAAAACGAACATCGTCGGGAAGATCGACACCAGGGCGATGGCAAGCGCAGAGAGCGCTTCGAGAGAGAAGAAACGCGACGCGAAGGAGTTAAGGGACAGCAACGGTCGGATGAACCAGGAGAACTCCCGCAGAACGAAAATCGCGGCGCAGATGATGAAAGCTCCGGCCCAGACCGGCTCGCGAATGGGACGCTCAGAAGCGTTGAACACGGACGCGGAAGCGTCCAGATTCAGATGACCGCCGGCGCCAAAACGACCGCTTTCCCCGCTTTCACCGGTTTCCTCGGAGAATTTAGCCATGGCGGGTCGTCCTGCCTTCGCTCCTGTCAATCCACCGGTCTCTTCGTCGTTATCGCCGTTGTCGTCGTCGTCATCGTCGTCGTCCCGGCGAGAGACGAGCGGTTTGGTCATGGAGTCAGAATCTGCTTCGGCGGTGGCGACTCTGATGTTACCAGTGCTGCTCAATTCGCCTGGAGCAGGAGCTTTCGCCGGTTTCGCCGGTTTAGTGCTGCTGCTCGACGCAGCGACGTCGTCGGGTAGACCAGACATTTTTTTTCGCTGTGAAGATGCGGGGACTGGCGTGAGGAAACTAGCAGAACCAGCCGTCGAAAAGGGAATCCAGTGGGAAAGAAAAATGGAATCCAATGAATGTCCCACTTTCGAAGACACCCTAACGATATTGTATCCGAAAGGCGACGTCCGCTTCGCAAAGAGAAAGACGCAACTTTTATTTTCCAGAATCTAGTACGTCATAATCACTTCACTCAGAATCGTCACGGGACAGCAGAATCGGGAAGGTCGAACCTAGCAGCCATGAATGTCTTGACTTGATTTTGAGTCGAGATAAGAAAAGCAGCAGATGGTGGAAATGTGATGGTTTCCCAAGAGATGGTGGAAATGTGACGCAACAAATACTACGGTCGAATGCTTTTGAGATGGGTTAGATGGAACAAAAACTCAGGTGACACCGAGGCACCGGCTACGGCCGATAAAGTTGCACTCGATAAAGTTGCTACGGCTGATTGCACTCGATAAAGTTGCTCCGTTATACGAGCAAAATTGATCATTTACGAATCATAACTCTGAGTTACTCTCTACAGCTGTGATGTCATACTTACATGGATATGACACATACGGTACCAGTGCAACTGATATTACACCTGCAAGCAGGTAATTTAATCACTTTCGACATTGTGTGCACAGCATGCAGGCAACCCAATTCGGTAACCATCATAACCAATGAATTCACATCACAGGATCAATCAGGGCTTGACCCCCACGTGGCTGCTGGGTCATCCCCCCTTGTGAGGTACCCCTTTCTGTGCGCCTGAAAATGCACTCCCAGGAATTGAACCGGCGATGTCTGCTTCTCGCCCTCCTTAGCCCAGTCGTCAAAGTGAGTGTAATGCATCGAAGAGGGGCATTTCATGCCATCCTGAGGCCGGTACTTGAAAAACTGCGTGGGCGTCTGTAGGGGGAAAGAACAGTGGGAAGAAGAGGAATATGCAGTCGACAGGAACTGAACCCGCGACCTCTGCTTTTTGCCCTCCTTGGCCCAGTCATCAAAGTGAGTGTAGTGCATCGAAGACGGGCACTTCATGCCGTCCTGAGGCCGATACTTGAAGAACTGCGTGGGCGTCTGCAGGTGTAGGGTGGGGAGAACAGGTAACAAAAAAGGGGCGGAAAGTGCGGTCGCAGGAACTGAATCAGCGAGGCACTTCAAGCCATTGTGAGGCCGGTACGTGAAGAACTGAGTGGGCGTCTGCAGGGGGGAAGAGGGGGAGAGCAGTGGCGGGGAGGAGAGGGGTAGGGGTGGCGAGAAGGGGGAAGGAGGAAGGGCAAGGGGGGAGGAGAAAGGGAGGTTGAATCCTGGGAGGGGGGTTGACTGGGAGCGGGGAGGGGGGAGGGAAGAGGGATGGATTTGGAGGTGGGGGGGAGGAGGGGTAGCAGGTGGGATGACTGAATAACCAACAAATTGTTCTGACCTGAATGGAGAAGTTGTTATCGAAGACGCACCACCCCTCGTCCCACCAGTCCGTGGCATTGCACCAGCGGGGCATGGCAAACGAGTCCACGCGGAACTTGAGGTGGGGGTGCCTCCCTCCCTCTCATGAGTGCTGGTCACTCACTGGCGCACAAAGCAAGCTGCTTGTTCTCACCTGAATGGAGAAGTTGTTGTCAAAGACGCACCACCCCTCGTCCCACCAGTCCGTCGCATTGCACCAGCGGGGCATGGCAAACGAGTCGACGCGGAACTTGGGGGTGAACTTCCCTCTTATGCGCGCTGACCGCTCGGGGGTCACCCCACTCTCCTTGTCACAGATGCACTGACGGGCGGGGAAGGGGAAGAAGGTAAGTTGGTGACGGGAGAGTGAGTAGCAGGGGCAACGGAGGGATTTGTAACCCAAGGGGATCCAGGGATTTAAACACTCTTATGAACACCGGCTTTAAAAGCAAGCTTTCATCAACTATACCTGTGGGTGCAGGTTCTGAGGGTTCTTCATCCAGCAGATCCTGTGTGTATACCATCCCAGCACCACCATGTCATTATAAGCAGGGGCCCGAGCACACGTGGGAATGTCAGGATAATAGCGATCACACCTGTGGGTGCAGGTTCTGAGGGTTCTTCATCCAGCAGATCCTGTGCGTGTACCATCCCAGCACCACCATGTCGTTATAAGCACGCTCCGCTACCAGCCGCGCATCGCCAGGCTGGCCGTACAGCGTTGCTTCCTGGAGTGGACAGGAGGGGAGGGGGGCAGTAGGATAATGGTTACATTGACGTTATAAGCACGCTCCGCTACCAGCCGAGCGTCACCAGGCTGGCTGTACAGCGTTGCTTCCTGGGGCATGCATAAGAGATAGGGGAGAGAATCGAAGAGGGGGAGATTGAGGAAATGGGATAGTGAATGTTTCCTGGATGGCCAAATGGAGTTGCTTAGTGATTGAGAGACAGGGATAACTATGGAACGAACGAATGTAGTGGACATCTGGCAAACTGACTCTTGAGCCGACTCAAAAGTCAAGTCTGAACGAATGTAGTTCACATAAAATGGTGTCTGGCAAATGGTGTCTGGCAAAATAAATGCCAGTTCACAAACGAACGAGTCATTATGCCGCCCTTCTCTTCGAACACATACAGACAGACAGGGGCGATATGAGAGCAGATGAACAGATAACCTGGAAATTAAGCATGGAAAGCATACACCGGACCGGACCGCCACCTGAGCAACCACCTGAGCACACACCTGAACAAAGAGCTGGAAGAAGTCGAGGAAGTCAGAGAGAGCGTCGTACGTCCAGAGGGACACATGCGCGCTCACTGCTGTAGAAGCATACTGGCTGGGGCCTGGCGCGCGCAGACTGAGAAGGAGTGTGTGTGTGTGGAGAGAGGGAGGGAGCGGAGAGGGATGTCACAGAGAGCATCGCACGTCTAGAGAAAGACGTGCGCTCACTGCTGTGGACGCGTACTGGCTTGGACCTGGTGCCCGCAGACTGGAAGAGAGTGAGCGGAGGGAGGGGAGGGAAGTGGGAAGTCTGAGAGGGTATCGGGAAGTCTGGTACACCACGAGGTGCACCCTTGAATAGAGCATGGTGGCGAGCTCAGTGACGCTGGCGAAGAGAATGACGTCTGAGTCGAGGAAGCATGCAGGCGCTCATGACCGCACACGGTACCCTTTGTACGCACCTGGGCCTTGAACACCCATCCCATCCGTACCTGGGCCAGCGCTGCGACACCACCAAATGAACTCTCGAATAGAGCATGGTGGCGAGCTCAGTGACGTTGGCAAAGAGGCACCCATGTACCCACACCCATACTCCATGCCCAAGCAGATGCGGGAGAACAGATGCGGGAGAACAGCATGGTGGCGAGCTCAGTGACGTTGACGAAGAGGATGACGCCCGAGTCGAGGAAGAAGATGCGCTCATGACCGCACACCGTACCCTTTGCCTTATGTACGCACGCATTCACCCATCCGTACCTGGGCCAGCGCTGGGACACCACCAAGTGCACCCTCGAGAAGAGCATGGTGGCGAGCTCGGTGACGTTGGCGAAGACGATGACGCCCGAAATGAGGAAGAAGGCAGGGCACTCATGACCGCACACACACAGTACCCCTTGTACGCACGCAGGCACCCGTCCGTACCAGGGCATGAGCGCCTGCCTTCTTTCTCCCCAAAACGCACGCGTTCACCCACACGTACCTGGGCCAGCGTTGGGACACCACAAGGTGCACGCGGGAGTAGAGCATGGTGGCGAGCTCAGTGACGTTGGCAAAGAGAATGATGTCCGAGTCCAGAAAGAAGATGCCCCTATACCCCACAGCCGTAGCCCACACACCTGAACACCTACACACCTGCGCAACCACAATAAGCACCCACCGTACCTGGGCCAGCGTTGCGACACCACCAAGTGGACCCTTGAGTAGAGCATGGTGGCGAGCTCAGTGACGTTGGCAAAGAGGATGACGTCCGAGTCGAGGAAGAAGATGCGCGGGAAGGCATGGCGCTCCATAAAGGCCTTTAGGATGAACCAGTGCACCTGCTAGGTGAGAGGGGGGAGCAGGGTGGTGAGGGTGAGACGGGAGACACAGGGGACAGATCGCGGGAGGGTGGGAAGGGGAATCCATTGAGGAAGAAGATGAACCAGCGCACCTGCTAGGTGAGAGGGGGGGAGTGAGGCGCGTGCGCGGACCAAGGCGCGCGCGCGGACCAGGGCGCGCGGGCGGACCAGGGCGCGCGCGCGGACCAAGGCGCGCTAGGGACCAAGGCGCGCGCGTGGACTAGGGCGCGCGCGTGGACCAGGGTGCGCGCGCGGACCAAGGCGCGCGCGCGGACCAAGGCGCGCGCGCGGACCAAGTTGCGCGCGTGGACCAAGTCGTCGCTGTCAGGCCCGATGAAATAACACCACCGTGTTGCAGTTGAAAAGAGTATCACGGCACACAATGCAGCCGCAGAGAAGCATACACTCCTGGTAGGAAACTGGGTCGCCTAGGTTAGCAGAGAACCTACCAACAACATCCTGGTACAGTGGTACCCCATGACCGGATCGAGTGAATACAGTTCTTGCGATCAACATGAGTGACAACATCCTGGTACCCAACGACCGGATCGAGAAGAACAATGTCCAGCTCTCTGGCCATCTCCACACACTCGTCGCTGTCGGGTCCGATGAAATACACCACTGCGTTGCCGTTGATAAGAGTAGTTAATAGAGCATCACAGCACACATCACAATGAACGCACGCACCTGGTAGGACACAGGGTCACCGAGGTTGGCTGAGAACCAGCCCACCACGTCTTGATACCCTATGACAGGATCCAAAACAATGTCCAGCTCTCTGGCCATCTCCACACACTCGTCGCTGTCGGGTCCGATGAAATACACCACCGCGTTGCGCTGCCTGATGAGGCGTGCGTGAGGTGCGGAGTAGCATACACACCTGGTGAGGTGCGGAGTAGCATACACACCTGGTGAGGTGCGGAGTAGCATACACACCTGGTGAGGTGCGGAGTAGCATACACACCTGGTGAGGTGCAGAGTAGCATACACACCTGGTGAGGTGCGGAGTAGCATACACACCTGGTGAGGTGCGGAGTAGCATACACACCTGGTGAGGTGCGGAGTAGCATACACACCTGGTGAGGTGCGGAGTAGCATACACACCTGGTGAGGTGCGGAGTAGCATACACACCTGGTGAGGTGCGGAGTAGCATACACACCTGGTGAGGTGCGGAGTAGCATACACACCTGGTGAGGTGCGGAGTAGCATACACACCTGGTGAGGTGCGGAGTAGCATACACACCTGGTAGGACACAGGATCCCCAAGGTTGGCAGAGAACCAGCCCACCACGTCTTGATACCCGATAACCAGGTCAAGAACAATGTCCAGCTCCCTCGCCATCTCCACACACTCGTTCGCTGCCTGCTGTGCCGCAGAGTGGCATACACACCTGGTAGGAAACTGGGTCGCCCAGGTTGGCCGAGAACCAGCCCACCACATCCTGGTACCCTATCACAGGGTCAAGAACAATGTCCAGCTCCCTTGCCATCTCCACACACTCGTCGCTGTCGGGCCCGATGAAATACACCACTGCGTTGCGCTGCCTCGTGTGGCGCAGGTTGCGATGCATGAAGTGGGAGGGACGGCAGGCCACCGAGCCTGACGGTTGTTGGTGGATTACCACCACGGGGATGGGCTGGGACGACGGGAGAGGGAACGGAGGGGCGGGGAGGGAAAGAGCATGCAGAGCGAATGGGTGTGGTGCCTGGTGTGGCGCAGGTTGCGGTGCATAAAGTGGGAGGGGCGGCAGGCCACTGAGCCTGACGGCTGCTGATGCACCACCACCACTGGGATGGGCTGGAAGGCGGGGGGGAAACAAAGGGAAAAACGCAGGGGAGATGCAGGGGAGAGAGCATGTGTGGTGCATGGTGTGGCGCAGGTTGCGGTGCATGAAGTGCGAGGGGTGGCAGGCCACTGAGCCTGACGGTTGTTGGTGGATTACCACCACGGGGATGGGCTGGGGAGGGGGGGCAGAGGGAGAGGGGATAGGCAGGAGAGAAGGGGGGGGGGAGGGAGTGGACGGAGAGGGAGGAGCGGCGGGAGAGTGAGGGAGGGAGAGCAGAGGCAGAGGAGGGACTGAGTATGCATGCAGTGAGATGGGTGTGCTGCCTGCCGTGTGTGGCGCAGGTTGCGGTGCATGAAGTGCGAGGGACGGTAGGCCACAGAGCCTGACGGCTGCTAATGAACTATCACCACTGGGATGGGCTGGGGCGACGGGAGAGGGAGGGACGGAGAGGGAAAGAGCATGCAGTGAGATGAGATGGGTGTGGTGCCTGGTGTGGCGCAGGTTGCGGTGCATGAAGTGCGAGGGGCGGCAGGCCACAGAGCCTGACGGCTGCTGATGCACCACCACCACTGGGATGGGCTGGGGTGTGGGGGAGAAGGAAGGGAGGGACGGAAAGGAGTATGCAATATGTATATTGCCGTTCATGTGCGTCATTTCATGTGGCCTGCAGTGCATGTAGTGGGACGGACCAGGCTACTGAGCTGATTTGTGATTACATAAAGTGTGTACCCTTCAGGCAGAAGTGCATTCGCTAAAATAGACGAACAAGTGTATTAATGGAAGAAAAACTGGGTTTCTCAAGTCACCAAAACACCAAGTCTCAACATCAGCTGGTCTCGGCACATCCACCAGCATGTCCACGTCAGCTGAATAGCCCTGATCGATCCTAGCCATTCCTGATCGAATTTAGGTACCTTCTTAATCAGTCCGCGTCATAATTCCAATCAGTCCTGCTCACCTGTTTCTTCCATGGCTGTTTGAGTGCCGTAGTAATGGCGTCTGGCAACTGGCGGTTGAAAATATCCGACGTGAAATTGGCCGGCTGAGCGAGGGAACAGAGGAAGCGATAAGGAGTGAGGGAGGAGCGGGAGGGGAGGGAGAGGGGACGAGGACGAAAGGGATTGACTAACGAAACGAGCCTTCAAAGTGGCGCGATGCTGATGGCAGGCATTGGCAGCTGGCGGTAGAAAGTTTCTGACATGAAATTGCCAGGCTGGCCGAGGGGACAGACAGAGGGAGCGACAGGGATGGGAGAGTGAGCGCGGCGCGGAGGAGAGACGTTAATCATCTGAGACGTTAATCATCAGAGACGTTAATCATCTGAGACGTTAATCATCCCCCTCTGTTAATCATCAGAGACGTTAATCATCTGAGACGTTAATCATCTGAGACGTTAATCATCTGAGACGTTAATCATCCCCCTCTGTGAGGATGAAAACGTCCTCTGGCGTATGGCAACTGGCGGTTCAAAATATCTGACTTGAAATAGGCAGCCTGAAAATAGTGGGGTGAAAGCACGGGAGAGAGGAGAGGTGGTGGGACGCTGTGACCCGCTTGTGAATGCGGCAGGAAGTGAAAGGTGATGTAAAAGTTTTTTTTTGTTTTTTCTGTTTTTTCTCGAGTTCATCCTCTTTTCTAATGGACTGAACAGGAGGCTTACGGTTATCCGCTTGTGGATGCGGCCTCGTCGGGGAAACGGGCAGGTGAACGGCAGCAGCCAGCAGCCGAGCGTGAGCCATCTGCAATAGGGGAGCCGCGGTGTGTAGGGAAAATTGGGGGGAAGGGGAGGATTGGAGGGAAAGGAGATATACGTGGGCGTGTAGGAGCCAATGTGAAACCGAACGGGAAAGGGCAGGTGAACGGCAGCAGCCAGCAGCCGAGTGTGAGCCATCCGGGATAGGGAGGCCACGGTGAAGGAAAAGGGTGTGGTAGGGGGAAATGAGGGGGGAGAAAAAGGAGGGATAATAGGTGGCTGGGAGACGATGAACGGGAAACGGGCAGCACAACGGCAGCAGCCAGCAGCCGAGCGTGAGCCATCTGCGATAGGGAGGCCACAGTGTAGGATAAAAAGAGTAAACGTGAAATGTGAAGGAGGGTAGGACATTTGAACGGCAGCAGCCAGCAGCCGAGCGTGAGCCATCTGCGATAGAAGAGCAACGGGGGCTGGGGTGAGGCGAGGCGAGGGGGAGAGGTGGGGGAAGAATGATGGGGGGAATTGTGGAGATTTTATTGCGACAAAATGAGTGAACCAACTGCAACGTGACACGTGCAGTGCGGAGAGAGGTTCGAAAGGCTGACTCCGACGAGGCTGTAGCAACTGCTTTCAAGATTGAATTGTCTCGCACCAGGACTTGACTTAATGAAACTGGACTTCTTTAGGCGCTCGAGAGTGACCCTACAGGAACGTGATTGCAGCGAGGGCGAGACCAACTTGAACCCTTCGATGTCGCGACCCGGCAGGTCCGCCGCTTCCAGCGCCGCCGATCACGGCGACGAGGAACCGATTGATCTGAGCACGGTAGTTGATTCCCTTACTGCGCTTCGAGTGAGAGTCTCCTGGAGACGCGTGCGACGGCGAACCGCCAGTTAAATGGACTACCATGGCGGCACGTTGTGATTGTAAGACTGCTTAGCTCTCCTAGTCTAATCACTACAAAGAATCCCACCGCAATTTATCTGAGAAAATAGAGTCCATAACAATAATCAGCTAAATCTCATTTTTATTCATTCACACAACCATCTGACTTGCAGCCAGCCTCGAAACTAGTTGGTGTTACTCGTAACAGGGAATCTAAACATTCCAGCGAAGAGCACTGGTAGCACTGGTAGTAAACACAACGAAACGACCACCGTATTTATGCGCGAAACGCGGTATAGAAACCGCGGTGCGTAATCGGATCTTCCAGCTTAGCGATTAGATGTTGTAGATAACGAGCAATTACCTACCAACTCGCGTGTTTGACTCCACTGACAGCATCTGAACTTCGGAATTCCCAAGGCACCTGAGGATGTGGGCTAGAAGTATCGCTCAATACCGTACTCAACCACATTTGGTGCAACACCTTGACAGATTCGATAAGAGCCCTTCGACAAGACATTCGAGAAACCACCTGAATGATGATAAAGATGGGCGATTACCTTACCATCCATATCTCCATATCTCCATATTTCCAACTTTCAGAAGGGGATTACCAACGGGACAAAAGATCTACTTGAGAATGCTAGGCACCTTAGGGGTCAAACAAGTACATATTTTTCGCGATCAATATGCCATACCATGTGACAACATGTGTTGACACAATGGTACATGACGCAAGTCAATTAGCACAAACCACTGAGAACAAAGGTCCAGGAAGTGACACATTGGTCTAGAGGTTTACAGAGTCAAGGCCAGAGCTACTACCCAAACCACGCTAATTAGAGTCTTCCACAGTAAGCACCTGTTACCAATCCAAGGCTTAGATTCAGTCTATGCACAGCAGGTGACTTGTTAGGCTTCAGCCAACGATGTTAGGGTTATGCCTTCTTAGATAACCAAGGCAATAGGCACTGCTTCGCCATAACTGGTGAAGCCACTTCCTCTTCGCTCTTCCCCTCACGAGACACCCTCCTGGTAACCCCACTCCCCTTCTCCTTCGCCACTGTCCCCTTCACAGACTTCTCCACTTTAAGCTTCCGCTCCTGTCCTTTCGCTACAGCAGCACGAAGCCTGCTTTCCTCCGCAACCTTGCCACTTCCTTTCCGCGCCACACAACTCTCCTCGAATTGCACACACGGTTCCCCGCTTTTCCCCGCGGTTCTCTCCGCACCCCCTGCGCCTTCCGCTTTCTCCCCCGCTCTTTCCGCGTTTCCCCCGAACCTGGGAACCGCTTCCGAACTTCCGCTCCGCCTTAGCGCTGCTGCCGTTTTCCTATCAGATCCCCCGTCCCGCTGCTCCCCCCTGTCCAGCTGCTCCCCCCCCTCTGGCTCTGGCTGAACCTTGGTTGATTTAAGTATTCCTTTTAGCGGTTGCTTAGAATCCTGACTCTGGCTCGGCTGCCTGCTATGCTGCGGTGATTGTAGCGGGTACACAGACGGGCTCAGATCTTCCTGCTGGGACTCGTCCTGAATGCCTGTAATATCGAGAGGCGGCAACTTCGGTTTCCGCAGCTGCGGCCGCTGCTGCTGCTGTTGCTGTTGCTGTTGCTGTTGCTGTGGCGAGTGTGAGTTTAACGAGCGGGAGCTCGACTGCGATCTTATCGGAAGCGCATGACTCACGGGCAGGAGCGCAGCTGAAAGCGCAGGGCCGGCGCGGTTAGACTGGCCGGAAGCGCTAAGCTGGCGTGGCGTTCGCTGCGCGGATTCCCTCCCCGCGCCTGTGCGCGCCTGTCCTTGCGCCGTTCTGCTTCCGCTAAAAGGCCTGCCGCTTACTGCTACCGAGGGGCTCTTTGGAAATGCGCCTGCCTTTACGTTTGCTACGGCGGCGGCTGCGAGGGCGGCGCTGGCGGGGGACTGCGGAGGGAGAGAGCGGGAATGCGCGAGTGCGCGCAGCTGCTGCTGATTGGGCGGAACAGGCATCCCCGTGCCTCCTCGGAAAGAACGCGGGGAGGGGAAAGACACCTCTGCGACACCGTGCAGCGCAGCGGAGGGCGCGCGGGGGGATTTCGCCGGGACGCGCGGGGACTTTGCGGACAATAGCCGGGCTCTGGGGGAAGGCTGCGCTGCTGCATGCCCTGGCGCGTTGGTTGGCGGAAAAACCTGCTGGCGCTGCTGCGGGCGCCCGGCAGGAAGGCGGGGGGTTCTGGCGGAGCCCCCGCTCGTGGCGCAGCCAGCGCCACTGGATGGGCGGCGGGATTCGACGGCGGGCGGCATGCTAGTGGCTTTCACAAGCACGCGCTTGCCGCGAGTGTTGCGGGGAAACGATGCGGAGCCGCCGCCTACGCTGCCGTAATTAGCGCCCCCCCACGGGGCTCCGGCAGCGGTGGTTGCGGCGACCGCGGCGGCGGAAGCGGCGAGGCTCCCTCGCCCGTGCGACCGCTCGTCTGGCAAAGTGCCGGCCCTGCGCATTATTCGCTGACCGCTGCCGCCGGTTCCGCTGCCGCCGCTGCCGTTGCCGCGACCCCCGGCGCTGCGGCCACTGGCGGGATTGCTGCCACCTGTAGCGTTGCTGGAGACACTACACGTTGGAAGGGCGGATCCTGACAGCTGGCGCCGATGACCGTTAGAACTGACGGAATTTTGGCGCTGGTGACCGTTGGAATTGACGGACAGCTGGCGCCGATGACTGTTAGAACTGACGGAGTTTTCTCGTTGATGACCGTTGGGACTGACGGACTGCTGCTGCTGCTGATGACCGTTAGAACTGACGGAATCTTGCCGTTGATGACCGTTAGGATTGACGGACTGCTGCCGTTGATCGTTAAAACTGACGGACCGCGATCGCCCATGGTTCCCTCGAAGTTGGCGCGGAGTTCTGGACGCAACCGCCACGGAATGGGCAGGCAGAGACGCGGAGCCCGGAAAGGCTGCGGCATTCACGTTCGCCGCGACACTCGCGTTCGCCGCGGCGCTCGCTGCGAAGTTGGCTGATGGGAGATCTTGATGATGATGATGATGTAGCGAAGACGCGTATAAATCGGCAACCTGAGCGGGCGGGTTCCCTGCTGAGACTTCCACGTCAGAAGCCGCCATTTCGAGCATGACGCAATCTTCGTCGTCATCCTCGTCGTCATCCTCGTCGCACTGGGTATAGTAATCGTCGCCGTCGTCGCCACCATCGTCGCCATAATCTTCGTCGCCCTCGTCGTCGCAATAGTCGTACACGGGCTCGCCGTCCAGGACGGGCGTCTGCGGCTGGTCGTCGTACACTATAACGGAACCTCTTTGCTCAATAGAGGAGTTAAAGCTGGTAACTGAATCATACCCATTCCAGGACATAACACCCATGGCTTCGAACGAGTCGCTGCCATGCTCTTCCACTCTCGATAGCGGATCGGACGAACGGCGTTGGAAGGGCGGTGCGATAGGCTGTGCGAAGTCCTGCGAAAAATACGGCGCATCGTCGTCGCAGTCGTCGTTTACTATCTCCCCTTCGATAACATCATCATATTCCGAATCGCTTGTCTGAGACGGCGGCGCAGGTTGCGGATAATATCGAATGGATGAGGTGGAAAGAGGCCGGGTACGAGCTCCTTTAGCGGGAGTGGCGGCGGGAAAGACGGGAGGAGAATCGGTGGTTGTGAACGAGTTGGGCATTGACGGATAATACATCGCCATGGATTCTCCAGGCCCTGCGAAGGGCGAGAAATGCTGATGTGGCGGCTGAATCAGAATTTCTGCTCCTTGACTCATTTGGGCGAAGCCAACTGGCAGAGTGGAGGTACTAGTAAGCGATATTCCACAATCACTAAACCTAGGACTCGTAAGTTGTAGGGACTAGTTGGAGAAGTTCAAAACTCATTGTCCAGCAGAGGCTAGGCGTTACAAAAATTCTGAGGTCCGCGATAGTATGAAAGAGCGCACATGAATTATCGCCCCAGTACAGTACATATGAAAGAGCGCACTTGAACGTTGTGAATCGTGACTTGTGAAATCCTGAGGTCCGCGTTCGCGAGTGCGTTGTCAGGAGATGGGTGGAAGGTGGGAGGTGTGGTGGAATGGAGGGAGCGAAGAAGGAGAGGAGGGAGGGATGCAGCGATCCAAACGGTACAATGCACGAGATTCGGTCATAGGGCATGCGGCCAGCAGGGCTGGCTCTGTTGTGTTTTGAGGGTGGGAAGATATCGTACAAACGACAGCAAGAAGTACGTGTACTTTGATTCCCCTCAGGTTCCCCCCACACTCGAGCCTCCCACCCCGACCTCTTGTCGCAGCTTGTGTTGGTCAAGCTCTACATGGTGGAGTGTCGAGTCGAGGCTCGGGTCCTTGGCTTGGATTGGGTCCTTGGAAGTGGAGGGACTTGGAATGGGAAGGATTTGTCACAAGTCTTGGATGAAGATGGGAAGACGGGACTTGTGACTTGTGACAGCAGGATTCACGAATCTCAACACCAGACAGGAAAAGATACACGTCGATGTATGGATGAGAAAGAAGGGTTTGGAACGGTTTGGTTCGTTCGATTAGGAAGTTCGGTCTGGGAAGCTGGAAACTTTGTATGTACAGCACGGTTCACGGTTCAGTACAGAACAGGATGAGGAGGAAGTGAAAGACAGAGGGGCGGTGAAAGAGTGAAGTGAAGTGAAGGAGCTTCTTCCCTCCCTCTCCATTCCTCCTCTCTCCCACTCTCTCTCGTCCTCCTTTGCAGCCAGTGAAGTGGAGCAAAGACGAGAGGAGCTAGCCACTACAGTTGGCTGGTTTGGGTTGGTTTCAAGGCGAGCCAGAAACCAACAAGAGGACGACGTTTTCTTGATGATCGTTCTGCACGCATTGCATCTTTTTTATTCGCCAATAACCAGCCATCGAACCGCAAGCGTGATCAACTGTTTGTCGGTTTCGCTTACCTTTGTAACGACGAACAAGCTGCTGCTTGCAGGCTTGCCATCCAGCCAGCTCAGCAGCAGCAGCTTCATCCAACCACAATCATTTATTGGATCAAATTGTTGGATTGTTGGACAATTGGCATCAGGAGGAGGTGCCTACGGCGAACCGTCGCTGAGGTTCGGACAACCGGAGCTGCCGGTTTGTGTGTTTTGGACGAGGCTGGGCTGGGATGAAGTTTTTTTTTCGCGAAAATTGTCGGTCTTGCAAGTACACCCCACAAAGCCCAGAAGGATTACAGAATACTCGTTAGTAGCATCTTCAACTAAAAACTGGGGCCAGAGTCGATATTCTTACCATGTATATGGACAACAGAAGAATGAAACTCCTCTTGAAACTCGATGGAACCCTGTCCCCTGCTAAAACCAGAGTGCTGATATGATCTGCCACTCCTTCCTGCTGATTAGAAGCTTCGAGATTACGTCCTACCCAGCTTGTCGCTGTTAACATTTCCCTTATATCTCGCTTTGTGCTCTTCGTCGAAATGCTTTCGCTTAGCAGCCGTCCTTGCTGCGGCTTCAGTCGATCAGAAATCACAGCCGCACCTGGATCGAACCCAGGATCGCGAGCACAGAAACACGGAGTGCAAATCCATCAACCGCGATCATGGAACGCTCGGCCTCGGATCGTCATATCGGCAGCAGGAAAAGGGTCAAAGGCGAAGACGGCGTCGAGTGGAGGCTTCGGCGCGAAGACCAAGGCCGGGGTGAAAGCGGCGGCCGCGCCTAAAAGTGGGTTGCGTTCCACGATCTGAAAACGTTCACACCTCTGGTTTTCGCTGTAGCGCAAGTTTCCGAAAGCCAATGTCTGCTTCAAATTTCCTATTTGGCGTTCGTATCTATTGATTCCTCTGTTACATTGTTACAAACCGTGAAACGCCACCAACTTTTCATTCGCTTTGCCCGCTCGCCTTCTTCCTCTTATTACTGTCCCCCAATGCCGCATTGCCCCATCCCCGTTATTAGTCGACGCGGCTGCTCTCCTACGGCGCAGCGAGCAACAGTACCACCAGCTCCTATGCGACTACCATCAGCAATACCATTCCCAGTCAGAAAATGCAGAATCTTCCTCTGCAGATTCCTTTCCGGAATCCCCGGGCCTACGGGAGTACGTCATTTGCGTCAGGCGAATGCACCAATCGGGTGCCACATCAGCAGGACCTGCTGCTGACGTGGCCCTTTCTGATTGGCTGCCGGTAGTGGAGCTGGTGCTAGTGTCAGACGAGGAAGCAGCGACAGCCATGCCGAAAGTGCTACCACACGTGTGCAGGTGGGTAGGGATACCGGCATTCCATCTGTTCACTGAGGTGGTTAGAGAGATGGGAAGTGGGAGGAGGGGGGAGGAAAGTAGGGGAGGGCGGCTGGGGGGGGGAGGATGGGAGGGGGGGTCAAAGCACGCCTCTTTACAAAAATACATCCCCTTACATGGTGAGCATTTTGCTAGTGCAGAGTTACCATTTCCTTACGAATCGCGTTTTTTAAGGTTGCGTGCAATTTGTCTCTGTCTGCCTTTTCCAAGTTGCTCCCTAATTCCCCTCAACTCCTTGACCCTCGATTTTTTCGTCGATTTTCTTAGTCGATCTTTTCTTTTTTTCGAGGTGCCTCCAACCGTTGCTCCCGTGTGTTGTTTTTTTTCTTGTCACAATTGTCTGATTGCAGGTTGATAGCAGAGAGCGCAGGCTCGTTTGTCAGCTCAGTGCCACGTCAGCTGTAAGTGCCCCCACCCATTCTCTTCACTCCCTGTCTCCCATTAGTTCCTGGATGGTCTCAAGTTATTTTCCATCTGCCACACGAAACCCTTCTACCCAGGCTGGAGTATGCATATGAGCTTTTACGACGAGGTGGTAACCGCCACCACGTACCCTTCGTTCCTCCTCATATTTCAACTTTACCCACTGCACCCCACACGCAACACAACCCGTTCACCCAGGCTGGAGTATGCATATGAGAGTGCAGAGAGCTTTTACGACTAGGTGGTAACCTCCACCACCTACAGGCCTTTATCCTGTTCTTTCTTCCTCGTGTTTCCCTGTTACCCACTGCATCCCACACGCAAATTCCTAATACCATCCACCCAGGTTGGAGTATGCATACGAGAGTGCAGAGAGCTTTTACGACGAGGTGGTAACCGCCATGCTTGGCACTTCACCCTCGTCGCCAACGGGGGGTGACAATAAAGGCGCGGAGGAGCACTCCTGCCCCTACTCCATCCTCGGCATTGCCAAGAGCGCTGCTCCCTCTCAGGTGCTCCCTCACAGGTGCACACTCACCGGTGAGTTGAGACGTCTCAAAACACAATAAAGGGGCGGAGGAGCACTCCTGCCTCTAGTCCATCCTCGGCATTGCCAAGAGCGCTGCTCCCTCCCAGGTGCTACCTCTCAGGTGCTGCGTCACAGGTGCTCTTTTTCAGGTGTGTTGAGACGCCTCAGGGTGCATTCCTAGATTCGGGTCATCCGTGCTTTGGGTCTTCCGAAAAGTGTGGTAGCCAATCGGAGAACCCGCGGTTTGAGCTTCGATTTTTTTGATTGGATTCCACACTTCTCGGAAGGCCCAAACCACGGATGACCCGAAGCCAGGAATGCACCCTCAAAGCACAATATAGGGGCCGAGGAGCACCCGGCATTGCCAAGAGCGCTGCTCCCTCACAGGTGCTCCCTCACACGTGCTCCCTCCCAGGTTTTGCTCTCTCCTTGTACCCTGAATATCCTCCCCCTAAGCCTTTCAATGTGTCCTTCCCGACCACTACGTTATCAGCTTGTGATGGCAGGAGGGGGTTGCAAAGGCCCTCGCTCCTTCACTCCCTTCTCACCATCCTCCTCAGTATTGGCAGTGCACGGAGCGCTGCTCTTTCACCTTTCGCTGATTCTTGTGAGGTGCACCGTTCTGCTTGTTATTCTAGTTTTCCTTCTCTCTTCCTTTCCTCTCACCCTCACTCTCCCTCTCCCTCTCTCCCCCTCTCCCTCGCATCCGGACGGCGTATTGCTCCGTGGGCCGCCAGGCACCACCCAGACAGGCACAACTTGCATTACTTTTTAGAGATTCAATATATATAGTATATTCTGAACTTTTGTTGTCCTTCTCCCTCATGGCTCAGATCCGGGCGGCGTACCGTTCCTTGGCAGCCAGGCATCACCCGGACAGGCACAACTCGCATGACGACAAGGCATCTGTTGAGGCTCAGTTCATGAAGGTGAGGATGTGTGAGAAGGGATGTGTCATGCACGGTACAACCGTGCTCCTGACCAGTTTGCACTCGAATTGGGCTTGAATTTGGGAGCTTTTCTCCCCTGGTTTTTGCATTGTTGCTAACCTGATCTACATGACTGGACCTTAAATTTGCAGATTACCGAGGTATGAACGAATCAAAAGGGGCGGCCACGTGACTGTTGGTGCATCATCTGCTGGCACCTATGCTTCCTTGGGAGGGGGCAAACGGGAGGGGCTAAGCCCAGCACTGCAGATTCGACCAAGCCCACCAAACGAGAAATTACCTCCTGGAGTGACGGTTGCTGTTAGAGGGCTGGAGCCTGAAATAGTTGAGCTTTTCTTGGCGCAAGCAACGCGACGATCGCGGTCTGCTGCAGTTGCTGCTACGAGGTGATACCAACCCGTGCCAATTCGTGTAGGACTACTGTATTCTAGTTAATTATGGTATGTTTTATGTTGGCAATTTGGAAAGCCACAACAACACGCAGACACAAAGGATGGGGAGCGCAAAATCTTGCAAGAGTAGTGGCAATGTCGAGGCTCAATAGGTTCTTTGTACGGCTGGTGAATTGAGTTGCTAGATGTAGATGTGATGATGGGTTAACGTCACTAATGAACTTGACTTCCTGAATACGTACTAGTATCTCAAGTTTGACATTTGTTACAATAGTAAAGTGTCAGAAGCTTGCAATCAGTGCGGTTCGTGGGGTCCCAGCCAGCAGACAAAGCTGCGATGACCACCTCGAGTTCTCCTCCCAACAGCGAGGGCTGTGCTTCGTCCCGCCAGGCTGGAAAGAAGGGAGCGGGGACCGAATGGTGTTTCCCGCCAAGTCGTCACAGCCAATCCCCATCATTCTGTGGATGCCTGATGAAAGAAGCACAGGCATGCCTGTCAGCTGCACCTTCTTGCAAGCTGAATCTGTATAGCATCGTTTGACTTAGCTTCTTTGTGAATTTCCACAGAATACAGAAGCCGGGAGTTCTCAAGGTCCGGCATCTCCACTGGAAGAATCGTGAGGGTTCTTGCAAGAGCTGTCAGAATTTTGATAGTGTGGCTGGTCCCGTCTGCGTCCCGCATTAGTGGATTTGAGAGTGCTGGTGTCCCGTCATGGAGCAGGTGAATATAGGTCGTGGTGCTGTTGGTCGCTCGAGCTAGTCAGTTTGCGCGTATTCGAGACGGTCTAACGATTTCGTTTCTTATTGCAGTATGAGAAGGTTGAGAAAATCGGAGAAGGGACGTATGGTGTCGTGTACAAAGCACGTGATAGACTGACGAATGAGACGATAGCGCTGAAGAAGATTCGGCTAGAAGCCGAAGACGAGGGTGTCCCAAGCACCGCTATTAGAGAGATTGCGCTGCTGAAGGAGATGCAGCACGGGAATATTGTCAGGTTAGTATTGTCCTCGCTGGATTCGTTGTTCTTCCCATTGGGGAACGCACCTAAAGCGAATCTGACCTGACTACCATATCTTAATCTCAGGCTTCAAGACGTCGTGCACGCTGACCGAAGGTTGTACCTTGTCTTCGAGTACCTTGATCTGGACCTTAAGAAGCATCTTGACACGAGCCCTCACATTGCGCAGGACAGGATGATTATCAAGGTGAGCCTCGTCATCACCACAAGTAGTAGATTCCAATCCATATGCTACCAGGGCAAAGTCAGTGCGTTTCGCTAAAATCAGAGTATTCAGTGTACCGAACTCAACATGTTGACCTGCTCGTTTGCCGTTTGCAGTCTTACATGTACCAGATTCTTCAAGGAGTAGCATACTGCCACGCTCACCGTGTTTTGCACCGGGACTTGAAGCCTCAGAACCTGCTCATCGACCGTCAGACGAATTCCTTGAAGCTTGCTGATTTCGGCCTTGCCAGGGCCTTTGGAATTCCAGTGCGGACGTTCACGCACGAGGTGAGATGGGACCACAAATTCATTTCACGCAACTCATGTTGTTCGATCCTTCACCCGCGAATTCGCGAGGGGCGGGACTGATCATGAACGGATGGACCCTGGTTGCCTGACACAATCACGACATTCTGTCCGTTTTATGCTTTGCCTGATTGCAGGTCGTGACCTTGTGGTATAGGGCCCCAGAAATCCTTCTGGGTTCAAATCACTACGGAACGCCTGTGGACATCTGGTCTGTTGGCTGCATTTTTGCGGAGATGATAAATCAGCGCCCCCTATTCCCAGGAGATTCCGAAATTGATGAGCTGTTCAAAATATTCAGGTGAGACGAGCCTCAAGACATCTTGATTGAAGGCTCAACCAGAAAGGTTTCTTACCTTGTTCTGCTTGTCTGTGGCCAAACTTCACAGAATGTTGGGAACGCCAAATGATGATAATTGGCCAGGAGTTTCACAACTTCCTGACTACAAGACATCGTTTCCTCAATGGACATCTAAGGTAAAACCTCCCCTATCGGATTGTTTTATTCTGAAGGAAGATATACAACCTGGATTGTCCCATTTGGTGCATCATAGTCCCAGTTTCTTCTGTGCTGTTGCCTTTCAACTCATGCAGGATTTTTTTTTTTTTTTTTCCTCCTCTCAGGATCATCAGTCCATTGTGCCAACCTTGGAAAAGAGTGGGATCGATCTTTTGTCTGTAAGTTTCTGGGGTTTTTTTTACAGCTCCATTCATCGTGCTTTACGTTTCTTAGAACTAACATGTGCATGCCCGTTGATGCCTTGCTCGTATGCAGAAAATGCTTTGTCTTGACCCGAGTAAGCGTGTCACTGCACGAGAAGCACTTGAGCACGAGTACTTCAGAGATTTGTTAAATATAGCCGGTCGTTGAAGAAGTCATTATGTGGACTTGAATCTCTTGGGTTTGTTTTGTTTAAACTCTTTGCTGACCTTGTACATTATCTGCAGTGCCAATTTTCTTGGTGTACCTCAACCAAAACCACAAATATAAATTTGGCGTCTACATTATTTCGTAACCAGCTATATATATCAATTTTTTTGCGAATGTAAAAACATTATATTTGCAACTACACCCGCAGTCGTAATTGTTGTAACACACGGTAGCGAGGATCAACCCAACCGCTCAGCTCAACCCAACACTCTCGATTTGAGCTTCAAACCTGAACCCTTCCAAATCCTTGCAGAAATCATTCACTGAACTGCTGTTGCCTGCCCTAGACTAAACTGCTATGTCGCCGAGTAGCTGGCTCGTGTGCGTGTCCAATACCTTCTCGCACGTGTGGCCGCTGTCTCACCTCAGCGTTCATGGTTGACGTCTTTGCTTGAAAACAAACATTTTGAAGCGGCTCTTCAGAAAAGGAGGATGTTCGTAATCTAGCACTGTAGACCACGCTCGCTCCAGCTGGATAGCGCTTTTTTTTGGCGAGGTTCATTCGGTGACCTACTTTCCCTTTTAGCGGAATTATATTTTATGGAGCTTCAAGGCACTCCCGTGTCGGCGGCAAATGGCGGGCGATTATTACGCCGTTTTCTTCAGTACGTTCCAGAGCTTCAAACTGACGCCCCAGATCTTTATTCGCATCTTAGCACTATCCTGACAGTTCTCGATCCATCGGGACCGCCTATCAATGCGCCAGAAGCCGATGCACATAATTCTCCTGAGGTCAGTGCCGGTAAGGGTTTAGCCAACAGCGCCGTCGCAGATGGCGACGAAGGTGCTAACGAAGCAGAAGAAGCAGACTTGCGGAAAACAGAAGCTGCAACACCAGCGAGTAAGACGGCATTGTCTGCAGAGACTTCGGATAGCGGAAAGAAGAAGAAAAAGAAGAAGGCGGTGACAGTGGATGGCAATGTTGGTGGTGGTGATCAGCAAGAGCCTGGCGTTGGTAAAGTGAAGACTCCCAAGAAGAAGAGGAAGTCCCGGGATGCTACAGAAAGCGGGGATGCCGACGGGGTCAGACAAGAAACGAGTCAGCGGCAGGACGGCGTAGAGGAGGGTAGCGTTCCAGGAGCAGATGAGATCCCTGACAAAACGGAGAATGGCGTCGTGAGCGAACAGAGTGCAAGGAAGAAGAAATTGAAGGGCCAGACCCAGGAGGTGCAAGGGACGCCTAGCTCGGGTGGAAAGGGTGGTGGGAGTGATTCGAAGGAGACAGGTGGAAGCAGTGTGAAGCCTGGTGTGGCACAAAAGGCGGTGGAAGGGAAATTGCCAGCAAAGTCGACTGATCTGGCAAGGTTGAAGTCTCCGGATTCAATAAAGAAGAAGAAAAAGAAGTCTGCTGCTGCACCGTTTGGTCATTGAATGGTATTTTTACAAGACTCCGGAATTTGTGGAATGGAGAGGCTCAGGGGATGGCAATTAGGCCTGAGGTAGTCTGCTATACGCAGGAGCAGGTGCAGTTCCTTCAGATCACATGTTTTGTTGGCAGCATCATGTTCTGCAAAGCAGAGTTTTTTACCTCAAATAGGAAATTAGGTTTAACCCTGAAACCATCTTCATTAAAGCCCCCTAGAGAGTACCGGTACAAGCATTCTGTAAAGTACAGAAAATCTGCATGAACCACATTCCATTGTCAGCAGATGTTGTGTGGCTGGGTTTCTGCGAAGTTCTGGGACAAGCAAGAGCTCTAAAAGGCCAAAAATATGCTCATTTATTTAGCACTGTGGACGCTTGAATTTCTGCTGGTCACGATTCGGAGTGCCTGGCGAGGTCTCTCTCCAAGCTGCCTGCATGTGTTGCAGTATGCGGTGCTGCAACCAACACACCACCAGCTTGTTTCATAAACGATTGAAAGAGTGCAATTTGAGATCCGTGTCACCACCAATTGGTAAAATGCACTTACGGAGTGAAGCATCATCAGAGTGGGCCTGAGTCGACATGATGGATGGGGCGGAAACCAAGCATTGGCAGAAACAGTCATGGGACCAAAGGTGAAAACCTGCAAGAGGTATGAACGAGAGATGAGATAAAGGTAACCATTCCAATGTATATAATGGGACAAGATACGGCTCTCCCCTCCCTCACCTCGTGCCACCATCCTGCTGGTATAAAGATTGCTTCTCCCTGCATTAGCTGCACAGAGGCGCCAACAAGTAAAGAGCATAATTCTTACATGTATTTCTCGTATGATCCCGGTGGAATGAATGTGAGAGCAGCAGAATGAGAGATGTCACCTGGACTTGGTAACATGTAGCATGAGAGAAAAAAAGGGGATGTTTTTCAGGACATGCAGTGAGTATGGAAGGCAGAGACGATTTGTTGTTGATAGAACCTGTCATTACAAAATACACAGGGTAATTAGGGCAGACATGCAAACAAGAATGGTCGTAAAACGTAGCGGAAGCAAGGCTCAGCGTACCTTCGCTCCACGGCATAGGATAGAGGAAGATGGAATCAGAGGGGCTGTAGAGGTGAACGATCTTGCTGCCCTGCAAGCACACATGGACGTTGTCCATGCCATCAAAGTGAAGTTGACTTGTTGCACTCCGTCCCACCCACAGGTTCCACTGCTCGCGACCACCAGCCCCACTTCGTCTGAAAGCATCTAGGAACGGAGGCGAAAGTGTGGGGGCCAGCAGCTGATCTATGAATACACTGAAACCATGTGCCGTGCTCTCCTCTGATTTCAGAAAGCCCAATGCCTCTGATGACTGGCCACCCGTCTGTGACTTCCCTTCCTGCAAGTTTCTGTTGCTCAAAGGTTCTTGAGACCTTTCAGTGGACGCATGCTCAACGTCTGACTGTATGGACGTTGATGATTGGGGTAGTCCACGCCACGTCAGATACATCAACTGCCAGGCTGGCAAGGGTGGCTCTGATGACTTGGATGGTCGAGCGGATGGTTGGGCAGAGGGTCCTCTGCAGGTTGATAGGAATCGGCCCAGAGGCATAAAGTGTACAGTGGAATGTGGAAGGTAGGAGAATTGCAACGCCCGTGCTGGTTGTGACTCAGGCGCAGGGACAGCGTACATGTGGCTTGCTGCTTCTTTGATTTCGCATGTCTCTCTGATGGATGGCTCGCTGGCGGCAGGTACATCTGCTGCTGCTGTTGTTGCTGTTGATGATGGCGCGGGGGTCTCACAGGATTGCACAGCTGTATCTTCACTGGCAATAATGCCAATGCCATCCACACACTTCCGCTTCTTAGCCGCTCCTGCAGCTCCTGCTCCTGCTTCTTCTGTTCTCACCCTCCCGATCGTTGCTGCACCCGCTTCTTCTGTTCCGACATCACACGAGGCGTTCTTGACCTTTGATGTTACCACTGATTCGGTAATTCTTCTGTCGGTACGGAAATCGAGGCGGAAAACCTCAACCTGACTGAGGATGGCAGGGAGAGGCAATGGATAGGAAAAGAAGAGGCAGGAAAGGTGAAGAGAGGAGGCAGAGGAGAAAAGAGGAGAGACAGGAGAGAGGAGAGGCAGGGGAGTGGAAAGGGAGTGGGAGAGGAGAGGCAGGTGAGAAGCAGAGGAGAGGCCAAGGAGACGCAGGGAAGAAATGGTAAACAGACAACAGACTTAACCATACAGGAAAGGATTTAAAGCATGCTGACGATATAACTACATTTTCCAGCCTCAGACAGCTCGTGTTTAATGCATACATGTGCAAATTTCTTTTGCAAGCGCAATACCCGTTTAAATACCTAGTTCTTCTGACTTCTCACCTCTACTTCATCGCCTAGAAGACCTTCTAGTCCATCCGTAACACTCGGAGCCTGGAGAATCTTCGTCCAGGGTGGTAACCAGTCCGCTGGCATCACTACTGGCTGAGAGTGAAACCCTCGACAACTGAGCTCAAATTCGGCTTCTGTGGGTGAAGTTGTCAGGCGTTTCACGGGATTCAAGTGCTTGAGAGAAGCTTCCGCTGCGCGAAGGCTCATCAGAAAGTGACGTTGTAGAGGAGAGGCTTCCCATTCTGAAGTGCAGATTACACTGTGGGGAAGTTTTTCCGCCATGAAGTATATAGTTCGGGACATATGACTGGTGATAGGTGAAACTGTACAGAAAATTGGTGTTATTGCGGACTTGTGCTGCTTGCGAAGATCGTTTACTACCCTAGGCGAATATGGTTTGCCGTTGCGAAATAATTACCTGTTTTGCTGGGGGGCCTTCGCGAAGAGATTTGGCCAGTTGTGGGCGTCGCATGACGAATTTCGCACAATCTACCCTCCCCCAAAGCTCCCTCGGGAATGTCTGTCTGATTGTGAGACACATCTTCCATCCACACACAGAAGAGAGTCTGCCCGCAAAGCCAGAGCCGCGCCTTGAAATTGTCGACTGACAGAAAACAGCTCCGTTGACGTCGACCCGCGCCTCCAGCAGCCAATCGTGACAGAGCTGCGCGGAATCAGGAAAGGCTGATTCCTGATTCCGCCGTCAGGCCAGAGATTCGAAGTCGAAGTTGCCTTGTGTTTCGAATGACTGATTGCGACATGGACTGTCGGAGATGTCGATTGTCTCCGTCAACGGAGGCCGGGACAGACGAGAGGATGAACAACTTGAGCATGGCGAACAGCATAACAATGTTTCCGTCAGAAGAAGAGCGACGAGAGTGTATATGTCGGATAATGAATGGACAGGAAGATTCCGTCGTTGCAGATGCCTTACCCCGTCCTTATCCCCTTGACGTCCGTCTTCCTCAGCACTGCACTCCCATGATTCTTGAACTGCTGGCCTATTCTATGCTACCACATCACGTCCGCCATTACCTTGCCATAGGCTATGAGGAAGCTAGACTTGGAATTTTCTCAGGCCTCAGAAGAAACATCATGCGTGCTGTCACTAGCAGTGATTTCTTCGTCAAGTTTGCTAGGAATTCCTTAGGGATTTGAAGTGGCCATAGTTATTTTCACTGCTTACGACGAATCCTCAGAACGGAAGTTTTATAGCTGACTGCTCGGTGTCCAGTCTCTTATTCTATGTTGATTCCGTACAGGGCGTCAACGTTCCTCATGACACCTTGTTGCTGAATGCATCTTATTCTCCATTGACATCTCGGCTTTCCTCTCCTGAACTTCATAAAGAGTTCCCTTTAATGGCTGACTCCTTACGTCGTCCTTCTCGTGGTGATGATTCTTAGTCTGGCGTTCATCACCTAAGACCGTCGCTCTCGACAACTGCTCCACCCTATGTTACATCAACTCCTATTCCTGCTTCGTCAGGACTGAGATCTTCTGGGATGTCAAGAATGTCAATTGATCACCTGTTCTCGTCGCCTAAAACAGTTCCTTCCAGTCGAGCGTCTCCTAGACCATCCATGCTTGCGACCGAGCTGCTGGAAGATGGGACTGTCAAATCTCTGATTTCGGAGGGGCTTGGAGATCTCGAGGAATCAGGAGGCTTCCCGTCGTTTCTTGGTGATGAAGACCCCGACGCCGGGCTGGTCGATGAAAAGAAGGGAAGAGATAATGGCAAAGAGCACGAAACTGCTGCAGATGGTGAACTAAGCCGTGTTTGCAACATGTTGATGAGCCTATTTGCTAGCCGTAGCTGCAACAGCACACCACGCACCACTGGCGCTCCAGCTCAAGGGGTAACTCCTAGCGATCTTGTTGCGAGGAGACGCACGGACGGGGTGACGCTTCCACAGCAGCAGAATGTCCAGGCGAACAGAGGCGGCAGGGAAGGTGTCGACTTATGGAGAAACCTCCCACACTTGAGGACCAGACCACCTCAGCAACGAGCCAGTGTCCTGAGGGAAGGCCAGGAGTGTCTGACGACCCAGACTCAACCTGGTGTCCGCGATGACATTCGTCGTCCTTCTTCTGGTATTCTTGAGAAGCGAGACGTGGCCAACCTTCTAGAAGCAGCTTTAGCAGGAGCTGCACTACAACCGGACGAAACCAGGTGTGTAGTAGTCAAGAAGCATGATTGTGCTTTGCTAATTGTTTATTCTGTTTCAACCGACAACTTCGTTTGTGTCCTCAGGTGGAGACGTCTTGGTGAAGGCCTGGAATCACTGCTGTCTGGCATGCAAGATCATCAGAAGGAAGAGAGTGTCAATTATCTTATGCAATGGCTGCAGCAAGTGACTGAGGTAAGCACTGACCAGATGTAAGGTGAAATTTCTCGAAGTTCAATCCGTGTATTAAATTCACTCATGTGTTTTCGTGGTACTACAGGAGCAAGAGTCCAGCTCTATGCAAGCCTCTGACGTAGCGGAATCTGCTGATACTGACTTCAGAACAACCTTTTTGCAGCAGCTGGAGCTGATCGCGGGAATCGTCTCCCCTGAAATGGCCTGTGGGTCCAGTTATTGTGACCCTGTGGATCTGGTGGGAAGCTTTGGTGAGCTGAGCGAAGGGCCTGCTGCTCTAAACGACAGCGGCACAGAGTTGTATGCCAGCAATAGCAGCAACAGTAACAGCAGCGATGGGCTTGGGAAACTGGCTTGTGTTTCTGATGCTGCTGTAACGGCACGGCGGCGGTGCAATCCAGAGCGCAACAAATTTCATCATAACGGAGAGAGGAACCTTTCTGGAATGGATAAGAAAGCTAGTATGGCGAATGTTCCTGCCAGGAGGAATGGAATTGGACGGAGGCATGGAGCTGAACAAGGGATCATGGCAGACAGCAGTGGAACTGAAGCTGAGAAAAGCTGCAGCAATTCTGAGGATGGCGGGTTGGATGAGGATGATGAGGCTCCAGTTGGATTGAGAGCATACAGCAGCGCATGGAGCAACGTCCACAGTGTAAACTGGCTGGCGACTAGGCGGACCTCTGAAGACAGCTTCTTGGGAGACCGGTCCAGTGAGAGAAGTACCAGTGAGAGGCCTTCTCATGCTCAAAGGCCCATCGGCAGGACTGCGAGTGGAAGGAGGTCGACGACCGATGTGAAGGGTGACGACAGAAAGAGGTCCAGCAGCGTCAGTGTTCCTGGAGGAAAGATCTTTGGAGAACATGATGGAATTACATTGGCTGCTGTGCAAGCTTCTAGTGTTTATGCGCAAGGACCAGGGGAAGTGTCTGGTTCTGCTGCAACTGGGGAGCTTTCAGAAGAGGAAGGGCCTTATCCAGCTGTGCCACAACCACAGTTGCTGTCGCAGGACCGGTCTATCTCCCTCTCCTCCTTCCTCACGGATTTCTCATCGTCCGATGCAGGCTTGCCCGAATTTGCTCTCTCTCCTCTTCAAGCATCCCCTGCTACATCCTCCCACGGCTCCCAACCTCAGTCGGATAATGGCTCACCTCGCCCTCCATGCTCAGATGATGACCTTCCCCTCCCTTCACTTCTACGCAGATCAACAGAGTGGGGAAATCTGCAGTCGTCCTTGGGCTATGAAACAGGGGCTGTAGCTGGCTGCTCTTCAACAACCACAGAACCTGGCCCTTGTGCGCAGCTCCCTATACTTCCTCCACCTCCTTCAACCTTTGTCCCTCCTGGCCTCGCTGCTTCACTTACAGCCTCCCAACATCCGAGGTCCGCCTTTAATCCATCAGCGATGCTCATGCCTTCAGCTTCTAGCAAGGCTTTATCGCCTCCCTTGCCCTCCTCATCCCTTGGGCTTCATGAGCCACATAAGCCAAACACACTCACCACGTCACACACACTCACGCTGCCGCAGAACCTGCTTTCGTTCTCCAATCCCTCTGCCTCCTCTGACAGTGAGGCTGGCTCACCCCTGCATCGAGGCACCAAGGCTCGGGAAAGTCTTCACTCGTTTTCAGATCCTGATGTGCCTATGCCCACGCTTCAAAGCACCAGCACGAACAGGCGGGCCGGGGAAAGCACCCGTGGGTTACTACACAAAGAAAAGACGCTTCCAGAGGGGAAGGATGCAGCTACAGCACTTGTTGTTGCTGATACGAGAAGCGCCATGGTTACTGGAACGATGGGGAATGTTGGAGGAGCTATGGGTGCTGGCACCAGTAATTATGCTGATACCCCTGGTCCAAGCAGCAGCAGGACTTCGGAGATTTCTGGCATGGGATTGCTGTCAGGAGGAGGGATCACATGGGACGAGACGGAGGAGGGCAGTACGTTTTCACACTTGGTGGGGGAGGTGGGTGGTGTGCGTGATGGTGTTTCTGGCATGGAGTTTGGAGGAAGTCTGGATGTTCCTGCTGGAGGGTCGGACGGGTTGGAGAATTGGGATGGAAAGGCTAATGGGGATGGTGGACATACAGCGCACATGGGGTCTGGAGAAGTTTCTGAAGCAGGGGGAGCTGCAGCCGGCACAGTACAGTCTGGTGGTGGGGCAGTAGGAACTGAAGCTGTGGAGTTTGAACTGATTCATGCAAACCGGCAGAATAAAGTGGTTGCAGAGGAGGCCACCCCTCGCCTCTCAGCCGTCCTGCAAGTCCTCCAGTCTGCCCGCCAGAAGATTCGAGCAGTCACTGTTCCACCGCAGCTGCAGCCATCAGCAACTAACGGGACGCTCCTGGACTTCCAGGAGACTGCCAAATCGTCCTCACTGCCAATGCCACGCAAGTCCCCATTGGGGAATTCCTCTCATATAGATCATCTGCCAGGGCCCTCCACTACGGAATCTCGAAACCCACTTACCGGTACCTCTGTGCATCCTCTGGTGGCAGTCGCAAGTGGGGGAAGCTCTGAGCCTGGCCTGCACTCATATTCCTCTCATACAGCTTCAAAGCTGCGGCAGCCAGCCACCACCTCACAGAGTCGCCATTTGCCTGGCAAAAAGGTGTCAAGCTCTGGATCAACACATGAGAGAGCAGAAGCGCCGGCTGCAGGTGATCCTGGTCTCACATCTGGTACCAACACAGTGACGTCTGTTTCCGCGTTGAGAGAAGTGGTTCGAGCACGGCGGGAGAAACAAGCTGGCTCTAGTAGTGGACGGAAGCCAAGTGCGGGAGACAGCAAGAAAGCTTCTGGTAGTTATGCCGCTGCCAATGCTGGAGGGAGTGCTGCCACGGGTGCGGCCGCAGGTGCTGCTACATCCCTGGATGTAGCGTACTATGAGGACAAAAGCTTCCAATCAGGTTCTGGTTCTGAGCGAAGCCAAAGCAGCAAGTCACGGAGAGCTGGTGGTGGGGTTGGCAGCCGTTCTTCCAGAAGTGGGGAGAAGCAAGCAGGGAAAGGCAAGGTGAGGAGTAACTCGGTTGCTTTGAATCATCATGATGTCTCAACAGCGGATGAGGCAGATGAGAGCATTGTCCCTCTGCGGCGATCCAAGCATTCATCAAGTCACCAGCGCTCATCACCAGGGGAGGTGAAGCAGGGACGTGGTGGAGAGTCTGTGCAGTCAAGCCAGTCTTACCCATTGAAGCATGCTGCTGGGAGTTCCAAATGACTATTATAGCCATACACACATGTTGCACACTATTATAGATGAGCAGAACCAAATTTAGAACTTGCTACATTTGATCTGGAAACCAACTACGGTATAGAACTTGAAACCATGTTGAAGTCGCACCTTGAAAGATGTCATACCTACAATGTCCGTTTCATACTACCATCTAGTAAAGGAAGCCTGCTGAATCAGCTGACAATATCATGACAAGCCGCTCTAAAGCATCATGGATGAATCACACGTTCATAAGATTTGAAAGAGAATGTTTGATTTTTATGTTTTTATATTTACTAAATTGAGAAACTCGAAACATCATGGGAGAGCCACAACCAGCTTAGTAGGAGTAGCCAGCCACGAACATGCCCTGCTTGGCCTCCTCAGCCTCACCCTCAGCGGAGTACTTGCCGAGCTGGGCCAAGGAGTTGGCCTTCGCGCGGATGAGCAGAGCGGTCTGAGCAGCCTCGATGTTCTCGGGCTGGCCCTTCCATGTCTTCAGCACCGTGTTCTGGAGAGCGCGGGCGTACGAGAACGACACGTGCCACGGGTTCGGGGACTGGTTCATGGCGTTCAGGTTGAGGGTGGCCTCCACCTCGGACTGGCCGCCGGACAGGAACATGATGCCGGGGACGGCAGGGGGCACGCGCCTCTTGAGCATGTTCAGGGTGTACTCAGCGACCTGCTCGGGGGTGGCCCTGGTGGGGCACTCCGCGCCGGGGGTGACCATGGAAGGCTTCAGGAGGATACCCTCGAACATGACGTTGTTCTCAGCCAGGTAGTAGAAGGTCTTGGCCCACACCTTGGAGGCAACCTCCAGGGTCCTGTCAATGCCGTGAGCGCCGTCGAGGAGGATCTCGGGCTCGACGATGGGGACGAGGCCGCTGTCCTGGGAGATAGCGGCGTAGCGAGCCAGACCCCACGAGCACTCCTGCACGGCGAGCTCAGAGGGACCGTTGGGGATGGAGACGACGGACCTCCACTTGGCGAAGCGAGCACCCTGCTTGTAGTAGGCAGCGGTCCTGGAGGCGAGGCCGTCAAGACCCTGGCACCAAGACTCGTCGTTGGAGCCGGCGAGGGGCACAAGACCCTGCGAATAAACGGAAAAGAATTTGGAACGCAAATCCATGCCATAATATAATGCTATCAAACATTCGTTGAACGCCCGCGTTGTATCTTCTTATAGTTTGAACACTTCAAAATAAAACAAGGATCATTTAGTGCTGGTTGAGGATTGTACCTTGTCGACCTTGATGCCGGGAAGAACGCCAGCGTTGGAGAGGACATCGACCATCTTCTGGCCGTCAACGGTGTTCTGGTAGAGGGTCTCCTCGAAGAGGATGGCACCGGCCACGTACTCGCCGATGCCGGGGGTGGCGACGAGCAGGGTGCGGTACGCCTGGCGGTTAGCCTCGGTGTTCTCAAGGCCGATGGAGGCGAGACGAAGACCGCAGGTGGCATTGGACTCGTCCATGGCGAGGATACCCTTGCCGGGGGAGGCAATGTGTTTCTGTAGGGACAAGCAAGCAAAACATGACAAGATAGTAAGATGTCAGGAAAGTTCACAAATATTACATGTGGAAGCATTTGAATCCAGACTAAGAACATTAAAAAATAAGAGAAAATGATAGGGTGAAGGTGATGGAATAATCAAAACGAAAACGAGTAATCAACTTACAGCGGTCTTCACGAGCTCCTCCTCGTATCCGCCGGCGCGGACGGTGAAGGAGACATTCTTGGCAGCCTGGGGAGCAGCGGCCTGGCGGATAGCCTTGCCGCAGAACTCGGAGCTGCTGACGGTCAGAGCCTGCTTGAGGGAGAGAGCCATCTTTTCTGAACTTAGGAATAAGTTCAAGGAGAGATAGGCTGCAGTTGGAGCTTCTAGCAGGCAAAGAAAACGCAAGGTTAAATGTGAAAATGGAGCCTAGGGATTATAAATGCAGGGTGGGTGGATGAGGTGGATGAGGGAGGCGAGAGGGGTGATGGGGGATGGGGGAAGATGAGGTGGATGGAGGCTTCGCTTCGTGGGAGAATGGCGCGACGTGATTGGATGCTCCAGGAAAAGATGCGTGGTCGTGGTGAAGCGAACGACGGATGCGAGACATGCGATGGTTTTTAGTGGTTACAATATGAGATAGGTTAGCCGCTGCGAATATCGCAAGGCTGCAACGGCTTCTGAACGACGAACTGGAGCCTGGCTGGGTAACCGGACGGAAACAAGATGCTGGACGACACCCTGGCGACGCTTGTGGCTCGCGATGATTCATAGTGGACATTACATCGACGGTTGTAAGTCATCATCAAGCTCTGTGGAGGGCTCAAAGCTTGTCACGAAGTCTGTGAGCCACAGGATCTGCGAAAGCCCGTTCAAAAGCGGTCATTCTGACATCGGACGTGGCAGTTCTCATTGACGATCGTCCTTCAAGGGTTGTAGGGTGGTCCACGTGGCGCCACAATGCCCTGTGGAAAAATTATCCGGTCTGGGTGAGTTGTTCTCCTCATCCAAAAACTGCTGCTGGCGCCAGGTCAGAAAGCCGCCGAGCAATTAGGAAAGAGATGTTACGTCAGATTTGGCACACGCGCTTCCGTCTGCTGATTCTAGAAACGAAAGGTTCGTTACATGCAACACTACCAACAGAGTAAAGGATGGAAGGTGAATAGTGAGAATACTGTTCAATGCGAATGAAAACGAAGAAAATTGTCTGAGCAACGATATTACTCTTTAGCCAAATTGGACGGAACAATGCACTCCAGACAAATACCACTAACGATTTGCAAAATAATTGACAATCCGTGCAGGAATTCCCAAAACAACCTCAAATTCGTCCTTTCTTGATAAACTCAACATACTGGCAGCCTCATTTTTGTCTCTCCCATGCCCCTGTAGTTGGGGCACTGCCACCACTTCAGGATTGCCCACTGGCCCTATCAAGAACCTATCTGCTGCTCCTGCTACTATAGCTGCAAGTGCAGCCGCTTGTAGGAGAGTCCATCCTCGTTGGCCCACTGTAGCGGCCACTACAGTGCCTGATATCGCACCAGCTACACTTGAATTAACCTGCAGGGGCATGAAGACCAGCATCATCGGAACCAGGTGACCTGCGTTGTGGCATCACCTCAATAATAACATCAACCAATCGTCGGACAACTCAGTCATCTTGACAACAACGACTTTCACCTAATCCTCTATATCCCAACTCCCAGTCACCTTGAGCCCAAAGTTACTCACCAGTAGTCTTGACCCTTGAATCACTGAGAGGCACACCTCATTCCCAAGAAGAAAACAGAGAGCGCTCCCTTTGTGCCAAGCCCTTCACCCAATCCTCTCTATCCCAGCTCCAATCACCTCAGCCACACCGCTACTCACCCAGTCATCTTGATCCCTCACGCGCTGAGGGGCACATGGCACTTGTGCAGCATGCCAGTCACTGGATCATATCTATCCCAGCTTTAATTGCATCAGATTTAATGCGACTCGCCCTCTCATCTCATTTCCACCACCACTCACCCAGTCATCTTGACCCCTCACGTGCTGAGAGGCACATCTGGTTCCCGAGAAGAGAGCAGCCAGTGCACCAAATTTCACACCATCCCCAATTGCCGAGCCAGTCTGGGGTGGACACAGGCACGGAATGGGCCGACGAGTGGTGTGTATCGTCAGCAACAGTGGAGAAGCGCCATGGGGAATGGTGGTGATGGTAGCCGTGGATTTCAAAATGGAGATGCGATTTGACGATGGGGATTAGTTGAGCCATCAGGAAGATGAAAAAATCAGGAAGAAGGGAATGAAGGAACTATCAGATTCGTTGCATGAATGGATATCCAAGGGACTTCAGCGAGACGATGGAGAGGGCGATAGATAGAGGGTGATGGTGTAAACGATGAGCGCGAGCATTTTCTGTTACAATTCATTTTCAAGCGAGTGATGATGTGTGTTGTGTGGTGGTGAAACGGAACATGCATGACGAGCGTGAGGAACACTGGGGGCCCAAGGCGTGGCAAAAACGGTGAGTAAAAGAGTGGATAAGGAGGACAGGAGCACGTACCACATGAGCGACGCGGAAGAGGGGAGAGAATTCTGAGAGGGGAATGTGGAAGGGTGTGCCGGGGGGTGTGGAGGGAAGGGGAGGGGTTAGTAAAGTGGAATGAGGTGGTGAACGGATAAAAGAGGATAGTTCGGGAAAGACGGGTCAATTTGACGAAGCGAAAAAAGAAAGAAAAGGGTGGGAGTTGGGGAGCGGGAAGGGGACTTCAAGTGGAAATCGCCACACTGCTGTTACATTTTTTCTTTGATGGAACCCAAGGACAAATCAGGCCAAACAACAGAGAAATCAGCGCCATGGAACTAGTTAAGATATCATTTGCGAGCTCACCTCTGGGATCAGTGACACCACTGTAGAAACCCCACATGACTCCGAACTGACAGACAGAGGCGTTAGGGTGGGAGTGAACGAAGCGAATGTGGAAAGATGGAAAGGCGGAGGAGACTTTGAGTCCGCTCAAGAACCAAACTGACAGAAAGAGGAGTAAGAATGAGAGCAAACGAAGGGATCGTAGGCTTAGAGAGAAGAGCTAGTGCTGACGTCAAGGTGGAAGAGCCAGGGGGGATATGCAGCGTCAGAATGTGGCGATTGGGTGAGGGGGATTCGCAATTGCACCCAGTAAATTCAACATCATTCGCAAAATTGCTTGGGTTCGCGTTAGGTTCTGCACTCGCGACGGTCGCGTGTGTTTGTAACGATGCTGGGGAATCACGCTTCAAGTCAGACAACAGGCGTTGCTTCCGCTACTCCTCGAAACTGGGTATTACCATTGATAACAACAAAAACGCTCTTGCGGACCAACATATCTAGTGAAGACAACTCACGATGCTCCCGCTGACGCCGGCTGTAGCAGCTACAGTCGCACACGGCGGTTTCACCTCTGACGCCTTTGTCATGCTGACTGCTGACCGCTGAGCTGTTGGCTCTTATTTTAGTATCTACGACGGGGCGAAATCGACAGCAGAACTGTTGGCTGGAATGTATATTTAATGAGGAACGATCAAGCGCTGGGATATGAGTTGACTTCTTCGATCTCTCTTCACCAAAAAAGTGACGAGAGCTGGCCGACGCGTCGTATTGCAGAGTCGGCTAGCTGAGACGGAGAGCATGGGAACATGGAAGAGTGGTTTCATGGGTGCCGAAAATAGAGCTTTGTGGACAAAGGCACAGCACACCCGCAGAGGCACCGCTGTGGGGGGAATTTGGCTGGATGAGGGCCCGATTTGGGCTCGTTGCGGTTCTCTTTACAAGTACACAATCCCACATGCAAGAACGTCTGTACATGAAGCAGGTTTGTCTCCTAAATGTGTCTAAGGATTCCCTTTGCTTCATTAACAACAAACCTCCACCAGAATGCCTATTTCTGCTGCCTTCGTTGAATGCTCTTGCAATGAATGAAAATTGCAGTAGTTTATAAGCTTCCACAACAATATATCTACAACGCATCCAGAGCAACCAAAACCTCATCCAGGGCAATTGCCCAATGCACCCAATGGGCTCCACCCTGAATGAAAGAATGAACGGACGTGGCCAGTATTTGGGAGAGAGGGTGGAGGAGGATTAAGGAGAAGGGATGAGTGAAGCGGGAAGTTGAAAAGTAGAGGGGAGGGGGGGGGGGGGGGGTGTAGTACCAGTCAGTGAAACTATCAAGATGTGGGAATGCGAGGGCAACTGCTGGTGGTACCTACGGTACTACCTGACAAAAGAGAGCAAACAGGGGCCTCTGGGGAACATTGCAGGAGATTTAAGCAAAGGAGGCATGGAGACATGGAGATATGCAATGAGTATGTGGATGGAACTTTGCTTGAACAAACAACGAAAAGGAATTGATTTTGGGCCACTGGATGAAGCCACGAAAAGCAAAGAGTGGTTGCAGCAGGGGGGCGGGGCACACCACAGGAGAGCTGACTGACTGTGTGCTGATTCGAAAAGCAAAAGTGAACAATTCACGCAACAACATGCAGAAGAACGGGGGCTTACATACCTGGCAGAAGACAGCGAATGGAGGGCGGAGGGGGCCACTTTTGAGTCGGCTCAAAAGGCCACTTTTGGGACTCAAAAGGCCACTTTTGAGTCGACTCAAAAGAAAGGGGGCCCACATACCTGGCAGAAGACAGCGAATGGAAGACGGAGGGGGCCATCGCAGGAGAGCTCGATGGTGCTGCCATCAATGAAGGTTCCATCGGCAAACACCACCTGGTGAGCGGTTCAGAGGGGTGATGAGTGGTGAGGAAGGGTTGAGGAGTGTGTATAAAACCTCGGAGCACATAAAAAAAGTGCACATAAATGTGGTGTACACAAGCATGTAGTCTATACACAATTGCTGTTTATGAACGTACCTCAGACTCGTATCCTGCTGTGACTCCTCCTGCTGTTGGCTTGATGTAAGCCCCAAGGGGAAGTGCCAGCACACACTTAATGCACACGAATGTACTCTAAAATAAACACTTAGTGCATGAACGTAGTGTACTCACCTCAGACTCGTATCCCGCTGTGACTCCTGCTGTTGGCTTGATGTAAGCTCCAACGGGGCACCGCCGCTGAACGGCTTGGCAGAAGGCAACGAGGCGCGCGGATGAGGAGAGAATGACGGCCTGGAGGAAATCAGCGGAGGGATGGGAAGGGAACAGGAAACGGGGAGGAAAGAGGGGTGCACAGGAGGAGGGGAGCGGGCGAGGCAGACCTTGGTGGACGCTAGTATTTTGATGTTCTTGATTCTTTCCTCCCATTCTGTTTCTTCTGTTTGTGTCTTTCAGTGTTTTTTCTCTCTTTTTTCAGTCCTCTTTTCTGCTGTCTTTTTCTGTTTTGTCGTGATGGGATCGTACGAAAAGACGCTGTCCGTCCTTTTTACCACGACACACCTGGATGATGTCTTTTCGCCTTGCACGGGGCTGGGGATGGACGGCAAACCCTTCATTCGCCATCACCTCTTTTGACGCGCCTCACAAGACCTGCCCGTGTCTCCCCCCCCTCCTTCACCACACCTGGATGATGTCTTTCCGCCGTGCCCGGGGCTGGGGGTGAACGGCAAACCCTTCATTCGCCATCACCTCTTTTGACGCGCCTCACAAGACCTGCCCGTGTCTCCCCCCCCTCCTTCACCACACCTGGATGATGTCTTTCCGCCGTGCCCGGGGCTGGGGGTGAACGGCAAACCCTTCATTCGCCATCACCTCTTTTGACGCGCCTCACAAGACCTGCCCGTGTCTCCCCCCCCTCCTTCACCACACCTGGATGATGTCTTTCCGCCGTGCCCGGGGCTGGGGGTGAACGGCAAACCCTTCATTCGCCATCACCTCTTTTGACGCGCCTCACAAGACCTGCCCGTGTCTCCCCCCCCTCCTTCACCACACCTGGATGATGTCTTTCCGCCGTGCCCGGGGCTGGGGGTGAACGGCAAACCCTTCATTCGCCATCACCTCTGCCACGAGTAGACTGCCCTGTGAAGGGTCGAGAGGAAAGGGAGAGAGAGGAGAAAAGACTTGGCTTGCTGTTGGTGCGACCATTGGTGCAGCCGTTGAAACATTAACCACTTTGCGACGTCTAAAAGCTCGGTGGAGCAGCCCTTAGAACATCAACCACTTCTCTTCATTCTCAGACCAATCCCCTCCTCCCCATTTTCACCGTAGGTTCAGGCACCCACCCACTTGCCCCACTCCTCTCACCTTGATCGCCTCGCCTGTCATCTGTGGTCCCAGGAACAGCCCTTGAAACATCAGCCGCATCATTTCCCCACTTGATTTCACTCAACGCCCCAAACCCCCTCCCCATTTCCCTCCATACCTTCATGCCTTCGTGCACCCACCTTCCTCGTGCCCCCCTCCCCTCACCTTGATGGCCTCGCCTGTCATCTGTGGTCCCAGGAACAGCCCCTGGAACATCAGTCGCATCACCTCACCACTTGTTGCTCATGCGCCCGAGCCTATGAGTGGGAGTGAAGAACGAGGGGGGGAAAGAGGGAAAATTCAGGTGACACGACCAAACGCATGTTCATATAGAAAACATTGAGCAGGCATAACAATAATCACAACGTATACATATCAGCACAAAATGAATATTATGTATACAAGTACATAAGATTATATATATAATGTATACATGTAGATATACAAACTGATGCCGGGAGTAGCCAGCCTAGCAGCAGCAGCCTCCACCAGATCCGCCCTCCCTGCCACATACCCCCTCCACTGTGGGCAATCGTCCCCCTTAGGTTCTTTATAAAACACCCCGCTAAAAGGTCTATGTGTATACGTACTGATGCCAGGAGCAGCCAGTCTAGCAGCAGCAGCCTCCACCAGATCCGTCCTCCCAGCCACGTACCCCCCACTGGGGGCAATCGTCCCTCCTGGATTCTTTATAAGACTCCCCGCTATAAGGTCTGCGCCCTGGCATTGGCCAAGAGAGAAAGGACAATAAGTAGAGGCTGGAAGTGTGAGGTTCGTTGAGAATGCGAGGGTGGGGAGAGTGGGAGTAGAGAGTGGACGAATGAAGATGCGGGGGAAGGGAAGAGAGGGATAATGAGGATGGGAAGGGGAGTTCAACACTGTACAAGAAGGTCACTTGTGCATTGCCCCTCCATCAGCTCACCACGTGGGTCGGCTCTCTCTCTTCAATGAACTCCCCATAGCAGTTGTCCACCACAACAACGCACGATGGGTTCTGAGCCTGCATGTGCCATGCCATCATGCCACCATGCCATCATGCCACCATGCCACCATGCCACCATGCACACAAATAAATGCGTTTCAATTATCAATAGGCGTCAATCCAAGAAACTTAATCCCCACAGTTCCACCCTTCAATCCTCACCCTTCCAACCTCCATTCCTCACCCTTCAGCTTTTCACTCCCCACCCTTCAACCCTTTCATTAGTCATCATAAAGCTTATGTTCATACAACCCCTCAGGACAATATGCATCAAGGCCCGCAATAACCTCAGTGATTCTATTTTTAAATCAACAATGCCCACACTACCTGGCACCGAACTCAACCTTCACTAACTCCACAATGCGGCCGATTTGCTCCACTGTAAGTGTTTCTCTTATCAAGGTGACTTTCGAGTTCTCGTTTCACCTCAATAATGCCCACACTTCCCAAACTCACCTTCACAATTTCCACAATGCGACCGATCTGCTCCATCGTAAGTGTTTCTCTTAGCGAGATGCGTTTCAAGTTTTTCCAACTGGTGTTTTTTCTCCTTTGACCTCAATGAAGCCCACACTCCCCAGGCAACAACCTCACCTTCACTACTTCCACAATCTGCCCGATCTGCTCCACTGTAAGTGTCTCTCTTAGCGAGTACCCACACGAGCGCTGCACCAGCACACAGCGCGTGCGCTCTGCCACCGCCCCTGGTGTGCTTAGAGCATCCCAGTCCAGCCCGCCCTCTGCTGTCAACTGTGGGCGCACAGAAATATGGTGAAGGGAAAGAGAAGGAAGGCCACTTGAAAACTCTCATATATATGGTCCCTGGCGCGCTGGGAGGACCGTTGAGGCGCCTCAAAAGAAAACTCTCATATATATGGTCCCTGGCGCGCTGGGAGGACTGTTGAGGCGCCTCAAAAGAAAACTCTCATATATATGGTCCCTGGCGCGCTGGGAGGACTGTTGAGGCGCCTCAAAAGAAAACTCTCATATATATGGTCCCTGGCGCGCTGGGAGGACTGTTGAGGCGCCTCAAAAGAAAACTCTCATATATATGGTCCCTGGCGCGCTGGGAGGACTGTTGAGGCGCCTCAAAAGAAAACTCTCATATATATGGTCCCTGGTGCGCTGGGAGGACTGTTGAGGCGCCTCAAAAGAAAACTCTCATATATATGGTCCCTGGCGCGCTGGGAGGACTGTTGAGGCGCCTCAAAAGAAAACTCTCATATATATGGTCCCTGGCGCGCTGGGAGGACTGTTGAGGCGCCTCAAAAGAAAACTCTCATATATATGGTCCCTGGCGCGCTGGGAGGACTGTTGAGGCGCCTCAAAAGAAAACTCTCATATATATGGTCCCTGGCGCGCTGGGAGGACTGTTGAGGCGCCTCAAAAGAAAACTCTCATATATATGGTCCCTGGCGCGCTGGGAGGACTGTTGAGGCGCCTCAAAAGAAAACTCTCATATATATGGTCCCTGGCGCGCTGGGAGGACTGTTGAGGCGCCTCAAAAGAAAACTCTCATATATATGGTCCCTGGCGCGCTGGGAGGACTGTTGAGGCGCCTCAAAAGAAAACTCTCATATACATGGTCCCTGGCACGCTGGGAGGACTGTTGAGGCGCCTCAAAAGAAAACTCTCATATATATGGTCCCTGGCGCGCTGGGAGGACTGTTGAGGCGCCTCAAAAGAAAACTCTCATATATATGGTCCCTGGCGCGCTGGGAGGACTGTTGAGGCGCCTCAAAAGAAAACTCTCATATATATGGTCCCTGGCGCGCTGGGAGGACTGTTGAGGCGCCTCAAAAGAAAACTCTCATATATATGGTCCCTGGCGCGCTGGGAGGACTGTTGAGGCGCCTCAAAAGAAAACTCTCATATATATGGTCCCTGGCGCGCTGGGAGGACTGTTGAGGCGCCTCAAAAGAAAACTCTCATATATATGGTCCCTGGCGCGCTGGGAGGACTGTTGAGGCGCCTCAAAAGAAAACTCTCATATATATGGTCCCTGGCGCGCTGGGAGGACTGTTGAGGCGCCTCAAAAGAAAACTCTCATATATATGGTCCCTGGCGCACTGGGAGGACTGTTGAGGCGCCTCAAAAGAAAACTCTCATATATATGGTCCCTGGCGCGCTGGGAGGACTGTTGAGGCGCCTCAAAAGAAAACTCTCATATATATGGTCCCTGGTGCGCTGGGAGGACTGTTGAGGCGCCTCAAAAGAAAAGTCTCATATATATGGTCCCTGGCGCGCTGGGAGGACTGTTGAGGCGCCTCAAAAGAAAACTCTCATATATATGGTCCCTGGCGCGCTGGGAGCATCCCAGTCCAGGCCGCCCTGTGGCGTCAAGTCAACTGTGGGTACTCATGCATGTATGATTTTTGAGGCGCCTCAAAAACCGTCTCACGCCTCAAAATTTTCATATGGTCCCTGGCGCGCTGGGAACATCCCAGTCCAGTCCGCCCTGTGGTGTCAACTGTGGGTACTCGTGCATGTATGTGTGTGTGTGTGTATGTGCATGTGTGTGTGTGTGTGTGGGTGCATGGTGCATGTATGCGTGTGCGTGCACGCACCTCAATTTGTCGGTACGACACCCCAAACTCCCTCAACGACCCGTGCCCCGGCGTGCCTCTGAGCCCAATCACCTCCTCCATCGTATCATATGGCGCCCCTGCCACTGACAGCAGCTGAGTGGAGATGGGAGGGGGTGTGGGGAGGGGTGGAATGCGGCAGTGGGTGGTTGTGCCTCTGAGCCCAATCACCTCCTTCATCGTGTCGTATGGCGCCCCTGCCACTGACAGCAGCTGAGTGGAGATGGGAGGGGGTGTGGGAGGGGTGGAATGCGGCAGTGGGTGGTTGTGCCACTGAGCCCAATCACCTCCTTCATCGTGTCGTATGGCGCCCCTGCCACTGACAGCAGCTGAGAGGACGAGATCAGAGGTGGGGTGAGGGTGGGGGCGGGGGCGTTGGTGAAAGAAGGATCAAATGGTGTGGTGAGCAAGAGCAGGAGGGGCGAGCGGGTGTGTGGGGATGAGAGAGTGTGCGGGGAGAAGGGTTGCGAGGGGAGGAAGCATTCCATAGACCAAAATCAAGGCCGGAATATGCCTGTAATGATTCTATTTTGAGTCGACTCAAAAATAGAATAGATTCATTCATCACACGCGAGCGGGAGTGAGGAGGAGAGAGTGTGCAGGGCGAAGGGTTGCGAGAGGAGGAAAGCATTCCATGGCATAGACCACAATAAAGACCGGAAAATGCCACTGCACTAGATGCCGGAGAATGCCAGTCACCTCGTCCCCAGGGCGCAGAACGGAATAGAGGGCAGCAGCGATGGCATGTGTTCCTGAGAAGAACTGGAGGGAGGAAGAGGGAGGAAGAGGGAGGAAGAGGGAGGAAGAGGGAGGAGAAGCGGAACAGGAAAACCAAGAGGGACTCAACGTTAAGCCACAGAGGGCAGCAGCAATGGCGTGTGTTCCTGAGAAGAACTGGAGGGGGTGGAGGAGCAAGGGGAGGAGGGGGAAGAGGGAAAACGAGGAAAGGGGAGGAATGAGAGGGATTTGACATGGAACCATAGAGAGCTGCGGCAATGGCGTGTGTGCCTGAGAAGAACTGGAGGGAGGGGAGGAGGAGGAAAGGGCGGAAGGGGGAAAAAGAGGGGTTTGAAGATGTCAAAAGGGGAAAAAATGACTACCTGCACCAGTCCTACCTGCACCAGTCCTACCTGCACCAGTCCTACCTGCACCACACACCTCCCCTCCATCCCCTCCTTTCTTTCTCCCCCACCTCACCTGTGCGTGCACACACGCTGCCTCAGCCCCAACAATCTGAGCAAAGGCCGAGTCAAGCGCCTCTCTTCCCTCTATGTGGTCCCATGCTGCCAGCACCAGTACCACCTGCACCAGTACCACCTGCACCAGTACCACCTGCACCAGTACCACCTGCACCCACACGACCCCCCCTCTGTGTACCTGTGCGCGCACACACGCTGCCTCGGCGCCAACGATCCGAGCAAAGGCCGAATCAAGCGCCTCTCTGCCTCCTGTGAACTCACACTCCCGGCCTACCTGCACCAGTAACACCCCCTCTTCCTACCTGTGCGCGTACACACGCTGCCTCGGCGCCAACGATCCGAGCAAAGGCCGAATCAAGCGCCTCTCTGCCTCCTGTGAACTCACACTCCCGGCCTACCTGCACCAGTAACACCCCCTCTTCCTACCTGTGCGCGCACACACGCTGCCTCGGCCCCAACGATCCGAGCAAAGGTCGAATCAAGCGCCTCTCTGCCTCCTGCGTCCCCGTGACCGTACCCTGTGGTGCCACTGAAATGCTGATTCGTGACGCAGGCGGGAAGAGGCAGGGGAAGAAGAAAAGGGCATTCGGAAAAACAGGCAGGGAGAAAGGAGAGGGGAGAAGGGAGAAGGGAGAGGTGAGAAGGGAGAAGGGAGAGGGGAGAAGGGAGAAGGGAGAGGGGAGAAGGGAGAAGGGAGAGGGGAGAAGGGAGAAGGGAGAGGGGAGAAGGGAGAAGGGAGAGGGGAGAAGGGAGAAGGGAGAAGGGAGAAGGGAGAAGGGGAGAAGGGAGAAGGGAGAAGGGAGAAGGGAGAAGGGAGAAAGGGAGAAGGGAGAAGGGAGAAGGGAGAAGGGAGAAGGGAGAAAGGAGAAGGGAGAAGGGAGAAGGGAGAAGGGAAGACAGGAACGGGGAAGGGCTTAATGTCAAGCACCTCTCTGCCCACTGCGTCCCCATGAGTGTATCCCCTAAGTGCCACTGAAATGCTGATGCAGGGAGGAAGGGGACGAGGGAGGAGGAGAGAGAAGGAGAAGGGAAGGGAAGGGAGAAGGGAAGCTAGGAACGGGGAGGGGCTTGAAACCAGGCGCCTCTCTGCCTCACATGTCGCCCCTCACGTGCAGAGGAAAAGGCTTTCAGAAGCCACTTTAGTGCGACATCTGAGACGTCTCACAAGGCGATGTACCTCTCTCAGCACACTTTCCCCCCCACCCACCCTCCACACACATGCATGCTCTCATGTCGCCCCACACGGGCAGTGGCGAAGGCATCGAGAACCCGCTTCAGGTTCACCACCACCAGTCAAAGTGCCTCCCCCGTTCCTGCCGCCCCTGACCCACCCACGGCAGCAATGCATGCACACGCGCATACTCACATGTCGTCCCACACGTGCAGAGGCGAAGGCATCCAAATCCCGCTTCAGGTTCACCAGCCGATGCACCTCCTTCCCTTCCTACCGCCTGTCCCACCCACAGCGGCAAGGCACGCACACGCGCATACTCACATGTCGCCCCACACGTGCAGAGGCAAAGGCATCGAGAACGCGCTTCAGGTTCACCGCCACCTCTCCCCCTTCCTACCCCTTGTCCCACGGCCAAGGCACGCACACGCGCAAACTCACATGTCGTCCCACGCGTGCAGAGGCGAAGGCATCGAGAACCCGCTTCAGGTTCACCGCCACCATCCTGTCCACCTCCGCGAATTCGCCCTGCAGTGATGCTGCCGCTGCTGCCACCTGGGGGAGGGAGAGGAGGATGGGGACGATAAACATGAACACTACGATTTGGTGGTGCCAGTGCGAGCGGAGAAGCCTATCCGCCCCACCCCAGGCTCACCGCCATCAGATGTTTATCCCTACGAATTCGCCTTGCAGTGATGCCGCTCCTGCTGCCACCCGGGATAGGAAATGAGACGATGTGCAAGAATACTGTGAGCACACAGAACACAGAGAGCCGGGAGTAGATGAATGGATAGTGCAACCACGTGGAGCAGGGGAAAATGAGGAAATGGAGAGGAATGGGCGACTGAGAAGTCGAATTTACTGTCCGGCTCAACACTTGCCTGGGAAGAGAATGGAGATGCGGCGACATGTGCCTTGCTGTTGACAAATGGGTCGACATTTGAACCACATTCATACTCTAGATCAACACTCGCCTGGGGAGAGAATGGCGATGCGGCAACGTATGAAGTGGCTGCTTTGCTGACGCCAGCGCTAACAGCGGCACCGGCGGCGGTGCTGGCGGGGCTCAACGTTGCTGAATGCGACCCACTAAGATCACCTTCGTTAGTATCACTCCCTGCTTCCTCAGTTTCTAGTCTCTCTCCTTCTCTGACGATCGTCTCTACCGCCGGTAACTCGCCTCCTACGGCGCATGGCAGCAGGTGGAAGCCGCGGGAGGCACGCGATACACGCTGCCTCGAAAATTGAACTCGCCCAGCAATTTGCTTAGTGCCGAAGAATCTAACCCCTGAAGCCGCGGCTGACGTGGCGACGACGCCACTAAGCGAATGGGCGATCGACATGTGCACGATTGAGGATGTTGTGAGAATGGCACGAGAGTGCGGTGAAAAATAAAAGCATTCAAGCTTTCTACACCGAGAATGTCCGTCGGTTCGTCGGTTCTTTCTGTCCGTCGACGAGGGATCAGTCGACCGAGATGTGACAGACAGCAGTACCGCAGTGGCTCCCGTGTGAATTCGGCGCAATATCAAAATACCGAAACCTTCAGTACCATTCGGTACCATCTGGTAACATTCTGTGTTGCGGCGGTTCTGGAAAAAAATCCAGCGATGACGATGGCAGGCGAAGAACAGGATCTGTGACGCGAGGGAAATCTGACATGTGACCGTTGCGTCATGTACACTAGCTCCTATTCGAAGAATATATCAGTATATATAAGTATATCTAGTCCAAGACATTCACACACAAAGCATCTATTATACATAAACCCATGGAGAGCAACTAAAAAAACAAACAAAAAGTAGAAAGAGACGCCATTTTCCAGGAGACTAACAAATCTGGCCATTGGTTGGAACCAGCGGTTCCAGCCTGACTCATACCGCTACCACCTAGAAAGAAACACTCCGATGGATAAAATATTATAACCCTCGCACTTCTGATTACTCCAGAAGAATTGCTGCTAGCGCCGCCGACCCGCATTCAGATCACAGCAAGCTCATCACTTGCTTGGCCAGAGGAACCAGCAGTTCCAGCCTCGCAAAGAGTATCCTCACCAAGAGCAGCTTCAGTTCCAGCGTTAGACCCGGTCAGAATTGCATCAGCTGCAACCTCAACCCCGATCACAGTATCAGTAGCACTAGCTGGTGCAGTAGCAGCATTAACAGCCACAGCAGGACCACCATCAGCGGCAGCAGCAGGCAGAAGTCCTGCTGATGATTTATTCATAGCAGCACCAACGCCTGTAGCCGAGCCTGTAGCAGTGGTTACAGCAGCAGCGTCCGTAGCACCTTCAGCAGCAGACGTCACTTTTGTACTACCTGCTGTGGGAGATAGCATGGACTGCTGTTGGTTCCGTTGCTGCTGTTCCTGCTGCAGCTGTTGTGTCGGAGCCTCTGACTGCACGAGTGGTTTCAGCTCTTGCTGCGCATTCCCAGCCACACCCCCCACGCTGGGTAGGACAAGTTGGTGTTGCTGTTGCTCTTGCTGCTGCTGCTGCTGCTGCTGCTGCTGCTGCTGCTGCTGCTGCGGCTGTTGCGGCTGCTGCTGTTTCTGCTTGCTTCCTGCTGATGCTGCCCCTAGCACGGTCGCAAGGTAAGTGCTTGGAATCTCGACACTCACTTGGGGTGGAGACTGACAGGTACTCTGAACCTGGACAGGTCCCCGAGAGAGAGACTTCTTAGGAATTTGCAATAAGGGGGACGAGGAGAAGTTGGGGATAGGGACGGAAATGACAATAGGGGAGGAGGAGGTGGTGGGCTGAGAGGCGGCTGAGAGGGTATGTGCTGCTGCTCCTTCTGCTGTTGCTCCTTCCGCTCCTGCTGCTCCTCCTAATCCTGCAACTCCTCCTGCCCCTCCTGCTGCTGCTACCCCTTTTGCTGCCTCTATTGCTGCCGCCACACCTGCAGCAGCTTCTGCAGAGGTGGCAGCAGCAGCCGAGCTCAAAACCGACTGGACAAAGGTCAACGGAGAGAAGTGCGATACAGGAGAGAGTGGATGGGGGATTGTTGCCGAACCTCCCCCCCCAGACCTCCCCACAGGCTGCCCTGGTGAAGCCCCGAAGCTCCCTGCAGCAGCTCCGGAACTCCCTACCGAGCCTAACCTCGGGACTAGTAAGGCCGAGCCTAGCCTGGGGACTTGTAACGGCGAGCCTGTTTTAGCGACTAAGGAAGGAGAGGCAGCAGCAGAAAGAGGAAGACTGCCGGAAGTAGCAGCTGCTGCTGCGGCGGCGGCTGATGCTGACACGGGGGGGATGGAGAGAGGCGTGGCGAGGGAGGGGGTTGGGGCGGCAGCACGTTGGGGAGTGGAAGGAGCTACTGTGCCGAGTAGCAGTCCCCCTGAAGCAGATGGCAGGGCAGAATCGGAGGGATAGGTAGCACTGCCGCCACCGCCGAAAGCAGCACCAGCCACAGCAGTACCAGCAGCAGCAGCAGCAGGAGCAGTCGTGGCCGAGGTGGTGGCACCCCCAACAGTGGCAGCAGCGCCAGCAGGAGCAACCCCAGCAGCAGCAGGATAGAACCCAGCGGGAGTAGTGGCAGCTGCAGCAGCACCAGTTAAAGCCGCCGCCGCACAGTCAGTTGAAGCCACTGGGCCAGCAGGACCAGCAGCAGCAGGAGGAACAGCAGCAACATTAGCAGTAGCCGCAGCAGTAGAGGGTGTAGCTCCCGCCACACCAGTAGCCATCGATCCAGAGCAACCAGGCAGGGGCTGGGACGGGTTGGGGTCAATGCCCGCGTTATAGAGCACCCCTTTAAAGATGTGCCCGCCGATCTTGACACAGGCGTGGTAGCCAAACTCAAAGTGCCCGTCCACAATGCCCGTCACCCGCACGCTCCTGAGGAGGGTCTGCGCCACCACCTCTGCTGGGAGTGCTGGTGTGAGGGAGAGGAGTGGGGAGGGTTGAAACGGGGTTGAGTGAGATTGCATTATGATGCGCATGTGACTGCCGATCTTGACACAGGCGTGGTAGCCAAACTCAAAGTGCCCGTCCACGATTCCCGTCACTCTCACGCTCCTGAGGAGCGTCTGAGCCACCACTTCTGCTGGGAGTGCTGGTGTGGGGCAGAGGGGTTGAGAGGGGTGAGGAGGGGTTGAGTGAAAGTGCCCGTCCACAATGCCCGTCACCCGCACGCTCCTGAGGAGGGTCTGTGCCACCACCTCTGCTGGGAGTGCTGGTATGAGGGAGAGGAGTGGGGAGGGTTGAAACGGGGTTGAGTGAGATTGCATTATGATGCGCATGTGACTGCCGATCTTGACACAGGCGTGGGAGCCAAACTCAAAGCGCCCGTCCACGATTCCTGTCACCCGCACGCTCCTGAGGAGGGTCTGTGCCACCACCTCTGCTGGGAGTGCTGGTGTCAGGGAGAGGGGCTCGGAGAGGTAAGGCGAGGTTGAGTCAGGTGCTGAGCAGCACGCAGGAGGGTCTGAGCCACCGCCTCTGTTGAGAGCGCTGGCATGGGGCCGAGGGGTTGGAGGGGTGAGGCGGGGTCAAGTGAGATTGTGCCCCACTACAGTTGTTTTCATTCTTTATTGTAAGCACGACGAAATTCTGAAATTTTATAAGCCCCGATGAAACAGGAACCTCACCTTGAGTCTGCTGCGCAGATGATTCTGGAAGAGCTAACATTGATGGCTGCTGCAGCGGCTGCTGTGCCATCTGCTGTTGTTGCTGCTGCTGCTGTTGCTGCAGTGATGGCTGCAACAACTGATGCTGCTGCTGCTGCTGCTGCTGCTGCTGCTGCTGCTGCTGCTGCTGCTGCTGCTGCTGCTGCTGCTGCTGCTGCTGCTGCTGCTGCTGCTGCTGCTGCTGCTGCTGCTGCTGCTGCTGCTGCTGCTGCTGCTGCTGTTGTTGCTGCTGCTGTTGCTGCTGTTGCACGGGAGCCTGAGTTGGTTGCAGCCCCGCCTGCTGCTGGTACTGAGACGGAACCAGCAGCAATTGCTGCGACTGGGTTTGAGCTTGGCCTTGGCCATGAGCTTGCATACCCGTCTGGGCACCTAGTAGCGGCACCGCTCCTGCTATTTGAGGCTGCTGCTGCTGCTGCGACGGCTGCTGCTGCTGCTGCTGCTGCTGCGAGAGCGGCTGGACGTGCCCCTGGCTGGGCATTTGAACAGACACCTGGCTAGGCACCTGAGCCGGTACCTGCGCATGGGGAATGGGCACCACCACAGACGCCACTGGCCCTCGCGCAGGCGACTGAGCCATGACAGGTGTCGACACCCCACTGGATGGCAAAAAACTCGAGTTACCCAACGCCCCTAGAGCACCGCCAGGCGCCACCGCAGCAGGCCCCATCGCAGTAGCGACAGCAGCAGTAACAGCAGCAGCGGTAGCAGAATACGGCACGGGCATGGGTCCCGCCACGGGAGACTGCGACCCGCTGCCTCGCGCCCGCTTCGTCCGCGGCGGTACCGGGCGCATAGTCGCCGCCATGGCCCGCGCGGCGGACTCCATCTGCTCGCGCTTTCTCCGCTCCGCCGCGGGGACCCACGTGCGAGCAGTTGAATCCGCGCGCCTTGCAGCACGTGCGGCAGCGGCGGTACGGGCAGTCGCGCTTGGACGCGTTTCCGCACTCCATGCACGAATTGCCCTCGCGGAAAATGGCCGGGCCGAGGGATTGAATGACTGGGAGTGTCAATACTTGCTGCTGACCCGGCTGCAGCTGCTGCTGCTGATGTTGCTGAGCCTGCTGCTGTTGCTGCTGCGAGTTCTGCAATTGTTGCTGCTGCTGCGGCTGAGACCCCATGGGCAACGGGACTATAACGGGAGTGAGCGGCTGTTGGAGCTGCTGTAGCTGCTGTTGTGACTGCAGCGGCTGCTGTGGCTGTAACAGTTCCAGCTTTGGCTGAGATAGTTGTTGCTGATTTGGCTGTTGTGATTGAGTCGGCCCGCCAGGGGGGGATGGAGGAGGAAGAGGGGAGATAGGTGCGCCATCCGCTGCAGTCGCCATGGGTGGCAAACACACCATTCACAACCTCATTTTGATTAATGCAAGACGAAATTCGCTAGTTGTATTCTTGGCCTTTCCGTGCAGAACTGTGGTGCAAAACAACCGCCTTTACTTTCAATGGTGGGTGATTAATCTTGTTCCGCAAACAGGAGCGCCGTATGAACGAACGACCGATTAGACCATCATATCCCGGACACCGTTGGAACCTGCAAAACGAAAATAAAACACCACAATAAGCAAAGATTAACGAAAGGGAAAAGGATGAGAGAGTTACGCACAGCATGGTGAGGTCGAAGCAAAGTTCCTAACAAACGTATGACGCGTCACGCAGAGTCAGCACAGCGCGGCGGTTCTCGACGACGAGCATTCGGCACATAATCGTGGATTCTCAAATCAAAGGTGTGTCTTGCGTCAACTCCAGAACATATTTCACGGCACTTCTCGAAGCACGAAGCTAAGGAACGGACAGACAGGCGACAGAATCATGACAAAAAGTTTGAAGTCAATAACGATGCGAATCCGCGTGAAGGTAAAGAAAAGAAAAGCGGGCGAGGAGGATTCTGCTAAAAAATAATCGCCTGGCAAAATGGATAAAGAAGGCGACAAGGCTCGGAAATGACGGTAAAGGATAATCTAAACATAATAATCACTCAGGAGATCAGCCAGAGAAAGGAGTTGGTACAAAAGCTTACGTCACAAACGTAGGTGCTGTAAGGATCACGCAGCGGAAGCGGAGGGAGGGGAAGGGAAATCGGTAACTCCTAGGGCAAGCTAGCCTAGAAAGCTACGACTAGCTTCTAGAATGAGGTGGTAGGGAAACCCTAGTCCTAGATGACCTGCACGGCTAGAGCTCTACGCCCTTGGATTGGCTGTCGGAGATTCCATGAGGTTAGGCTAGGGACAGGCTAGGCTGGGCAGAGGTGTTGGCGTGGTTTCATAACTCGTCTTCAAGATCCGTAGCGTTAGGAAGGGATACAGTGTGGTGAAGTGCCGTTTTTTTTCAGCCCTGGGATGGTAGTCCTTGGTTCTTGCAAGGCCAGGGCAGGGGCAGTCGGCCTTTCCATCCCACCAGTGTAGAATTAGCCGGCCAAAGTCGGTCCACTGGCCGGCCGTCAACTGAAAATTCAAAAACCCGTCTGGGTAAAATCTTCGCATGTTTGGGATTCATAATCCCAAGGCGCATGACTTCCGCACAAGGTATATTTTTGCTGCTGACGGGCAGATGACGGACCCTCGGGCTTCTTTGACGGCCCGACCGACTGATTTCCTGTCTACTGTCGATGCAGTCCTCGCTTGAGTGGTTGAGCAAGTTTTGGGGAAGGGTGGCTTGTGGGCAGCGTGTTTTTGCTTTGTGGTCGTCGCTTGTCGGGAATCAACGATATGCGGTCATGTACGGTCGAGTCGACGGTCAGAGTGGGAAAACGTTTTATGGATGAAAATTTAAACTGCATTGTAGAATCACACCTAAAGAATATAACCAAGACATAGAAGTAGAGTTTTTTTTTCGTGGTGAAATTACTTTGAAACCCATATATTTCATGTCTGAGTTGGTTGCCCACGGGTAGAAGTGCATGGGCTTGACTAGAGCATTTATGCACTGTAAGTGTTCGTCCTTTCAACGACTTTACGGGCGGCAATTCTGTCAACTCCAGCTGTAAGTTCACGAATCACGAACTTCACGTGTGAATTTGCGTCGTGCGAGATTGCAGGATCCGCAACACCCACATTGCACGCATCTGTCCTCACCGCTGTGCACCTACTGTAATGCGCTGTGTGTGATAGCAGGAGGAGGGCTTGTTTCACGAATCACAATTCACAATTCATCCTTCAAGACACTTGTTGGCTTGGCTTATCGCGTGAGCCTCTTTTGAATTTTGGATTATCGATCGAACGAACCTAGCCCTACACACTGCATTCTGTCTGTTACAGTATGCGCCTAAGGTTGAATGGTGGATTTAGAAAGAATTGACTTCCGTGCCATTACCCGCCCAACCCCTTTCACTTCGACGTGTTTTTCCAAATTAGTAATTAAACGATTTATCACTTCGCCTGTATCGTTGCAAGCGACGCCGCGTAGAGGTATCCGTGGACAAATCAGCGACCGATATCAGCGTCCTGTAATCAGCGCCCCTGACCGTAGGGCACGCTGACGCAATTAAGGAACTGCGAACGCCATGGCAGAAGGTCGAGTCAGAGGCGGCTGGAACAGGCACGTGACGACACGCAATGCGAAGCAGACTCGGAAGAAAAGGGCGAGAAATGATGAGACTACAGCGGGAGGTCCTGTAATTTGCTCCGCCGCGGTGTTATTCCAGGGTGAGAGTGACAATAACGAGGTTCGCCGCTATACAGACCGAACGCCACGTGCCGATCGCCGTGTTACGCGCGCGCGGCTCGCGCAGGGGCTTCCCCCAATCCGTTTCCCGCCGTCCCCGCGCAAAACGAGTCGTTTACCACTCCCTTCCCCAATCCGCCTCACTGAGACGAAAAGGCGAAACTATCCATCCGCCGTCCCCGCCGTTCCGCCGGCCCCGCGGCGCATCCGCCGTCTCCCGTCCGCCTCCACGTTGTCAACCGATCCCCCCTCCGTGGCCCCATCCGCCATCTCCTGGCCGACTCCCCCACCGTCCCCCAACCGCTTTCCCTCATCGCCCCCCCTCCCCATCCGCCTCCATCCGCATTCATCCGCAGTCACACCCAATCCGCGTCCCCCCCATCCGCCTTCCCCTCATCCGCCCCCCGATCCGCTCTCCCACATACGTCCTCAGATCCCCTCCTCCAATTCTCCTCCCCTCTTCCGCCTTCCCCCATCTCCCCTCATCCGCATTCCCTCCAATCCTCATTCCTTCTTCCGCCACTTCGCCATCCCCCCATCACCTTCCTCCCATCCGCCTTTTCCCCTCCGCCTTTCCCCCCACCCGCTTTCCTCCATCCACTTTCCCCCATCCACCTTCCCCCATCCGCCTTCCCCCATCCACCTTCCCCCATCCGCCTTCCCCCATCCACCTTCCCCATCCGCCTTCCCCTTCCCCCATCCGCCTTCCCTTCCCCATCCGCCTTCCCCTTCCCCCCATCCGCCTTTATCGAATCCACTTTCCCCCCACCCTCCGCCACCCGTCCACCGCCACCCATCCGCCGCCACCCATCCGCCGCCACCCATCCGCCCCCCCGGATCAGTTCTCCTTTCGCTCGCGCCCCCATCTGTCTCCCCGCTCTCTCCTTCCCCACTATCTTCCCCCATTGCCTCGCCCAGCGCCCTGGTTCACAGTGCTGGTGGCGGCGTGGGTGCGTGCTGTGTGGGCTGTTGTGTGGGCTGGCTGTGGGTTGGCCACCTTGATCAGCCCTCCTTTCCTTTCCCCCGTCTCTCCCTCCCCCCACTCTCTCTCCTCGCCCCTCTCTCCCTCCCAGCCCCCTGGTTCACGGTGCTGGTGACGGCATGGGTGTTGTGTGGTCTTGTCGTGGCGGCATGGCTGCTGTGGGACCGGCACTCGCAGTACGAGAGCCGCAGGGAGGAGGCGCTGGGCGTGTGGTGCAAGGAGCGCGCCCTCATGCTGCAGCAGCTCGTGCTCACCCATGTGGGGCAAACCCAGGTAAGTTTTGGTTGGAGTCAGCATCCTTTCCGCCAGTAGCATGAGTGCTGCCCTCATGCCCCCAGGTAAGTTTGGGTTGGAGGCCTTTCATGAAGATGTGCATCATCTCATCCTCAGACAAGGGTTTCTCGAGCATGCGTGCTGCGACCTCAAACTCGACTGCATGTCCCTGCACCGATCGGTTACGACACTTGATATTCTCAAGGCGTCCGCGCAATTCCGGGTCGGACTTCTTGACCATGAATGTCCCTTTCAGCGCGGTGCAGAACTCCGGCCATTCAAACGGTCCTACTGCATGCCTTTAAGCTCTCATGCTCTCATGCCCTCGTGCCCTCGTGCCCTCGTGCCCTCATGCCCTCATGCCCTCATGCCACTGTCGCTGTTGGCAGTCCCGTGGTTGCGCGATCGCTTGTGCTTACGGTCGTCATTGCTGCTCTATTGTTGCTCTCCCTCTCCTCCCACCCCATGCACAGACACTGACAGGCATAATATCAGTGATGGGCAGGCCAGGGCAGAGGCACAAGTGGGAGTTGGACACGTGTTTGAACGGCAGCACGTGGGAGGCATACCTCACTCGCACCGCCTATGCTCGCCCAGGGAACACAGGGGCACTCTCTTGTGTTTTCGTGAAAGACGAAGAGAGGTGAGAGTGGGAGGAGGGGGTGGTGGGGAAGGGGGGTAGAGAGGGGGAGGGTTGATTGAGCAGAAGGGAATTCAAGATACATATTTCTAGGAGCCTTTAAACTTGGGGAACATGTGGGCGCTCTCGTGTGTCATTGTCAGTGCTACAGCGGTGCATACAAGATACAACTCTTCCTCTTTCCCAGTTCCTCCTGGTTCACACACACACATCGCTGCAGACGGTTCTATGAGCAGCAGTACAGCAGCATAAGAAACAACACTCTCAACGTCACTCGTTGCTTTGTTCCTGTTCTATCCCTCCCATTCACACATTGTTGCAGGGCGGCCTTTGAGAGACAGTACGGCAGCATAAGAGACAACACTCTCAACGTCAGTGCCAACCGCCCCATCTACTGCCCCAAGATCCTCCAATTCTCCACAACATTGGCCATGAATGGCACGCAGAACGTTGATGTCATGAAGCGATTCGTCACGGAGGTTCCGCTGGCTGTGGAGGGAAGGCCGTTCTACACATGGCCGTATCCCTTGGCTGGATCGTCAACCAATGCTGGTTTCGGTGAGCTGCAAATCGCTCTGAGTCAGTTTTGGAAGATCTGGGTTTCGTACGATTGATTGGTTCAGGGTGGGGGATTCTGGTTTGCGAGAAATGAAGAACACTTGAGTTCTGTTGAGAGGTGGAGGATTTTTTTGCTCGAAAACAAACAGGTGGAATGGAATGTTCGCGTGCTTCGAGCTGGTTTTTGAGAATTCTAAAAAACATGTGGAATGGAATGGAATGGAATGGAATGGAATGGAATGGAATGGAATGGAATGGAATGGAATGGATTGTTGGCATGCTTCTCTCCCTTCCTCCCGTTGTCATTGATGCAGGCGTGGCCTTTCCTCTCCGTCGCAGTCTCCTCACAAACCACTCGCAGCATGCAACCACATCCATGGTGTATGGGACCCTTGCGGCATCCGTTGACGCAACATCCATCGCTCAGAAGGTCGTGGAAGAGTTGTACGCACGTGGTGAGTGAAGGGCTGTACGTACCTGGTGTGGTGTACGCACCACACCACAAACCACCCGAGGCATGCAACCACATAGATAGTGTACTCGACACTTGCCATAGTGAAGAGATGTGGGTTGATAATGCCAACTCAACTACTTTTGAGCTTTGAGGCTACTTCCCCCTCCTTTCCATCTCCCCCCTTCTCCTTTTGTTTGTTCCACTCAGACCCGTCCAAGTCGTTCCAATCCAACTCTACCGAGCCACAAAAGCCCATTCATGCTCTTCCTCCGTTTGAGTCGACTCAAAAGCCCATTCATGCTCTTCCTCCGTTTGAGTCGACTCAAAAGCCCATTCATGCTCTTCCTCCTCTTCCACTCCTTCCCCTCCCTCCTCCCCCCCCCCCCCTCTGCAGACCCGTCAAAGTCTTTCGAACTCTACGACGTCACAAACCGATCGATGCTCTTCGCCATCGTCTCACCGGTCCCGCCACACATCTTCTACCTCCCCAACGACCCTGTCGCTCGCATGCTTCCCTCTCCCACGTCCGAAACTCGCCCCTGGGAAAACCCGGCGATGGTGTCCTTAGATGAGATGGGAGCAGGCGTGCGCAAGTATGAAGTTTGGTGCAGGTGAGCCATTGGATTCATTGTGGGTCCGATCCTGTCGCTCGCATGTTTCTCTCGTCTTCATACGAAACTCGCCCCTGGGAAAAGCTGGCTGTGGTACCTCTGTATGAGCTAGGAGCAGGCTTGCGCAAGTACGAAGTTTGGTGTAGGTGAGCTGTCAGACCAAATGTAAAATGTTCCTTTTCTTTGCTCCCTACACTGTATTCCTACGCGCGCGCACTAATTGCATATGCATGCACCTGCATCTCAGAAACAGTTGACTTTCTAGATTCACCCATCCAGACACACCGAGCCTTCCAACACATGGCAATCATGGGGCATCCCCATCCTCATCGCGCTCTTCTCCTTCCTGTGACGTGACCCCCCCCCCTCCCCCCGCGTTCCCATCCAGGCACACAGAGCCTCCCAACACGTGGCAATCGTGGGGCGTGCCCATCCTCATCGCCCTCTTCGCCCTGCTCCTCGTGCTGCTCGTGGTGGTGGCGGCACGGATTCAGCGAGCCCAGTTCTTCCAGACCCAGCAGCAGATGGCGGAGGCGGATAGACTGAGGAGGAAGGCGGAGGATGCAGAGGCATCAAAGAGCATGTTCGTGGCATGCATGTCTCATGAGCTCAGGACGCCGATGACAGGGATCATTGGTACGTACTAGGTAGAGGACTCCTGATTCATTCACCCATGTTTGCACCGAGCTGGTTTTTGAGAATTCTCAAAAACCAGCTCACACTAGGTGGAGGACTCCTGATTCATTCACGCATGTTTGCACCGTCTGCATCGCACTAGGGGCTGATCGCTTTCACACCATACACTTTTCTTATACCGTTCTTCTCTCGCACCAAGCATGCTCAATGCTTTGGCGTGCATATCACGCCTCGTTAACCATGCCTTTTCTCACGAGCAATACTCCCTTCATCATACTTAGCACCTTCCTTCATGCACCCCTCTCTCCCCGTCTTTCTCACCAGGCATGCTCGATGCTTTGGCAGACATGTCCCTCCAACCTCCTCAGCTATCAGACCTCCTCAGCGCACGGGGGTGTGCGATGGATGCACTGCATCTGGTCAACCGCGTGTTGGACCTGGCGAAGCTGGAGGCAGGGAAGGCGGTGGTGGATGAGACGGGCTTCAATGTACGCGACTGGCTTCAAGGGGCGTTGGATTGGCACGTGGAGGCGGCACATTGCAAAGGCATAGAATGTGAGTCGCTCATTGTGGCGGGCAAGGTGGTGGTGGATGAGACGGGCTTCACTGTGCGCGCGTGGCTTCATGCAAGTTTGGATTGTCAGGGGTGGGGGCCGATACATTCCAAAGGCATAGAATGTGAGTGGCTCATTGAGGAATGTTGGAAGTGGACACTGGAATCGCCCGAAGTGGTCTCCCCAAGAGCTACAGGTGTCGTTATGGGGGGGGGGGTTTGGGTGCGCTGACCCACCAAGGAAACATGCCCTTTTATCCCAGTTGGTTAGCGAACTGGAGCTGTCCCTGATGGGAGGCTGCATGACAACGTTCTGGGCTACACCGTTGCCGCCGACCAGATGCACCTCTTGGAGATTCTCATAAGCAACTCATTTCCTTTTCCCCCTCTTTTGTTTTCCGCCCACCCTGTTTCTCCTTCCCCTCTAGTGCGCGGCATGGTGGACGACAACGTGCCGGGTCACATCGTTGCTGATCAGATGCACCTCTCCAAAGTGCTTAAAGAAATTACAGGTATTTACCTGATAATGGTTGTATGGCATGTGGTCATGTGTTGTAATGCCGTCAGTCATGTGTGCTCTAACTCGTTAAGGCTCCCAACAGGTGAAGCCTACACAGCTGCAAAGGCTTAGGGAAAGGTTCCAGGCCCAGCAGCAGTTGAAACTATATTCCGATCCTCCTTCTTTCTCACGTTCTGATGGGTCTGATTCGCTCACACCACCGCCTTGGTTTCGTTTCAGATAACGCAGTGAAGTTTACAGCGCAAGGGCGCGTGACAGTGCGGGTGTCCTTGGTGCCTCGAGGGACAACCTTGCAAGACGCCCTTCGTTGCCAGGGTAAGAGAATATTGTGAGCATCGACAGAGCTGTGTGACAAAATGGCAAGGCGTGTTGATTGATTCTCGATTTCCTTCACTAGTGTCTCTCCTTGTTCGTCAGCTGCTGTTGCTCTTGCTTCATGCCACGCATTGACTGTCAGTCACCGAAACAGGTCCCATGTTCGGCATTCCTCACGCTAAGCATTTCTCCCCCTCCGTCCACACGTGCCTTGCTCCTCCAGGTCTTCTCACAGCCGCCCATCACACACCTGCTTCCACTCTCACCAGCCTGGCTGCCTGGTTCTCCTCAACATGGGATTGGTTGAAGGAGGCTGTGAGGGAATTGCCAGCAGCGGCAGCAGCGGCAGCATCGAGTGCATCGAGCAGCCCATCGAGGGATCGGCCGGGTGTGCTGGTGGTGTCGTGCCAGGACTCGGGATGCGGCCTACCAGCGTCTCTTCACGGAGTTCACGGCAGCAGGGAGGCGTCACACTTCTCGCTTGCGGTGAGTTGTTGTTAGCTCTCACGTTGTTGGTAACTTGAGGTGCCTCAAGAGACTTCTCACTTCTCCCTCGCGGTAAGCTGTTGTTGTTAGCTCTCATGTCATGGTAAGGACGCGTCACAATTGAAATACCGAAGAAGGATCGGGGGTGTTCACCGATCCTGCCAAATCGATCGCCACATCGGTGTGCCACGACTGCATTTTTGCAATCGCGGGCCCACCACAATTCTCAAGTGACACGTTTGAAAAATCATGGGGCAAAATCGCCCGATCTGGACGAAATTGCACAATCGATGTGTGGCAAGGGCACATCGATCGCGTGACTCCGAGGGGACAACTGTACATTGGCGACAAAAAACGAAGCCAAGTAACCACCAATTCGCAACTTAACGAAGTACTGTACCCGCGAAATACCGATCCTGCGCAGGATCGATGTTTCAATTGTGACGCGTCCTAAGTTGTCATTATATTAGCTCTCACGTTGCTGGTGGTGTCATGCTGTGACTCGGGATGCGGCCTGCCAGCGTCCCGCCATGGAGTTCACAGCAGCAGCGGGCAGGCTTCGCACTTCTCGCTTGCGGTTAGGGTGAATGAGTGCATACAACTGGTGTCACCCATTGCGTTCCTGATGCAATTCTTTCCAATGTTATCCGCTTTCCTCCTCTTGATCTCTTTGTGCTATAGCTCCCTTCGACCCTTTTCTTCCCACTTCCTCGGTTCCTCCTCACTCTTGCCTTCTTCGCAACCTCCCTCTCCATTTCACCCCTCATTTTCTCCCACGTCCCGTCTCCCTCACTCCACGTCTTTTCCTCCCCGTGTCTCCTCCCTCCTTCATTACGTCTTGCTCATTTTGCCCCTGTGTCATGCCCCCATTCAAGGCCGTATTTTACGGTCAGTATTACAAAATTTGGCCGTATTTTTGTTACAGTTTTTTTGCCCCCATCTCATGCCGCTATCTTCTTGCATGGCATATCTATGCCTACCATGGCATGCTATGGCATGGCATGGCACCCACCATTCAGGAATTGCACGAGACAGGGAGCGGATCAGGAGCATCACTTGGGCTCGTGCTCATGCACCAGATGGTGAGTTTCCTTTCCAAATCATGGCAGTCTGTTCTGATTATGTTATTATACTTTTAATTTGTTGGAGTACTTTTGTTCGGAATGCACTTGTGTCTAAGCAAGGTTCATGGTGTCCTACATTTGCCTCTTCGCAAACACACGACAAACCCCAAGAATAAAGATCTTGACGCTTTTTCCATCTATACATGTTCGTATGAAATATAGAACGATAATACGGTAGTTTGTCGTGTTCGTCTCAACCAACTCTACTTCCATGTGTAGCCTTGGTTGAGTATCATCATGTCAGCATGTCTTAAACGAACGGCGGAGTTAGTAACATAAGAGAGCATGTCTTGGAGGGCGGGAACGCTAAATAGGTACCTCGTAAAAGCAAATACACTTGCAAGCTTTGGAGGGAAGTGGTGAACAGAAGCAATGAGTGCAAGCAACAGTCGACCGCTTCAGCAATTCTTGTGGAAATCTGTCTTTCTTACAACTCGCAGGTGACTCTAATGAAAGGAGAGATCGCCTTTGATTCCCAGCCTGGGTGTGGCTCCACTGTGGCGTTTTCCGTGCCCGTGGCCGTTCCCTCGATACAAGAACAGTCCTCGCTACAAGAACACACCTCGCTACAAGATCACTGCTCAGATGAGGAACTTGAAGTGTTGGAATCGCAAGACTTGCAGAGTCAGCAGCAACGCCAGCATCCTCATTATTATCATCATCTTCAGCAGCAGCAACAGCAGGAACAGCAGCAGCAACAGCAGGAGCAGGAGCAGCAGCAGCAGCAGCAGCAGCAGCAGGAGCAGGAACAGCAGCAGCAGCAGCAGCAGCAGGAGCAGGAGCAGCAGCAGCAGCAGCGGCGGCAGAAGCAGGAACAGAAGCAGCAGCAACCACAGCAACCGCAGCAGGAGCAGCATCAAGAGGAAGTGCAGCAGCTGCAGCAACAGCAGCAGGGACCCCAGCAGCAGCGGGAGCGGTCTCTAGCAGCGGCAGGGAGGGTGGGCAGCGAGGGAGACTGCTCCAGAGCCCTCCAGAGAACAGCAGGCAGAGAGAACAGACGGAACGCGAGAAAAAGCATGAGCGGCGAGTACCCCCGTCCCGTCTCCGCGAATGCAGCTGCTGGCACGAGTACAGGCATGCGGGCGGCGGCAGATGAGGCGGTGACGCGGGCGTGGGTGGGGGGGCTGCGAGTGCTAGTGGTGGACGACACGCCCGTCAACCTCCTCGTGGCCCGCCGCTCCCTCGCCCGCTGGGGGGCGCTTGTGACCACCGCCAACCACGGGCAACAAGCAGTGGACTTAATCGCTGCTGGCTTGCAGGAGAGCTCCCTCGCCCGCTGGGGCGCCCGAGTCACCACCGCCCCCCGTGGGGAGCAGGCGGTTGAGATGATTGCTGCTGGTGTGGAGGGAGGAAGAGGGGAGGAGGAGGGGAGAGGGCAGCAGGAGGCGAGAGGGGAAGAAGCGGGTGCAGTGGTTGGAGAAAGGGAGCAGGAAGTAACAGGGGCAGTTGGTGAACTAGTGAGAGCAGGAGACGGAGGGGCAGGGGAGATGGTTGACAGTAGGGGCAAGGGGATGGCGGCTGGGGAGTTGGTTGGGAGCATGGTTGGAATGATAGGGATAGCAGATAGTAGAGTTGGCTGTGGGGCGAGGGGAGCGAGAGAAAGGGGAGGGGATGAAAGAGGAGGGAATGAAGGAGGGCGTGCATCATCGTTGCAGCATGGCTTCGACTTGGTTCTCATGGACCTGCAGATGCCGGGGATGGACGGGTGAGTGGTTGTGAGTGGTGGAGAGTGGTGGTGAGTGGTGCGAGTGGATGGGTGAGTGGTGAGTCACGCACTCCTTTTCGGATATCCCTCACGGTTGTTTGTTTTGGGTACGCTTTATGGTTATGCCATGGCATGGCGGGTGAGTGGTAGAAGCAATGCTTTATGTCTCATTATTACTACCTCATCCTTATGCCGCATGCTTATGCCTCATCCTTATGCCTCATCCTTATGCCTCATCCTTATGCCTCATCCTTATGCCTCATCCTTATGCCTCATCCTTATGCCTCATCCTTATGCCTCATCCTTATGCCTCATCCTTATGCCTCATCCTTATGCCTCATCCTTATCCCTCATCCTTATGCCTCATCCTTATGCCTCATCCTTATGCCTCATCCTTATGCCTCATCCTTATGCCTCATCCTTATGCCTCATCCTTATGCCTCATCCTTATGCCTCATCCTTATGCCTCATCCTTATGCCTCATCCTTATGCCTCATCCTTATCCCTCATCCTTATGCCTCATCCTTATGCCTCATCCTTATGCCTCATCCTTATGCCTCATCCTTATGCCTCATCCTTATGCCTCATCCTTATGCCTCATCCTTATGCCTCATCCTTATGCCTCATCCTTATCCCTCATCCTTATGCCTCATCCTTATGCCTCATCCTTATGCCTCATCCTTATGCCTCATCCTTATCCCTCATCCTTATGCCTCATCCTTATGCCTCATCCTTATGCCTCATCCTTATGCCTCATCCTTATCCCTCATCCTTATGCCTCATCCTTATGCCTCATCCTTATGCCTCATCCTTATGCCTCATCCTTATCCCTCATCCTTATGCCTCATCCTTATGCCTCATCCTTATGCCTCATCCTTATGCCTCATCCTTATGCCTCATCCTTATGCCTCAAGCTTTTTTCTCAACACATCACATACCTAGCAAAGTCAATCGTTCTCTTGTCTCCCCTACAGTTTCGCAGCGACAGAGGCGATTCGAGCTCTGGAGAGGAAACTGATGTTGGAGCGAGCAACAGAGGCCCAACTGATGACAGACGTGGATACAGCAGCAGCAGCAGAAGCAACAACAACAACAGCAGCAGGGCTTGCAACGGTTATAGAGGCACCTCAAAACTCAGCGGCAGCAGCAGCAGGGCCTGCAACATGTGCAGTGGCTACGTCAAGGCACGGAGGCATGGCGAGCCGAGAGGAACAGAGTGGGACATATGGATTTCAGCAGCAGGGAGGCAGATGGGAGGGCGCAGGGAGGGGAGCAGCAGAACCGCGGGAGATGCACAGGCGGGGTGTGAGCTGGGGAGGGGAGTGGGGGGGACGCATGGGGGGAAGAGGGGGCAGGGGAGAGAGTTTTTTGCCACGGGAGAGAGGAGAAGGGCGAATTGAGGGGGCTTCTACGGCTGCTTCGACTGCTCTGCTAGTCCCTCCCCTAGAAGCCTCTGACGTTGCTTCTGCTACTTCTTTAAGTGCTGCTGCTGCTGTTGCTGCTGCTTCTTTGAGTGCCCAGCCTGTGCCTCTCAGGGTGCCCATAGTGGCTCTGACGGCAGACGTGGATCGCGGAGTGGTGCAGAGGTGTGCAGAGGGGGGGTTTGACGGTGTGCTGCAGAAGCCAGTGGATGCCAACCTGCTCGCCGCCCACCTCTCCCAAATAACCTTCCACCGCTCCCTCGGGCGGTAGCTATCACTCTCACTGCGCTTCCACCCCTCACCCCAACGGTAGCAGTCTCCGCAACAGTGTCAGTCACTCCCCGCGCATTTCCTATGCTCCCGCGGACGATAGTAGTCCCTCCAAGCACTCTTCCACGTTTCACTTTGCAGTACTACTAATAATAAGAAAAAAGAGGACGGGGATTATAATCGGGTAATGTCTTATTGCCTCTTCCACTCCCGCCTCCAGTGGATCGGTATTCTCTTCACATGGTCGTCGTCATTCCACTACTTCACTGATGGCAGCTTAGCACCATCCGACAGCTGTTGGTGTTGACTTTTGAGTCGACTTAGAAGTTAGCTTAGTTAGCACCATCCGACAGCTGTTGGTGTTGACTTTTGAGTCGACTTAGAAGTTAGCTCAGTTAGCACCATCCGACAGCTGTTGGTGTTGACTTTTGAGTCGACTTAAAAGTTAGCTTAGTTAGCACCATCTGACAGCTGTTGGTGTTGACTTTTGAGTCGACTTAGAAGTTAGCTTAGTTAGCACCATCCGACAGCTGTTGGTGTTGACTTTTGAGTCGACTTAAAAGTTAGCTTAGTTAGCACCATCCGACAGCTGTTGGTGTTGACTTTTGAGTCGACTTAGAAGTTAGCTTAGTTAGCACCATCCGACAGCTGTTGGTGTTGACTTTTGAGTCGACTTAGAAGTTAGCTTAGTTAGCACCATCCGACAGCTGTTGGTGTTGACTTTTGAGTCGACTTAGAAGTTAGCTTAGTTAGCACCATCCGACAGCTGTTGGTGTTGACTTTTGAGTCGACTTAGAAGTTAGCTCAGTTAGCACCATCCGACAGCTGTTGGTGTTGACTTTTGAGTCGACTTAGAAGTTAGCTTAGTTAGCACCATCCGACAGCTGTTGGTGTTGACTTTTGAGTCGACTTAGAAGTTAGCTTAGTTAGCACCATCCGACAGCTGTTGGTGTTGACTTTTGAGTCGACTTAGAAGTTAGCTTAGTTAGCACCATCCGACAGCTGTTGGTGTTGACTTTTGAGTCGACTTAGAAGTTAGCTCAGTTAGCACCATCCGACAGCTGTTGGTGTTGACTTTTGAGTCGACTTAAAAGTTAGCTTAGTTAGCACCATCCGACAGCTGTTGGTGTTGACTTTTGAGTCGACTTTGAAGTTAGCTTAGTTAGCACCATCCGACAGCTGTTGGTGTTGACTTTTGAGTCGACTTAAAAGTTAGCTTAGTTAGCACCATCCGACAGCTGTTGGTGTTGACTTTTGAGTCGACTTAAAAGTTAGCTTAGTTACCGTCATCGCCCGGATATAAGACATATACGTCTTATCTCGGGCAAGAATGCTTGAGTTATCTTGTAAACGGGATGGTTTTGTCAGAGGTCCACTGGTGATCCCCGATTGATCCTAGGGAAGGGTTACAGGCTCGTTGTCCTGGGGGGTTATGGGCGCACTGACCCGCCACTTAATAAGCCCTTTTATCCCAATGGTCTAGTGGTTGGGATTCTGACAGGTTTAGGGTGTCTTATAAGTCTTATAAATGGAAACTTTTTAAACTACTTAGAAATATTTTCCGTACTTCTTGAAAAAGAGTTTCTCATAATGAGTGTGGATGTTGCGAAGGTGCCACTTCGACAACCTCTGCCCGGGACGCCACGTTATGGAGAACACCTGCAGGGGCAAATTTGGTAGGTCCTGGGTCAGTGCGTGGAAGAATTCGCGCTTCGCAAGGGTAAAAATGTACGCGGTATTTCAACTTTCGCTATAATTTATTGAAGTTTCGATTATAAGACATATATGTCTTATCTCGTACACACAAATAGGTGTTTTATAATGAGGCTAGCCTGTTTATAAGAGACACCCGTATAGTAGACAACCCCTGTCTACTATTCAACACTGTCTTATATCCGGGTGATGACGGTAGCACCATCCGACAGCTGTTGGTGTTGTTAAGTTGCTGCATGGGCTCATTCAACTGCGCCTGGATCGCGGCATTCGTCCAAGGTTGCTCAAGACATTCAGGGTGTCTTTCACCATTACCCTGACGGTGTTGATTCAAGCATCAAGCACCGTCCAAGTCAGAACGATTTAGTACGATTTTGCCGAGCTTGTCGAGCTTTGACTTGATCTCACCTCGTCGAGCTTGTACCCATGAGAGCGGCTCTCTTGTTTCGACGTACGTTATCCACCACTTCTGTCAAGCGTCGGTCGGTCTTTTGTGAAGTGGATGGGCGCATTGTAAATTTCGTGTTGATCACCTCTTGAGGTTAATTCTTTGGCAAGGCATACCCAACCCTACCCAACTAAAATTGTGTAATTACGCCCCTAGAGAGCATGCTGTAAAAAAATCAGTGTACCTCAGCGCGACTGCATCAGACTGCGACAGAAAAGAAAGGTGGATGGCCGTTTTCTTCTCAAAAGCACCATGCATGCTCTGTACAAACATTTACTAAAAAAAAAAAAAAAAAATCACTGAAAATCAACGAAGAACGAACTAGGGGGCGGGTGTCAAATGTTATTATAGGTTCTTAGGCTACAGTGAGTAGCACTCTAGGGAGTACAACACTTTTAGGGTTGCTATTTGTATCCCTTGTTTCCCTAGTTCACACATTCCGTTGTTCGCTAACTTTGAGATGGTATCATGAGTAGGTGTCGATCCTCTCGCCTAGCCTAGCTAGCGCCCTAGCGCCCTCCGCACCCTTGCGCCCTCCGCGCCCTCCGCGCCCTCCGCGCCCTCCGCGCCCTCCGCGCCTTAGCCTCCGCGCCCTCCGCGCCCTCCGCGCCATCTCCGCGTATTAGCGCCCTCCTCCTCCGCGCGTTAGAGCCCTCAGCGCCCCTAGCCTGCGCCCCTAGCCCGTCGCCCAGGCGCCCGCCCTAGCCCGACGCCCAGGCGCCCGCCCTAGCCCGACGCCCAGGCGCCCGCCCTAGCCCGTCGCCCAGGCCCGCGCCCTAGCCCGTCGCCCAGGCGCCCGCCCTAGCCCGTCGCCCAGGCGCCCGCCCTAGCCCGTCGCCCAGGCCCGCGCCCTAGCCCGTCGCCCAGGCGCCCGCCCTAGCCCGTCGCCCAGGCGCCCGCTTTAGCCCGTCGCCCCAGCCCGCGCCCTGGCCCGTCGCCCCAGCCCCGCAGGCAGCGCGCCGCGCGGGCAGCGCGCCCCGCGGGTAGCGCGTCCCGCAGGCGGCGCGCCCCGCGGGTAGCGCGCCCCGCAGGCAGCACACCCTGCAGGCAGCGCGCCCCGGAGCGCTTTAGCGCCAGAAAATAAATAAATAAATAAAAAATTAAACCATAAAAAAAAAAGGGTTTCGGGTGGGGGCCTGCAACTGTCGGCCGCGTTCCTGCTTGCCGGACGACCTGCACAGTTGCCTGCATCCCGCAGCCGTCAGTACTGCAGCCCCTACTGTCGCACGTACGTTCCACTGCCAGTGGCTCTACTAGCGGCAGCCGACAGCCGCACCTACGGTCTCTAGCTCCGGCCGTTCCTACCTCCAGCCAGCCCTAGCTCGCCGTTTCTAGCTCCAGCCAGTTGTGCTCCAGCCGTTCTCGCTCCAGCCGTTCTCGCTCCTCGCTCGTAGCTCAGTTTGCTCCGTACTCCAGCCGTTCCTCGCCTAATTTCACCTGTCGCTCCTAGCCTGCCGCTCCTGCACCCCGCTAGCTTTTATCATTTAGTCCACTAGGGTTCTCCAGCAGCAGGGACAGCAGCAGCGGCCGTTTCAGCAGTGGCTTCCGCAGCAGCAGGGGCGCCCTCAGCAGCTGTGGCGCCCTCAGCAGCCGTGGGGGCCTGGTGGTTCAGGTCGCGTTGGCTGCAGCAGCGGCCCAGCCAGTTGGGGGGCTCGTCGCGGTGGCCGCGACGTCGGCCCCTGCCAGTACCGGATCCTGACCGGCCCTGGCGCTGGCACTACCTGCTGGCGTCCTGACCACTCTGCACAGCGCTGCTACAGCCGCCTCGACGACCTTTACCGTGAGCGTTTTGGGCCTGAGTCGGCTCCCCCGATCTGGCCCGGTCTGTTTCGTAGTGGTTACCCTGTGTTTGATATGTCTATGGATGCTGTTTATTCTGTCACGTACGGATCTCTTGGCTTACGTGTACCTAGCTTAGGACCTTTGCCTGTTGCTAGTGTCGGTACTTGTGCTTTTAGTGTAGGTGCTTGTGTAGTCACTAGCCCGGCCGTGACGACTGCTGTTGCGTCGCTCTCCTTCACGCTGGACTCCGGCGCGTCTTAGTGCTTCTTCCGCGACCACACCACTGTCACACCTCTTTCGGCTCCAGTCCCAGTTGCCCTGGCTGATCCTACTTCAGGACCAGCAGTTGCTCGCAGCTCGACCACCCTCCCGTGCCCAGCTGTCCCCTCTGGTTTCCTCACTGGTCTCTACATCCCCTCGTTCTCTCGGAACTTGGTGGGTGTTGGATACCTTCAGGACCGGGGGGTCACAGTCACTTTTCCTGCGCACGGGAGGACTGCGATCTGTACGGACTCTTCCACCGGGGCAGTTCTTGCCACGTTCACCAGAGAGCCCCACTCAGGTCTCTTCGTCCTGCACACTCCGCCCCCGCAGGTAGCTGCGTCTGGTCAGGTTGCTTCGTCCCCCCCGGTAGCAGAGTCCGGTCAGGTTACTGCGTCCCCACCGGTTGCTGTGTCCGGTCAGGTTGCTGTGTCCGGTCAGGTTGCTGTGTCCGGTCTAGTTGCTGCGTCTTGCTCGTGTCGGTCTTTCACCCACCGGACCGTCTTGTGGCACCACCGTCTTGGCCACGCGTCGATCCCCCGCCTCCGCACTATGGCTGGTCACCGTCTTGTCTCAGGTCTCCCTCGCGTCTTCCCGTCGCTCCCTCCCTCGCCTGCGCCGCCGTGCACTCCTTGCGTCGCCGGCCGTCTTCGTGCCACTCCGCACTCCTCCTCCCTTCGTCCGGCCACTGCTCCCTTCCAGACACTCCACTTGGATGTCTGGGGCCCTGCACCTACGCAGGGACCTGAGAGGGAGCGCTACTTTCTGGTGGTCGTCGACGACTTCTCCAGGTACACCACGGTGTTTCCTCTCGCGAAGAAGTCCGAGGTGACTTCTACGCTGATCCGGTGGCTTCTAGCCACTGAGGGCACTCGTGGCCGTCGTGTCTCCTGTCTCCACTCTGACCGTGGGGGTGAGTTTTGCTCAGGCATTCTTGCCGGATTCTGCGGCGAGCAGGGCATCGTACAGTCCTGGACGCTGCCAGAGTCCCCACAGCAGAATTGGGTTGCTGAGCGCCGCATTGGCTTGGTCATGGACATCGCTCGCACGTCCATGATTCATGCCCGTGCGCCCCATTTTCTGTGGCCCTACGCGGTTCGCTACGCCGCTCACCAGCTGAACCTCCAGCCGCGCGTCTCGCGGCCAGAGGCTTCACCAACCAGTCTTTGGACCGGGTCCCCTGGTGTTGGGTCAGCTTTTCGTGTCTGGGGCTGCCTTGACCTTGTCCGCGACACCTCTGCAGACAAGCTCTCGGCTCGCGCCGTCCCCTGTGTCTTCCTTGGTTTCCCGGTAGCCTCGGCCGACTGGTCTTTTTACCACCCGCCCCTCCACCAGTTCCTAGACTCCCGTGACGTCCGGTTCGACGAGTCAGTGTCCTACTACACCCGGTACCCCTGTCGAGGTCTCCCGGTTCCCCTTCCCCCCCTTTTCCTCGCACCCTCTCTTCCCCCTGCTCCCGCTCCTCCGGTACCCCCACCCCCCCCTGGTCCTGCCCCGTCAGGTGTGTCTCACGCTACCCTCGGTCGCGCGTCAGGTAGCGGCTCCCTCCCCGCAGTCCTCCTCACAGTCCCCTCAGCAGCCTTCGGTACTTCCGCGACAGGCTACTGTGGACTCAGTTGGTTTTGGAGCTGGAGGTGCAGCCACTGGCGGTACTCGGTCCGGGGGTGCTCGTTTGAGGGGTTTTGGAGTTGGAGGTGCTGACGCAGGTGGCGCTAGCCCTGGGGGTGCTGGAGCTGGAGGTCCTGGCACTGGAGGTGCTAGTCCTGGGGGTGCTGGAGCTGGAGGTGCTGGCGCAGGTGGCGCTAGCTCTGGGGGTGCTGGAGCTGGAGGTGCTGGCACTGGAGGTGCTAGTTCTGGGGGTGCTGGCGTTGGAGGTCCTGGCACTGGCGGTACTAGTTCTGGGGGTGATGGAGCTGGAGGTGCTGGCACAGGAGGTGCTGGTCCTGGGGGTGCTGGTTCTGGGGGTGCTGGTGCTGGAGGCGCTGGCACTGGAGGTGCTGGTTCTGAGGAGACTGGAGCTGGAGGCACTGGTTCTGCGGAGTCCACTCCGCCTCCCCACCGCCACGACACACGTCTCCAGGCGGCCCGTCGGCGTGAGCGTGAGGAGCAGGTGCTGTTGGAGAGGGAGCGGCAGGAGTTGCGGCAGTTGGACCTGCTGGAGCAGCAGCAGCAGCAGCAGCAGCAGCAGCAGCAGCAGCAGCAGCAGCCGCAGCAGCAGCAGCAGCAGCCGCAGCAGCAGCAGCAGCAGCCGCAGCAGCAGCAGACACCGCCGCCGCAGCTGCGACCACAGCAGCTCCCTCTGGAGCGGCAGTTGTTCCCACCCGTGAGTGGCCTTCGGGCCCTTGGTCTTCCCTCCTCTCCTCCTGTTCACACTCCGTCCCCTCCAGCGTTTGGTCCCACGTTTCCTCCTCCTAACGACAGTCCGGCGGTCTGGTCTTCTCCTCCACCGCAGTCTCCTCCACCTGTTGTCCCACACTCTCGTGTCCGTCCCTGTCCTCCGCGTGCTCGTCACTCGTCTCTCGTTACCGACCTCCGCACTGCCCTCCTTTGTTCGTCTCTTCGTCGTCCTCCTCCTGAGTCCGTTCTCCCGTCTCTGCCTCCGTCCTCTCTCCTTTTCCCCCCTACTCCTGTCACTGACTACTACCGCGCTGTTCGTCCTGTTGTCTCTCGTGTCCTCGCCACTCTTGTCACCGACTCTCGTTTCCCTCCGTCGTCTGTCTCTGCTCTCACTGCCGCTGTCGCTGAGTTTGCTGCCGCCAGTCGCCTTGACTACACCACCCGTGTGGTGCCAGCTCCTCCCTCCCGTCCTCTGTCCGTCGGGGGTGGGTTTGCCCTTGGCTGTGACGTCCTAGAGGACAGAGAGTCTGAGCTGGAGTACTGGGCAGCCGCTTCCCCCTCTGTCTGTGCCATGCATCTATCCCCTGAGGGAGACCCCGACGTCCTTGACATACCGACTCCTCGCACTTACCGCGAGGCAGTGTCAGGGGCGTGGGCCTCACAGTGGAAAGCGGCTATGGCCTCGGAGTTAGCGTCTTGGAGATCTACAGGCACGTACGTCGACGCAGTTCCCCCTCCCAGGGCGAACGTAGTCGATGGCATGTGGCTCTTCAAGGTGAAGCGGCCGCCTGGATCACCGCCTGTGTTCAAGGCGCGCTACGTGGCTAGGGGTTTCAGTCAGCGTGAGGGAGTTGACTTCTTCCAGACCTTCGCCCCGACCCCGAAGATGACTACTCTTCGGGTGTTACTGCACGTAGCAGCACAGCGAGACTACGAGCTGCACTCCCTTGACTTCTCTACTGCGTTTCTCCAGGGCCGACTACACGAGGAGATCTGGCTGCGCCGCCCTCCTGGCTTCACTGACACCTTCCCACCTGGGACCCAGTGGAGCCTGAGACGGCCAGTCTACGGTCTCCGCCAGTCGCCCCGTGAGTGGCACGACACTCTTCGCTCCACGCTTCGTGACCTTGGGTTTTGTCCTTCCTCTGCCGACCCGTCGCTGTTTGTTCGCACTGGTTCCACTCCTTTCTTTATACTAGTGTACGTCGACGACTTGGTCTTTGCCACAGCAGACAGGGCAGCTCTAGCTCAGGTGAAGTCCGAACTGCAGAAGAGACACACGTGCACTGACCTAGGTGAACTGCAGTGCTACCTTGGCCTGCAGATCACCAGGGACAGAGCCGCTCGCACCATCACACTAACTCAGTCACACATGGTGCAGCAGGTCCTTCGGCGGTTCGACTTCCAGTTCTCCACCACACAGCCCACACCTCTTGCTGTTGACCACAGACTCACTGGCCCCTTTTCCGACGAGCCTTTTGAGTCCAGTGGTCCCTACGCAGAGCTGGTGGGCTGCCTCATGTACCTGATGACTTGTACTCGGCCGGACCTCGCCTTTCCCCTCAGCGTCCTCTCTCGCTTTGTTGCGACTGGGAGACACCGTCCTGTCCACTGGACAGCTGCTGTGAGGGTGGCGAAGTACCTGGCGACTACATCAGGCATGGGGCTTGTGCTTGGAGGGACTCAGCCAGTGGCGTTGACTGGTCACTGCGACTCTTCCTACGCTGACGACGTGGAGACTCAGCGCTCGACTCAGGGTTACTGCTTCAGTTTGGGTGCTGGTGCTGTGTCGTGGAGGTCTACACGGTCGTCGTCTGTGGCTACTTCCAGTGCAGAGGCAGAGATATACGCTGGTGCCATGGCGGCACAGGAGCTTCACTGGTTGACCTTCTTGCTCGCCGACCTTGGTGAGCGGCCTCGCTCTGCACCGACCTTGTACGCTGACAACAAGGCCATGATCCTCCTGTGTCGAGAGCATCGACTGGAGAGCAGAGTGAAGCATATTGACGTGAGGTACTTCCTTCTGCGAGAGCTACAGCGACGCGGCCAGGCACGCCTGGACTTTGTGGCCTCAGAGGCCAACACTGCAGACGTCTTCACCAAGGCCCTGGCGCTTGGTGACCACCACAGGTTCTGTGTGCAGTTGGGGCTTGTTGAGGTAGGCCCTCGTTTGCTGTAGACTTGCTGTTTGCTCTGCTTGTTGTGCTTTGCTATATATATCCTAGTGAACTCTTGAACTGGCCTTGTGGCCGCTTGCTTGTGCTCGGAATTTGTGTGGTGTCCTTGAGATCCACCCTGAGCTTGCTTTGCTTTTTGCATTGACTGGTCTTGTGACCGTTTGTTCACCCTGCTTGCTTTGATGCCCCTCACTTAGCCTATGGGGGTGTGTCAAATGTTATTATAGGTTCTTAGGCTACAGTGAGTAGCACTCTAGGGAGTACAACACTTTTAGGGTTGCTATTTGTATCCCTTGTTTCCCTAGTTCACACATTCCGTTGTTCGCTAACTTTGAGAGCGGGATACAATACAGTTTACGAACCAGCTCTGATACCGTAGTACAAAAGTGCACCTGGTTACCTAAGCTCCAATTCCCCATCTTTTAGGCGATGCCGGCTTGAGGCGATGTCGGCAAAAAGCCCCTGGGTCTTGTATCTACACTGTATCCCCAGAGCTAGGGTAGTAGCCCCGGGGTACTAGGGTGTCTGCCACTCTGAGGCGCCTCAGAGGTTGAGGCCATGGCAGGCACCTAGAAGCCCCCTGATCTTCCGCAGTGCACTTCCACTTCTGAGCACTAAGGCAATGGCAGCAGGGCCGTGCTTTGAGTCGACTCACAACAGCAGGGCCTGACCTGACCTGACCCGCCTCATTGCACATCATCCAGCCAAACCTTCTCCGACGTGACGTGTCTGGACGGCTTGTCAGTAGTTAGTATGAGAGTTACGGTACTTGTGTTGTGAAGCACGCCGAGTGAGTGGTTGGGGTAATGGTGGTTGGAGTGGTGGGAGAGTGGTTGGAGTGATGGGAATGGTTGGAGTGGTGGGAGAGTGGTTGGAGTGGTTGGAGAATGGTGTGAATGGTGGGATTGGTGGGAGTGGTGTGAATGGTGTGTATGGTGTGAATGGTGGGAGTGGTGTGAGTGGTGAGAGTGGTGGGAGTGGTGGGAGTGGTGAGAGTGGTGGGAGTGGTAGGAGTGGTGAGAGTGGTGGGAGTGGTGTGAGTGGTGGGAGTGGTGGGAGTGGTGGAGTGCGATTGGAAGGACTGTTACCACCGTAGACTTGTCTGGACGATCTGCCAGTAGTTAATGTGAGTGGGAGTGACCTGTAAAGCAGCCGGAGTGAGTTGTGGAAGTGCGCTTGGGCTATTCTCGAGTTGATGCGCAGTGAAAGAGTGCTAGGAGTGACTGCTACTGCCCGAGGGAGCGGTGGAAATGCGCGGGGAGTGACTGATACTGCTGTAGAGACTGATTCCGTCGGGGTGAGGGGTGGAAGCGCGGTGAGAATGACTGCTACCGGCCGAGGGAGCGGTGGAAGGTTATTTGGGAGAGGTGGGTGGCGAGCAGGTGGGCATCCACTGGCTTCTGCAGCACACCGTCAAACCCCCCCTCTGCACACCTCTGCACCACTCCGCGATCCACGTCTGCCGTCAGAGCCACTATGGGCACCCTGAGAGGCACAGGCTGGGCACTCAAAGAAGTGTTTAAGGCTTCTAGGGGAGTCTCCCTAGAAGCCCCCTCAATCTGCCCTTTTCCTCCCATTTCCCTTTGCAAAAGCCTCTCTCCCCGCCCCCAGTCCTCTCCACAGCTCACACCGCGCCTGTGCATCTCCCCCGACGCTGCTGCTCTCCCCCCTGCGCCCTCCCATATGTCCCCTTGCTGCCCATTCCCCTGCTGCACGCTCCCCTCCTGCCCTCCCATATTTCCCTCGCAAGCCGATGCTCTTTGCTGCTCCCTTTCCTCCTCCATCCCCTGCTCCCGTCCCTGCTGCACCTCTTGTGCCGTCTCCAGCATAAGCTTTCTCTCGTGCGCTCGGATTGCCTCTGTTGCTGCGAACCTGCCAAGGCGAGGGACGGGCAATACAGGCTCGCACTTTGCTGTGGAAAGGGGAAGGACGAAGCAACACAGGGTCACAATCCGACGTTCACAGATAAGACTCAGCCGTTGCACCTTGCTTCATGCCTCACCCACCCATGCCCACCACCACTCACCACCACTCACAACCACTCACCCGTCCATCCCCGGCATCTGCAGGTCCATGAGAACCAGGTCGAAGCCATGCTGCAATGATGCACGCCCTCCTTCATTCTCTCCTCTTCCATCCCCGAATATTTCAATCGCCATCCTCTTGCCTCCACTCTCAGCCATCTCACCAGCGCCCCCGGCTCCTGCTCTCACCAGTTCACCAGCCCCTCCTCTACCCTCCTCCTCCCCTCTCCGCCCTTCCACCTCAGCACCCCGCAAGTCAACCGCCTGCTCCTGTCTGCTCTCCTGCAAGCCAGCAGCAATCAACTCAAGCGCCTGCTCCCCATGGGCGGCGGTGGTGACTCGGGCGCCCCAGCGGGCGAGGGAGCTCTCCTGCAAGCCAGCAGCGATTAAGTCCACTGCTTGTTGCCCGTGGTTGGCGGTGGTCACAAGGCCACCCCAGCGGGCGAGGGAGCGGCGGGCCACGAGGAGGTTGACGGGCGTGTCGTCCACCACTAGCACTCGCAGCCCCCCCACCCACGCCCGCGTCACCGCCTCATCTGCTGCCGCCCGCAACCCGGCAGTCATGCCGGTGATTGCCGTTACAGACGCGGACCGGCGAAAACTGTCTCTAGCGCTCCCGCTTGCGGATCTTCTCTCGACTAGTGTCGACCCTTCTCCTGCGCTGCCCACCCTTCCCATCCCCACTAGTGATCGCTCGAAATGCTGCTGCGGCTGCTGTGGCTGCTGCTGCTGCTGCTGCTGCTGCTGCTGCTGCTGCTGCTGGTTGAGGTTCTGTTGGGCCACCTGAGAATTCTCCTGGCTGTGCTGTGGAGGCAGACTCATCTGTTCGCACTGCTCCATCGGTCCTGAACCATGATTCTGCGTATTACTGCCGGCACCTGAACAATATCCTGAGCCCGTCTCCTGCACACGAGCGCTGCTGGAACCACCTGGAGAATCACCTGACCCTGTCTCCTGACTCTCACAGAACCATGACGCCTCCCCTTGCTGCTGCTGACTCTGCAACTCCTGCGATTCCAACACGTCAAGTTCCCCATCTGAGCAATGTTCTTGTAACGAGGCGTGTTCTTGTAGAGAGGGAACGGCCACAGGCACGGAAAACGCCACAGTGGAGCCACAGCCAGGCTGGGAATCAAAGGCGATCTCTCCCTTCATTAGAGTCACCTGCGGGTTACAAAAGAGAAAGTAGTAATTAAAGCCACATCATGTTGAAGGCTCGAATCGAATCATTGGTACGTCACCATTGCACTGCAGTAGGAGCCTTTCTCCTGTATGAGACACGTTCAATGCTACATTTCTCAACGTCCAAACGACACTCTCACATGGTCAAACTTTCTCCACTGCTATAGCTATGATGCTTGCTAATCTTGTTCTTAAGAGACCTTGTGTTGGAGCTAAAAAAATATGTAACAACAATATCACTCTGCGTGTACGTGCTTGTATGTGTGTGTGCGTGGGTGAGTGCGTGCGTGTGTGCGTGAGTGCGTGAATGCGTGCATGTGTGTGTGTGTGTGTGCGTGCGTGCGTGTGTGTGTGTGTGCGTGCGTGCGTGCATGTGTGTGTGCGTGAGTGCGCGCATGTGTGTGTGTGTGAGTGTTATTTTTTGCGGGCATAAAGCGATGAATCCTTTGGCAACCATGCTCGAGCAGCAGCCCTGTGAACTCAAAGAAAGAGTTTTCAAGAATCTTAACAAACAAACAAGAAGATCCAATAATCGCGATCCGTCCGCTCACCATCTGGTGCATGAGCACAAGGCCAAGCGATGCTCCTGATCCACTCCCTGCCTCATGCAACTCCTGCATGGTGGGGTGCCGTGTCGTGCCATGCCATGCCATGCCATGCCATGCCATGCCATGCCATGCCATGCCAAGGGGTTACAGCCAGGATGAAATCCATGGGATGGCATGGGGAGTGGCATGGGATTCCATGGCACACGATGGGATGGGATGGGATGGGATGGGATGGGATGGGATGGGATGGGATGGGATGGGATGGGATGGGATGGGATGGGATGGGTTGTGTGCGGGAGAAGGGACGTATGGAAGAATCGTTAGGCACGAGAGAATGAGACGTGAGAGGGACAAGGTTTGGGTTGAGTCGACTCAAAAACATGCTCAGGTATGAGGAGAGTTGTTGGAATGGAAGGCCACATCCCGAATCCTCTGTCTCACAGGTGTGACACCAATGGTAGTCATTCAATCACCCTCACCGCAAGTGACATGACAGCTAGTAGAGGCCTCATCCCGAGTCCCACCTCCCACAGGTGACACCAATAGTAGTCATTCATTCACCCTCACCGCAAGTGACATGACAGCTAGTAGAGGCCTCATCCCGAGTCCCACCTCCCACAGGTGACACCAATAGTAGTCATTCATTCACCCTCACCGCAAGTGACATGACAGCTAGTAGAGGCCTCATCCCGAGTCCCACCTCCCACAGGTGACACCAATAGTAGTCATTCATTCACCCTCACCGCAAGTGACATGACAGCTAGTAGAGGCCTCATCCCGAGTCCCACCTCCCACAGGTGACACCAATGATAACAATCCATTAACAGACTTACCGCGAGCGAGAAGTGTGACGCCTCCCTGCTGCCGTGAACTCCGTGGAGAGACGGTGGAAAGGCAAGATGCGAATTGATTACTACCTAAGCTGGTTTGCAGCCCACCTGTCCCTTGTTGACAAGTCACACTCACCGCAAGCGAGAAGTGTGACGCCTCCCTGCTGCCGTGAACTCCGTGGAGAGTTGGTGTGGTGACAGGCCACATCCCGAGTCACGGCACGACACCACCAGCAATGTGAGAGCTAACAACAACAACTCACCGCAAGCGAGAAGTGAGAAGCCTCCCTGCTGCCGTGAACTCCGTGGAGGGACGCTGGTAGGCCGCATCCCGAGTCCCGACACGACACCACCAGCACACCCGGCCGCTGCCCATTGCCCCCCTCGGGACTCCTGGCATTCCCCCTCCCCTCCCTCGATCCACATAATGCACTGCTAGTTGCACTTGCTGCTGCTGCTGGCAACCTCCTTGCAGCTTTCTTCAGCCGGCCGAACGTTGAGTGAGACCAAGCAGAGGTCCAGCTAGTGAATGTGGACATGGATGCACGAGGGACGGTGGTGGAAAATCCTGTAGGAGAAAGGCAAGTGCAAAGGGCCAAGAGGGAATGAGTTGTTGACATGGCCATGGGCCTTGTGTCAATGCATGGATCATCTTAGAGAGGCACATAACGAAGTGGGCAAAGGTTGAAAGGTGCTCGCTAATTCATATGAAGAGAGGAATGAGCCCCGAATTGTAATGTCAATGCTCGCAAAGTCGCTTACCCTGGCAATGAAGGGTGTCTTGCAAGCTTGTTCCTTGCGGCACCAGGGACACCTGCACTGTCACGTGGCCTTGCTCCGTGAACTTCACTGCGTTATCTGAAACATTCAACCCAAGGAGCGGTGTGCACAAAAAAAAAGGGAGAGGAATTTAGCAAACACACAACCACTGACATTGTGAATTGAGGAAGGCAAGTTCGCACATTCTTTTCTGAGCATAAACATTGGTATGGTCTAGCCCAGCTCAGTCAGACTACCGTCGCCATCGTCCGGATAGAAGACAGGGTCGAGTTCAAGAAACAATTGAAATACATTGTGATATATGCTTTTATGAAGGATCTTACTACCGGTATAAGATAAGACATGTATATCTTATAATCGACACAGTAACATGCGCCGCCGAAAAGTATAATAGCGCGTACTATTTTATCCGTGCACGCGTGAATTTATGCACGAAATGACTCGGATAATCCAGATTTTACCTCGTGCTGCGTCAGCGGGCAATGGGCATTTCTTCTGACATGACATCTCCAGCAATGATTGCCGATGCTGGCAGCTTTGGAACACTCGCACTCATTTTGAGAACCCATTTTCGTGCTCATGCATATGTTACTTGGTAAAAACATTTTCTCCTTTAGTCATCACATGCCTTCCACGTACCTGTGATTTCCTTGAGAACTTTGGAGAGGTGCATTGGGTCGGCAATAACAAAAGTCGGAACATCATCGTCTACAGTGCCACAAACTGAAGTGGGAGGAGAGGTAGAAGGGAGACTTTGTAGGGTAAGCACAAAGGAAGCAAATATCTCCAAATCTTGAGTTCAATGGAGAATGCTGAGCAATGTACTAGCATTGCCAGGAGCACATGTGAGAGGAAAACCATAAGATTGTTTCTTTAGACATGACTAGATAAGCATATCAAAGCTTGAATACCAAGAAATTTTGTGCACTCACACTCGATTCCTTTGGAGCGTGCCGCCTCCGCGTGCCAGTCCAACGCAGCATCAAGCCACAAGCGCACATCAATCACCGTCTCATCCACCACCGCCTTGCCTGCCTCCAGCTTCGCCAGGTCCAACACGCGGTTGACCAGATGCAGTGCATCCATCGCACACCCCCGCGAGGTGAGAAGGTCTGATAGCTGGGAGGGTTGGAGAGCCATGTCCGCTAGAGCATCGAGCATGCCTGGGAGAGGAGAAGGGTAGAGAAATGAATGTTTATGGTATCACGGAGATGGCAATATGGATTGCGCGCCCCCTCGCACTGTGAGGAGGTCTAACAGCTGGGGGGGTTGGAGAGTCATGTCCGCTAGAGCATCGAGCATGCCTGGTGGGAGAGAGGGGGGTGGAGAAAGGAATGCGTATGGCATCCCGCGCGCTTGCGTCTCTTGCTGCCTACCTAGGTTTCAGCCGCGCGCTTGCGTCTCTTGCTGCGTAGGTTTCAGCCGCGCGCTTGCGTCTCTTGCTTCGTAGGTTTCAGTCGCGCGCTTGCGTCTCTTGCTCCGTAGGTTTCAGCCGCGCGCTTGCGTCTCTTTCAGCGTAGGTTTCAGCCGCGCGCTTGCGTCTCTTGCTGCGTAGGTTTCAGCCGCGCGCTTGCGTCTCTTGCTGCGTAGGTTTCAGCCGCGCGCTTGCGTCTTTTGCTGCGTAGGTTTCAGCCGCGCGCTTGCGTCTCTTGCTGCGTAGGTTTCAGCTGTGCGCTTGCGTCTCTACGCAGCAAGAGACGCAAGCGCGCGGCTGAAACCTACGCAGCAAAAGACGCAAGCGCGCGGCTGAAACCTACGCAGCAAGAGACGCAAGCGCGCGGCTGAAACCTACGCAGCAAAAGACGCAAGCGCGCGGCTGAAACCTACGCAGCAAGAGACGCAAGCGCGCGGCTGAAACCTACGCAGAAAAAGACGCAAGCGCGCGGCTGAAACCTACGCAGCAAGAGACGCAAGCGCGCGGCTGAAACCTACGCGGAGAAAGTGACACGGACAAGCCTCACGAGCAAGGGTTGAGGAAATGGGGTCGATGTTAGCAGATGCTTGGACCACCATTTTACGACTTGAATGTGACCGAAACAAACAACAGCAGTGACAATGTAGCAGCAGCGTTTTGTCGTACCAATGATTCCCATCATCGTGGTCCTGAGCTCATGAGACATGCACGCAACAAACATGCTCTTTGATGCCTCCGCTCCCTCCGAATCTTCCTCACGCGCCTAAACAAACAAACCCGGTAGGTAATGCATGGACACTGTACGTACCAATGATTCCCATCATCGGCGTCCGGAGCTCATGAGACATGCACGCCACAAACATGCTCTTTGACGCCTCTGCGTCCTCTGCTTCCTTCCTCAGATTGTCTGCAACTGCCATCTGTTGCTGCGTCTGGAAGAACTGGGCTCGCTGAATCCGTGCCGCCACCAGCACGAGCAGCACGAGGAGGAGAGCGAAGAGGGCGATGAGGATGGGGATGCCCCACGATTGCCACATGTTGGAAGGCTCTGTGTGCCTGGATGGGGGGGAATAGGAGGAAGGTCGTTCGTTTATACATAGTATGTATAATACTGGGGCATAGGAAGAGGGCGATGAGGATGGGGATGCCCCATGATTGCCACGCACTGGGGGGTTCAGTGTTCCTGGATGGGAGAATATCAAGGATGTATAGATATATTACTCAGACGCATAGGAGCATACTGCAAGGACGACAATAAGAACTCAAGGGCATAGTCAAGTCAAATATCGTGTGCAATAGGAGGTTGCGCGTGTAAAAAGCTTAGAGATATTGTGCCATGCCATGGGATGAGAGCGACAGGATTAAATGCACACCTTTTTATTAAAAAAAAAAGCTGAAATATATTTTCGAGAGCTCACTCACCGGCACCAAGCCTCGTACTTGCGCACGCCCGCTCCCAACTGCTCCAGAGGCACTACAGCCGGTGCCTCCCAGGGGCGGGTTTCGGAGAGAGGCGAGGGCAGCATGTAGGGGCGAGCGTCGTTGGGGCGGAAGTAGATGTGCGGCGGGACTGGTGAGACGATGGCGAAGAGAGAGGATGGGTCGGTGACATCGTACATTTCGAAGGACTTGGATGAGTCTGGATGGAGGGGTTGAGGGGAAGAGTGGATGAGGGGAAGAGGGGAAGCGGGGATGAGGGGATGAGGGAAAGGGAAAGGGACGCCTGTACTCTATTCTCATCGTACTGCAAAGGGAACGAAAGAGAGAGAGAGAAGGGCTTGTACTGCATGTCACGAGTCACGAGTCTAAGGGAATCACGAGTCAAACTGCATGTCTGTACCCCCTGCTGAATTAATACAAAGGACCATTTGAAAAGGGCTTGTACTGCAACATCGTGCATCTCGAATAGCTTTGACCAGCCTAGATGGAGGGGAATGGTGGAAGGGAGGGGTTCAAAGGGAAGGTGGGTGGGGTTCCCACTTCCTAAAACCCTAAATCAGGTGCATGCAACTTTGAAACTCACCACGTGCGTACAACTTTGAAACTCACCAGGTGCGTACAACGCTCCCAGGACCTTCTGTGCAATGGATGTCACGTCACGTCAACTGATGTAGCAAGTGACCCGCTGCTGCCTAGCTCGTGTGGTTAGTGGTGTGGTATGGCGAGTGCACCAGGTGCATACAGCCCTTCACTCACCAGGTGCGTACAATGCTCCCAGGACCTTCTGTGCAATGGATGTCACGTCAACAGATGCAGCAAGCGTGCCATACACTGTCGAAACAGCCGCCCTGCTTGTGTTGGTCGGAGAGACACTGCGCCGAAGAGGAAACGCCAAGCCTGCATGCAGGGGCCACAATGTGAGCGCGGAAAAATAAGGTTTCGTAAATTTGAGTAGAAGCACAAGCGTGCCATACATTGTCGATGCAGCCGCCTTGCTTGTGTTGGTCGAAGAGACACTGCGCCGAAGAGGCGGCGGAATTAGCCATGCGATAAATCATAAAGCCACGTGTAAAGCAGATAAAGATGCCCTTTTGCCAAGCCAATCATCTATTTTTGAGGCGCCTCGGAGGCAAACGAGACTTACCGAATCCAGCATGGTCGGTGAAATCAGCCATGGGATACGGCCACGTGTACACCGGCTTTCCCGCCACGGCAAGCGGAACCTCCTTGGAGAATCGCTTCATGAGGTCAATGTTCCATGAGCCGTTGGCTGCCACGACTGTGGAGAAGTTGAGGATCTTGGGGCAGTAGATGGGGCGTTGAGCGCTGACGTTCCTAGTGTTGTCCTTTATGGTACCGTACTGTCGCTCAAAGGTTGCCCTGAAGCAGTGATGTTTTTGGGGTGGGGTAAACACAAGAAAACAGAACAGAATGACGGATGGCGTGGGGCAATGGTGTTCCTAGTGTTGTCCTTTATTATGCTGCCGTACTGTCGCTCAAAGGTCGCCCTGAAGCAGTGATAATTGTGGGGAGAATCGGGATTCGCGTGGAAGGAGGAAAGAGGAGATCGGAAAGAGGGTGGAGAATCACTTGATGAGGTCGATATGCCATGAGATGAGCCATTGGCTGCCGTACTGCCGCGCAAAGGAGGCCCTGTATTGATGTGTGCGGGTGGGATCAGGTGGAAAGGGAAGGCAAGGAGCGCTTCAAGAGTTTTGAGACGTCTCAAAAGAATAGCCACGTGTATGAAGAAGGGTTTTGAGACGTCTCAAAAGAATAGCCACGTGTATGAAGAAGGGTTTTGAGACGTCTCAAAAGAATAGCCACGTGTATGAAGAAGGGTTTTGAGACGTCTCAAAACCCTTCTTCATACACGTGGTTAATGAGTGCGGGTGGGATCAGGTGGGAAGGGAAGGCAGGGAGCGCTTCAAGAGGTAGGTAGGTGTGCCATGAGCCATTGAGGTTGATTTTGAGAATTCTCAAAATCAACTAAATTCTCAAAATCAACTAAATTCTCAAAATCAACCTCAAACAGAAGGGAAGGCAAGGAGCGCTTCAAGAGGTAGGTGTGCCATGAGCCATTGGATGGATGCCACGACTGTGGAGAAGTCGAGGATCTTGGGGCTGGGCAGTAGATGGGGCGGCGGGCACTGACGTTCCTAGTGTTGTTTTTCATGGTACCATACAGTCGTTCTTAGTGTTGTCTCTGATGCTGCCATACTGTCGCTCAAAGGAGGTTTTGCAGCAATGTATTGTGCTATGCGGTGGTGATTTGAGAGGAAAGTGGAAAGAGCTGAACGCGTGTCATGTCATGAGACATCACAGAACTCGTGCTTTTGAGTCGACTCAAGATCATCCTGGCCTGGCATACTAGCACCTAGCACATGGTTCGCAACATCAACATCAGACTTTTGAGACGTCTCAAAAGTCGACTCAAGATCATCCTGGCATACTATACTAGCACATGGTTCGCAACATCACAACACCCATGCTCACTTTCAAATACATCCTATCCTACCTTCCCTCATCCCTCCTTCCCTCCTTCCACCCTCACCTTCACACAAATACGCCCCATCCTCAAATTACATCCACCAACCTATGTGGAAAAAGACACTCTAGGCGTCGGGCGTCCTGCGTCCGGACGCAAGACGCCGGACGCACGCCAAGACGCAGGACGCTTGGCGGGTTTTTTTTTCGGGCTGACGAAAAAAAAAAACAAAAAACAAAAAAAAACAAAAAAACAAAAAACAAAAAACAAAAAAAAAAAAAAAAAAAAACGCGAATTTGACTATCGAGATTTCGACGCGACTGTCAAATTCGCGACATTACAACCCCCCCCCTCCTCCCCTCCCCCCCCCCCCCCCACCCCCCACCCATTTCGACCACCAAAAACAGCCCCCCCAACCAAATTTTGTTACCCCCCAACCTAAATTGCAACCCCAAAGCTCTTTGTGGACCACCACCAAAGGCATATAGGAGCACAACCACCTCATTTGTGCTCCTCATATCTAGTTCAACTCAATTCTCCTTAAAAAACCCTCAACCCTTCTTGACAAAATGTGTGCAAACCTTCTCCCCGCCTCCCCATGCCCTACAAGAGGTTGTTTGGCTGCCCGAACGTTTTTTTTGCCTGCCCGGGCATGCGTCTTTTTCAGCGTCTCACATACCCCAAACTCGCGTCTTGCGTCTAGGACGCTGCGTTTGGACGCAAGCGTCCTAGACGCAGGATGCGTCTTTTTCCACACTGCTGCCACCAACCACCACATCCCCCCTCCCTCTCTCACCTCTCCTCGTCCGTTACAAAGACACAAGCAGCCGCCCCCGTGTTGCCCGGGCGGGCATAGGCGGTGCGAGTGAGGTACGCCTCCCACGTGCTGCCGTTCAAACACGTGTCCAACTCCCACTTGTGCCTCTGCCCTGGCCTGCCCATCACTGAAATGATCCCCGTGAGTGTCTGTGAAGGGATGGGAGGACAGAGCGCAGGGAGCACAGAGGGATGGGTGAAAGAATCTCAAGTGTTGTCTTGATTAGAAAGAGTGTCGGTACATATAGGAGATGAGAAGTTTTGGGAACGAAGTGGGGTACCCTCAGCATTTATTGGTGGACCAATCAGATTGGGTCGACCAACAATTGCTGGGGTAACCAACAATCGTTGGAGGGGACCATTATTGGCCCCCCCCCGTCAATTGCGGTCGAGTTGGGTTTGGGGGCGCCCAACCAAAATTGGTTGGGTCGCCTTGACCCAAAGTGTACACCCACTTTAGGGTGTAACACATGCACAAATATAAACATACATTATGCTATATTCTAACACAACCCCGTAGCATAAGAGGTTTATAAGTGTGCACAACCCCGGAATCATGAAGCCGGGGAGAGGCCAAGAAGGCGAAGGAAGGCCCGGTGGGCTAGCTTCGGAAGAGCTTTGGTGAAGATGTCAGCGAGGTTGGCTTCGGCGGCAATTTTTCGGACGGCAAGATGGCCTTGCTGGACAAGATCGCGAATGTAGAAGTAGCGTAGTTCGATGTGTTTGGAGCGCCCGTGGAAGACCGGATTCTTGGTGAGGTGGATCGTGCTGGCGTTGTCGCACCAGAGCGTGGGGCATGGCTGGGGGGCCCCAAGCTCGGCTAGCAAGAAGGAAAGCCAGCGTCCTTCCTGCGCAGCCATGGTACCAGCATAGAGTTCGGCTTCACAAGATGAGAGGGCGATGGCGGAGGAGCGGGTGGAGCGCCAGCTGACCAAGCCGCTACCGAGCGTGAAGCCATATCCTTGGGAAGAGCGGCGATCCGGCTGAGAGTCTGCCCAAGACGAGTCACTGAAGCCGGTGAGGAGCGGGGGAGAGGCACCACCAAGGGTGAGAACATGGTCCTGAGTGCCACGGAGGTAGCGTAGGACTCGTTTGGCGGCTCTCCAATGCACGGAGGTGTGACGACCGGTACCGACGAAACGCGCCAGGACGCTGATGGGGTAGGCGAGGTCGGGACGGGTCCCCATCATGGCATACATGATGGAGCCAACCAGTTCCGCATAGGGCTGAGTGGAGGCGGAGGGGGAGGTGGGTGGAGCAAGCCCATGGCCGAATGGAAGGGGAGTGGCCACTGGGTTGGCGAGAGCCATGTCGAACCGCTCCAACACCTGCTGAAGATAGTGAGATTGAGATAAGGTGATGGTGCGGGCAGCTCGATCGCGTGTGATCTCCATGCCCAAGTAGTGGCGTAATTCGCCAAGGTCCTTGCACTGGAGACGAGCTTGTAGTTCTTCCTTAACGTCGGTCATGTCGGCGGAGGTGTCGGCGAGGAGCACCATGTCGTCAACATAGACTAGGACGAAGAAGCGGCTGGGACGGGTCCGAATGAAGAGACTGGCGTCAGAGTGAGATGGTTGAAATCCGAGAGCACAGAGTGTAGATGCCAGCTTAGCATGCCATTCCCGAGGAGCCTGCTTCAGGCCGTAGACTGGACGGCGTAGTTCCCAGACAGTGTCTGGTGGGAAGGCTTCATGGAAGCCATCTGGGCGGTCGAGGAAGATTTGTTCGTGGAGGTTCCCCTGAAGAAAAGCGTTAGAGACATCCATTGATGAGATCTCCATGCCGTTGCGGGAGCCAAAGTCGAGAAGCGTGCGAAGGGTCCCGAATTTTGCGGTAGGTGAGAAGGTTTCCCAAAAGTCCTTGGCATAGGTCTGTGTGAAGCCCTTGGCGCAGTAACGGGCTTTGTAGACGGGCTCCTCCCCCGGAAGCTGCTTCACCCGGAAGACCCACTTGCCAGCGACAATGTTGGCATCTGGAGGCGGCTTGACATCGACGAAGGAATCATTGCGAATGAAGGCGTCGCACTCCTTGCGAATGGCCTCCAGCCATTTGTCAGCGTCAGGGCACGTGATTGCCTCCTGGAATGTGGTAGGCGTGAAGATGAGAGGTGAGGAGGGAGTGCCAAGTACAACCGCGCCCAAAAGGGCAAGGTACACAGGGTTAAGGGAAGGAACGTGAGTGTGAATGGCACAAAACTCCTCATGGGAGTCTTCATGAATGAGAGGTGGTTGACCAAGAATGGGGTCAAGGGAGCGAGTGTGCATGCGTGGGAGGAGGAAGGGAGAGCGTGAGGTGAGAGAAGTGCGAGGACGTGGGGAGGATGCAGGAGGTGCGGCGGGCGAGGATGGAGGAGGAGAAGCTGGAGGGAGGTGGGTGGGAGGGGAGGGAGGAGGGGGAGAGGGAGGAGGGGGAGCGGTGGAAAGGGCAGGTGAGGCAGCAGGATCATAGATATCAGCCGAGGAAGGTGGAGGTGAGAGTGGAGTAGTTGGGAGGAGTGGAGCAGATGGGAGGAGAGGAGGAAGAAGGGCATCCGCCCAGGTGAGTGGGCGGGAGGGTGGGGGGAGAGGGTCGGAGGGAGGAGGAGAGGAGTAGTAGGGGATGGTTTCATCGAAGACGACATCGCGGCTGCGAATGAGGCGTCCGGAGGGAGGATGAAGGAAGAGGTACCCAGGAGAGCCACGATTGTGGCCGAGGTAGACGCACTCCAATGCTTTGGAGGCAAGTTTTCCTGCTTTGCGGGAACGGTCTGCGGGAGGAATGAGAACAAAGGATTTGCAGCCCCAGACGCGAAGGACGGAGGCATCAGGTTTGGAGTTGCACCAAAGCTCAGTGGGAGTGAGGTTGGGATGGTGGGGGTGAGGGTAGAGGTTGGTGAGAAGGGCGGCACGAGTGAGAGCATAGCCCCAAAGGGAGGGAGGGGTAGATGCATGGGTGAGGAGACAGCGGGCAGTTTTGGTGATCTCACGGATGCGACTTTCAGCTACACCGTTTTGTTGCGGAGAATGAGGGAGAGTGGACGTCTGTTGAGTGCCATGTGCTTTGCAGTAGGAGGCAATGGTATGGTTGAGAAACTCCCCGCCACCGTCAGAGTGAAGGCGACGGATGGGTCGGCCGAAGTGCACGCGCGCTTGTTCGGCCCAGGCGATGATGACAGCGGCTGCTTCAGCTTTCGTGTGGAGTAGAAACACAGAGGAGTAGCGGCTATGGTCGTCTACGAGGACGAGCATAAAGCGGTGGCCCTGGCGGGAAGGGGAGGGGGAGGGACCCCAGAGGTCCATGTGGACGAGATCTAGGGGAGCAGTAGCAAATGAGGGATGGCTGTGATGGGGTTTTTGTTTGAGTTTGCCATGAATGCAAGTGGGACAAGGAGGAGCTGGTGAGGTGGGTAGGGGAGGAAGGGCAGGGGGGAGCCCATGAAGGAGGCGAGAGGATATTGCGGCACGGAGGGTGGTGAAGTTGGGGTGACCAAGACGGTGATGGAGGAGAATGGCGGGGTGAGAGAGGGAGAGGTCGGGAGAGGTAGAGGGAGTGGGAGATGATGAAGGGGGAGGAGCAATGGTGGGAGAAGGGTAGGTGGAGCGACGGGTGGTGAGATGACATGATGCCGGAAAAGGGAGACACAGTGTGTAAAGGTGAGTGCGGGGGCAGATTGGGAGGCGATAGACAAGGCGGCCAGTGGAGGTATGAATGAGATCGCAATAAGAAAAGTGGGCAGGAAAAATGGCGGTAATGCCGGCTTTTTGGAGATCATGAAGAGAAATAAGGTTGTGACGAAGAGTGGGAATGTGGAGGCCAGTGATAGTGCCGGAGGGAAAGAAGGGACACGGAAGAGTAGAGGAGTGTGTGCATGGGATCGAGAAGCTAGAATCAGCGCCATGAACAGTGGAGGGGAGAGATAGTGTTTTGAGAATGCCAGCGTCCTTCAGGGCACTGACGGTGGCCCCGCTATCGAGGACAAAGTCCAAGGTGAGCGGGGAAGGAGACGCAGAATACTGGAAGTCACTGTTATTAAGAACAGAGGGATACATGGAGGTGGTGCTAGGCAAGGGAGAAGCTAGCTGACCAAGAAAGTTAGAGTATGACTCAGCTGGGGAGGTATGGGCGGCGGTGGCGGCAGAACCGAAGCCAAGAGGTTGCTGCTGCCAGGCGGCAGTTGCTGCTGCTGCTGCTGCTGCTGCTGCTGCTGCTGCCGCTGCCGCTGCTGTGGCGGCTGCGCCTCCCCCACCTCCCCAGGGCGGCTGCTGTGGCTGCTGGTGCGGCTGCGGCTGTGGGGGCAGCTGCGGGGGCTGCTGCAACTGCTGTGACTGAAGATGCTGCAAAAACTGCTGGAGTTGCAGTTGAGGAGAGGGAATGGTGAGGTTAAGGTGGGAGGGTTGATAGAGAGGGAGATGTTGAACATCATGGACAGTGGGACGACTTGCAAGAGCGGACCAGCGGGGGGGGGTACCATGGTTACCACGATCAAACCAGGCATCGTCCAAGACGCCGAAGCAGGTGGTTATGGGGTGGTTGGTTTGACCGCAGGGTTCCCCAGCGCGAGGGCCGTGACGGCGAACGTAGGGGCAGGGGGGGAGTTGACCAGGTCCGCTACCACCACGTCCACTTCCTCCAGGGCCGCCCGTGCAAGAAGGAGTGCGTCCACCAAAGGTGCCACCACGTCCACCACCACGGCCGCCACCACGCCCACCTCCACGTCCGCCACCGCGACCACCACCACGCCCACCACCGCGTGTCTGGGTGGCGTTGAGTTCTGGCGCGGGTGCTTGAGCCGTGTTGAGAGAAGGCGGGTTGGTACGAAGGAGGCGGGTTTCGGTGTCAATGATCCATTGAACGACAGCAGCAACATCCGCAAACGGCTGATTTTCGCGGAAGGCAATGACGTGCATGTCGTAGGACGGGTTGAGACCGCGGAGAAGGCGATCTATCTGGATGAACTGGGGGAGTTCGGACTGTCGAGCCTTAAGTCGCTTGGCGAGAGAGGTCATGCGGCCGGTGTAGGCGACGGCACCAGTGCAGGTTGCGAGCGTTGTCTCCCAGTATTCGTCAAGGAGCAGCCCCACGGAGTTGACGTCATGGCGCTCAAACATGGCGTGAAGGGAGGCCCAAAGGGCAGGTGCGTGAAGCTCTTGTTCCTGAAAGTCTCGCATTAGAGCGGGGGGGAGACCACCAAGGATAATATTAGAGGCAGAAAGGTCAGATTCCTTCCAAGCAGCAGCTTTAGCGGTATATTCAGCGAGTGCGAGAGTGTAGCGGTCAGCCATGGTGCGGTGATTTATTATGGCAGCTTGGCGCATGTCGTATTGCTCGCGAGCCGCACGATGGTCCGCTCGGAGCGTGAGGAACCGACGCCGCTCGAGATCGTAGGCTGCTTCATCAGCGGCTTGGCGAACAGGATCCGTGGAGGCAGCGGGCAGATCTGGTTCGTCAGGTTCAGGTCCAGGGTCAGGCGGGAGAGTGGGGGCCGATCCAGGGGACATAGGGGGCGTTGGCGGGAGAGCGACAGCATGGCGGAGGACAAGGTCGAGGAGGGTGGAGGAGGTGTTGGGGATGTGGATGACGCCGAGGAGGCGGCGCATGCTCCCTGTGTAGGAGTACCAGTTGATAGCGCTCTGATCGGGAGCGAGCTCGAGCCGATCAATGGAGAGAGTGTTGAAATTCTGAGGAAGAGAAGGAGCAGCCATAGCAGTAAGTTAGTGCGATGTGAGGGGAGAAAAAATGTTAGTAGCGAGCGAAAGCGAGGCAGGTTAGAAGCTGAGGGAGAGGAGGAGGGGGGTTAGTAGCAGCACGTGGGAGAGGATTGGGAGCAGTAGCGTGGCAGGAGAGGCGGAGAGCAGAGATAGTATGAGAGAGGCAGCGGGAGAGGAAACGGTGGGCGGAAGCAATGGGGGGGGGGGGAAGGGTCGAGGGAGCGGCGGGGAGGAAGAGATGAGGCAGTAGCTAAGTGCCTGGCGGCGAGGGAGAGTAGGAGCAGCCGCGGCGAAGTGTCTTGCAGCGAGGAGAGGCAGTGGCGGCGGCAAATTGCCCGCAGCGAGTGAGTAGAGGCGGCGGAGGCGAAATGCCCCGCGGCGAGTGGGAGCAGTGGCGGCGGCGGCGAAATGCCCCGCGGCGAGTGGGAGCAGTGGCGGCGGCGGCGAAATGCCCCGCGGCGAGTGGAGTAGTGGCGGCGGAGGCGAAATGCCCCGCGGCGAGTGGGAGCAGTGGCGGCGGAGGCGAAATGCCCCGCGGCGAGTGGGAGCAGTGGCGGCGGCGGCGAAATGCCCCGCGGCGAGTGGGAGCAGAGGCGGCGGCGGCGAAATGCCCCGCGGCGAGTGGGAGCAGTGGCGGCGGCGGCGAAATGCCCCGCGGCGAGTGGAGTAGTGGCGGCGGAGGCGAAATGCCCCGCGGCAAGTGGGAGCAGTGGCGGCGGCGGCGAAATGCCCCGCGGCGAGTGGGAGCAGTGGCGGCGGCGGCGAAATGCCCCGCGGCGAGTGGAGTAGTGGCGGCGGAGGCGAAATGCCCCGCGGCGAGTGGGAGCAGTGGCGGCGGAGGCGAAATGCCCCGCGGCGAGTGGGAGCAGTGGCGGCGGCGGCGAAATGCCCCGCGGCGAGTGGGAGCAGAGGCGGCGGCGGCGAAATGCCCCGCGGCGAGTGGGAGCAGTGGCGGCGGCGGCGAAATGCCCCGCGGCGAGTGGAGTAGTGGCGGCGGAGGCGAAATGCCCCGCGGCAAGTGGGAGCAGTGGCGGCGGCGGCGAAATGCCCCGCGGCGAGTGGGAGCAGTGGCGGCGGCGGCGAAATGCCCCGCGGCGAGTGGGAACAGTGGCGGCGGCGGCGAAATGCCCCGCGGCGAGTGAAGCAGCGGCGGCGGCAGCGAAATGCCTCGCAAGGAAGAAAAGCGGTGCGAGAGTAGTGGCGACGGCGGATAGGTCGCGGCGATTGAGACGCCGGCAGCTGAGAACGTAAATGCGGCGGCAGGAGCTGAGGCGAGAAATTCGCCTTACGAGAGATAGAGTAGGAGCTGGAGGGAGGTGGTGACTGGTTGTACTTTACGGAAGATTGAACTTCAACCAAGTCAAACCCACGCAACAAGTTGCATGGGCAGGACGGAAGGGTCCTGACGAGCGGGGAGGAAAAAAAACTTGAGAGAAAGAGGTCGAGAGGGGCGTTTGCCAATTGGCTCTGAATACCATGAAAGAATCTCAAGTGTTGTCTTGATTAGAAAGAGTGTCGGTACATATAGGAGATGAGAAGTTTTGGGAATGAAGTGGGGTACCCTCAGCATTTATTGGTGGACCAATCAGATTGGGTCGACCAACAATTGCTGGGGTAACCAACAATCGTTGGAGGGGACCATTATTGGCCCCCCCCCGTCAATTGCGGTCGAGTTGGGTTTGGGGGCGCCCAACCAAAATTGGTTGGGTCGCCTTGACCCAAAGTGTACACCCACTTTAGGGTGTAACACATGCACAAATATAAACATACATTATGCTATATTCTAACAATGGGAAGACAGAGGGCAGGGAGGACAGGGGGCAGGGCGGGCATAGGCGGTGCGAGTGAGGTACGCCTCCCACGTGCTGCCGTTCAAACACGTGTCCAACCCCCACTTGACCCTCCGCCCCGGCCTGCCCATCACTGATATGATGCCTGTGAGTGTCTGTGCATGGGAGGACACAGGGCAGGTCAGGCCACAGCCCCACAGCCGAGGCCGCAGCAGCAGCAGCAGCAGCAGCAGCAGCAGCAGCAGCAGCAGCAGCAGCAGCAGCAGCAGCAGCAGCAGCAGCAGCAGCAGCAGCAGCAGCAGCAGCAGCAGCAGCAGCAGCAGCAGCAGCAGCAGCAGCAGCAGCAGCAGCAACAGCAGCAGCAGCAAAATAACAACAGCAACAACAGCACGGAAGTGGATAAGATAGTGAACATAGAAAATGAACAGCACGGAAGTGGATAAGATAGTGAACATAAAAAATAAACAGCACGGAAGTGGAAAAGATAGTGAACATGAAAATAAAGGGTGTTTGAAGAGACAATCCTATCACCAATCTCACACCCTAACCTAATTCTGCCCGGCATAATGAGCAGCAACCATAACTGCATCTGCCCGAATGAGTGAGCACAAGCTGCTGCAGCATGATGGGAGGAGGGCATGAGGGCATGAGGGCATGAGGGCAGCATGATGGGAGGAGGGCATGAGGGCATGAGGGCATGAGGGCAGAGGGCAGCACCCATGCTGCAGGAGATACTGCAGGAAAAATCGGGTGGGGGCGATGGGGGTGCTGGCTGGCACTGATCCCATCTTACTTGCATCTGCCCCACATGGGTGAGCACGAGCTGCTGCAGCATGAGGGCATGAAGGCATGAAGGCACGAGGGCATGAGGGCATCACACCAACCCAGCCTCACCTGCATCTGCCCGGCGTGGGCGAGCACGAGCTGCTGCAGCATGAGGGCGTGAGATCACGAGGGCAGCACCCATACGGCAGGAGGTAAGAACGCCCACCCAGTCCAGCCTTACATGGTTTAATTTAATCTCACCTGCATCTGCCCGGCGTGGGCCAGCACGAGCTGCTGCAGCATGAGGGCGCGCTCCTTGCACCACACGCCCAGCGCCTCCTCCCTGCGGCTCTCGTACTGCGAGTGCTTCCAGTAGAGTAGCCACGCTGCCACGGCCAGCCCACACAGCACCCACACCGCCACCAGCACCGTGAACCAGGGCGCTGGGGGAGGGAGAGGTGGGTGAAAGAGGTGGGGAAAGCAAGAGGGGAAAGGGGGTAGCTTAGGCGTGCAATCCTCATACTGCGAGTGCTTCCAGTAAAGCAGCCACGCGGCCACGCCCAGCCCACACAGCACCCATGCCGTTACCAGCACCGTGAACCAGGGGGCTGCACCGGGGAGGGCCGCGAGAGAGGGTAGGGAGAGAAAGGAGAGCGGATTAGGGAAGCCCAGCCACGCCCAGCGCCTCCTCCCTGCGGCTCTCGTACTGCGAGTGCTTCCAGTAGATCAGCCACACTGCTACCCCCAGCCCACACAGCACCCACGCCGTTACCAGCACCGTGAACCAGGGCGCTGGGAGGGGGGTTGAGTGAGAGGGGGGCGAGAGAAATGGGGGTGAGCGAGAGGGTCACTCAGGGGGGGGGGGGGGGTCAGAGGGGTGGGTTAAAGGGTCAGAGGGCCTAAGGGTATCACGAGCCAAACTGCATGTCTGTACCCCTGCTGAATCAATACAACGGACCATTTGAGGGGGAAGAGTGAGAGGGAAGTGGGATTAGGGGTGCAGTCCTCGTACTGCGAGTGCTTCCACTAGAGCACCCATGCTGCCACGCCCAGCCCACACAGCACCCATGCTGCCACCAGCACCGTGAACCAGGGCGCTGGGCGAGGGAGGGAGGGGCAAGGGAGGTGGGGAAACGGGTTAAGCTTAGGAGGGAAATTCTTGTGAGAGCAGCCATGCCGCCACGCCCAGCCCACACCTCACCCCACGCCGCCACCAGCACTGAGAGCCCACCAGGACGCTGGGCGGGAGAGAGTGGGGAAAGAGAGATGGGAATGGGGGAGCGAGAGAGAAAAGGCAGGAAGCTAAGGGTTGGAATTCTCGTACTGCACACATAGCACCTGCGCCGTCACCAGCACTTTGAACCAGGGGGCTGGGCCGGGGACTTGGGCGAGAGAGGGGCGAGAGAGAGTTCAGAAGAGCAGCCACGCTGCCACGGCCAGCCCACACAGCAGCCACGCCGTTACCAGCACTGTGAACCAGGGCGCTGGGCGGGGGAGGAGGGGGTGGGGGGACGGTGGCATAAGGGGACGGCGGATAAGGGGAAAGCGGATGAGGGGAAAGCGGATAAGGGGAAAGCCGACGAGGGGAAGCGGACGAGGGGAAAGCGGATGAGGGGAAAGCGGATGAGGGGAAAGCGGATGAGGGGAAAGCGGATGAGGGGAAAGCGGATGAGGGGAAAGCGGATGAGGGGAAAGCGGATGAGGGGAAAGCGGATGAGGGGAAAGCGGATGAGGGGAAAGCGGATGAGGGGAAAGCGGATGAGGGGAAAGCGGATGAGAGGTACAGCAGACGGGGGTTGGCGGATGAGGGGAAGACGGATAGGGAGATGGCTGATGGGGGGGCGGCGGAAAACGAGTAGGCGGGTGGATGCAGGGCGTGGCAACCGGGGATGTGTGGCGGACGACGTGGGGGAAGAGCAGGGGAAGAAGGGTGTGGAGAATCGGGTGGGGGGAATTGGGTGGGGGGAATCGGGTGAGGGGAATCGGGAGGAAGAAATCGGGTGAGGGGAATCGGCGGGGGGAATTGGATGACGGGAATTGGACGGCGGGAACTGGATGGGGGGAATCGGATGGCGGGAATCGGATGGCGGGAATTGGATGGGGGGAGCCGGATGAGGGGAATCGGATGGGGGGAATCGGATGGGGGGAATCGGATGGGTGGAATCGGATGGGGGAGCCGGATGGGGGGAATCGGATGGGGGGAATCGGATGGGGGGAATCGGAGGGGGGGAATCGGGAGAGGGAAGACCTGCGCCAATAAGGCCATGAATGCGAGGGGGGATGGAACAATTGTACTTGATCGATCAGCACGCCGGCATTTGATCGATCCGCGCGCATTTCCGCTCTTATTCCGCGCGCAATTCAGCTAAAATTTCGCGAGTCTCACGCGTTCCCGCTCTCATTCCGCGCCCGTTTCCGCTTTGCGGCGCAGTGGTTGCCTTTTAGCCCGCGGGCGTTACATCCGCTCGTAATCCGCGCGCATTTCTGCTCCGCGGCGCAGCGGTTGCCCTCTAACCCTTCGTGCAAGCGCGCAGGCGTTACATCTGCTCTTGATCCGCGCGCAATTCCGCTCTCAGCTATCCATCCGCGCATTCCGGATTCAGATTCGCGCACGCGGTCCATGCCCTTTAACCCCGCGTGTAAGCCCGCGTGCGTTACATCCGCGCGTGTTTCCGCTCTCAACTCTCCGCCCGCGCATTCCGGATTGGAATTCTCGCGCGCGGTCAATCCATTCCCGCCTCGCGAACTCGACTGGGGCATTCATGTCGGAATGCGTGTCAGACTGCGTGTCGAACTCCGTGTAAAAATGCTCATAAAAAAACACCGCGACCTTTTTCCACCTTTGTCAAACTCCGAGCCAGCCGGCTTTCCATGGCGTCGCCACTCAAACGAACCTGTTCAATTCTATACGAACCTGCTCAATTATAAACGAACCTGCTCAATATTAAACGAACCTGCTCAATTCTAAACGAACCTGGTGAGGTCCCGGCGGGAGCAATCGGGATTTGTTCTCAACATTCTAAGAACTAATTCTCGTGATTCGCCGCTTACACCGAGAGCGCCGCGCGCCGGGTTAGCGCCTCGACGTTGTCGACTACCTGACGTCCCTTGTTCCCGATGATTAACAGGGGGTTCTAAAGCGCGGGAGCCTATCATTCGTTGTTGTCACTCTCACCCTGGAATAGCACTCCTGCGGAGAAAATCGGAGGACCTCCCGATGCAGCATCGTCCCTTTTCTCTCTCTCCGTCTTGACGGCAGTTGCGTCGCCTCTAAATCGGTCCTCCGCCATGACGGTCGTTCTCTAGCAGATTCTCTAGTAACCGTTTCTTTCGCAGACTTCTACACGGCTACGCGGCTCCCGACGCTGCAGCTCGCCGGGGTCCTAGCACGACTACCGGCGACGCTGTGACTGTAGCGATGCCAGAACCGATACTTTTTTTATATAGAATGTGAAGATCAGTTCAGATCAGGAGAAACGCGATCCGTGTTAAATCGTGTGTACTGCTGCCATGGTGTACAAACCACTGCTTATCTGAGAAAAAACATGTTATTCCCAGAGAAGTCCAGGAGTCATCACTAGGGTCAGATAAGGTAATCTGTGGATCAAGCAGGAGGAACAGTTTTGATAACTCAGTTCAGGCAGTGCTGCTACTGTGGAGAAATTGCTGAGAGAAAGCCATGTCATTTGGCTTCTGGAGTGGAGTGTAGCGAAGGGACTTCCTGGGGTGGAGGTCCTAGAGAACTAATGGGTAGCAGAGGTTTGACATGTTTCAAAAACGTTTCTATACGGTACACCGTGTTGCTGATTGCGCTCTGCATCCTGAAGTGTACAGTGACGCGCCCCGATGTGTTCAGAAGGGACATCCTTGAAGATGGTCGCACAACCCGCCAGATCCCTCTGCGTTACAGGGAGCACCGAACGAAGTGTACAGCGCGGCGGATCCAGTGTGTGTGAGTGTTCTGCAAATTGGAAAACCAGCCGGATTCAGATTCGGATTTCTTCGCGTGAACTCACGTGTGGACAGAAATGGTGGCATCTTTGTTTCACTGTACACGAATGCTCCTCGCCCATTCATTCGGTCAGCAGACCGTGTCACCCTCAGGGACATATTCCACCTATAAACTCATTTCCCTAATGCATCTGCTCTCCCAGAGATTCCAATACATGACAGAAGTGATGTCTAGGAATACTGTAAGGGCAGCGGTCTCGTCACAAGCCCACACCGAACTTTACAGTACTGCTCTGATCGAGGGAGAATACACTACTATCCGTGTTGTTGAAACAGACAGCAACTGCCACCCCAGAAACAGCTATTTCGGGGTGACCAATTGCAAAGAAAAATCTTGTTTGTTTTTTTTCTCTGGAGCTATTAAGAGTATTTTTAGAGCTCCAACATCTTCCGCGCATAGCAATGATCTCTCGTTCATAGCTACATGTTGAATTTCTTTGCGCTCGGGCGTGGTTGACTCTAAACATCAAAGCTAAATCTGGAGGCTGGGAGTGGGAGGGAACTCATAATGGAGATGGGTTCTCGGTCCTGGCTGGAATGCCCGATTAGTTAGCTAAGAATAGCCACAGCGCTCACCTAAATGTTACTATTTAGTCTGAGTCACCAGCACCGGACAGTAGCCCTGAGGTTGAGGACCCTGGTCTCGGTAGATTTTGCAATTTCCAACACGACGAACCGAGCCACAAGTGGATCGTTCGAGGAGGCAAGAAAACTTTTGCCGAAACCTGGGGGCACCCTTTCTTGTTCTGTACAGTACGAAGAAAACCTATTGGGAAATTATATAAGAGGTCACAGTTATGCCCGTTTTATCACGTTTGGTTACAGGGGTATCACAAACAGTCACAGTACAGTAGATTTCTATCGCGGGTGATCACAGTGCTATCACGGATGGTCACACCTCCCCCCGAAAAGCTATCACGTTTGGTCACTCGATGAAACGATCATAATTCATTTGAAACCACGAAAGAAACAGTAGAAATTTTAGGGAATCCCAACCTTGATTGCTTGTCTCCCCGCGCATTATTCTAGCCCTGACATTTAGGGAATTGGAAGAAACAATTAAAACCCCTACTGGATGGAACGTCGTTCGGGGGGCATCAACCCTAAACACTATGCGACAAGGTGTTTAGGGTTGATGCTCCCGAATTATATCAATCCGAACGGGTTTTAGTTTTTGTACTGGGAGAAAAATTAACCTTAGAGTTTCACCCGTCTAAAAGTGATATTCTTAGGGACATTATGCATCGATCGAACAGTGGACATTCGAATAGTAAAGAAAAAATTGCAGATGTTCTTAACGAGTTACCGAGAGTTGTCGCGAAACTTTTTCGTAATACTACGGACAAAACGGCGCGCGGGATAAAATTTCCCCTGAATCCCTACAGTGACTCGAGGAGTTACGATTCTCGATTGGGCGTTTCATCTGTGACCAAACGTGATAGACTTGCGGGGCAAGGTGTGACTATCCGTGATAGCACTGTGATCACACGCGATAGTTACGAGGTGTACTGTGACTGTTTGTGATACCACCGTGACCAAATGTGATAAATAGGGCCTAATTGTGCCTACCCATATAATTTCCCAAACCCATTTTGTTGCTGCAACTGGTGGTGATGTGTCGCACGCAACAAAGTATCCACCAGAATGACAAGGAGCTCAACTCGCAAGGAGCTGGGGCAGCAAGTGCACGGAAACAAGACCAGACCAGACATGGCATGGTTACCAACAACCACCAGGTGGCGGACGAGGCCTGGATTGTGCCACGGTAATGTGGGATATTTTTTTCCCGAACAGCTCGGCCACGTCTGTATCCCTCGGCCACGGTTTGACCTCGACATAAGTGCGTCCGGGGAGAATGCGGCAGGTAGTTTGTGTAATGCACTTTGTAAGTAGACGCATGGACTTTGTAAGTAGACGCATGGGCAGCTATAAAAACGAAATGGCAAAAATGCTGGAAATGAAGTGGAAAATTTCTGCTAAACGTAAGTGGGGTTTTCGGCCAGTACACCAGAATGATCCCCTCCCCCCGCCCAACACCGAGAAACGGTGAGGCTCAAAACGGGAAGTGAGGCCTGTTGGCACCGTCATTCCCTCATGTCGGCGTCCTCAAGCAACCCATGCGAGGGGCGGAAATTGACCCTATTGACAGTGAGAAGGAAAGCACTGGATGACTGTTGCCAACCACCACCCTCTGCCCCCTCGGCCACCAGTTGAACTGGAGGGAAATCCGCCTCCGTCTACGGAACTTGTCCAAAAGTCATGCTACCGGCATATTATCTTGAATTGGAGTGTTATAACGATAACAGATGTATTTCAGCATTTCCGAACTGTGGCAATAACGCACCCATTAAGGACGCCATGGAGGAGTTGGAAAGTCAGTTGGAGGTCAACTGCGACGTAGATCAGCTAGTAACTTGGATATTACAAGATGCATATAGTAGCCATACATACCGATCATAATTGATTATGATTGTACGGTATGAGAATGTGCTCCTTGGAGTTCGTGGCTAGCTGTAATATTACCCTGAAAAACATGCACTCACTAATATAATACCAGAATTACAGTTCCAGTTGTCTTACTCAGAAACTTATTCTAATGGTACGATTTGAGGGTTGGCAAAATAAAAATCTATGGTGAACATAAGGAAGGTAATGTTCAAATTTTCTGTTTAGATTTACGATGACATAAAAATTCCAACTCCAATGCTCGTGTGCATCCTTTCAAACCAAACAATACAATGTACCATCTCTTCATTTGCTATTATTATGCAGTACAAAACCGTAGTGCCAAGAAAGCTCGCTAGTGAGAAAATGATTGCATCAAAACTGTGGTGTGACTTATTCATGTCGTTGAGGAGACATCAAAGGGGAACCTGAGATGACATGACCGGAGTGAAATCTATACATATAATGCATCATTGCATGTCTTATTTTATGAACACATTACGAGCACATCCTTCCAAATTATGCTAAACATGATTACAACTATCTTGCTAATCCTTTCGTTTATGGGCAAATACTATAATAATATTAAGATATTTGTGTACGTTATTTATATTTTCACGTCCGAGCCAAGTTACTGGTTTTTTTTACTGTATATATTTCAATAATATATGAAAAAAATGTTGACTGTTCATATCAAACGAAACAGTGTATGATGATGACGAAACCCATTTCATGGAAAGAACAAAATACATACTATGAGGGTTAATAGTCAAGATAACTTGTATGAACGAGATTGCCGAATTGGTTGCGAACTAATCTCGGTTGTAACAGTGGTTTAGGGACACACGGATAAAACAGTGCATGAGATAACTTTTTCCGAATCTCTATCTTCTCAGGTAGTTTCAATGTTCTATTCAGCGTTCCATTGTGTGACCATATGCTGTGACTAATTGAAGTAGTGTGGTCCGCCTTCATAGTTTTACTAGAGTACATGATGTGCGACGAGATCTGTGACCGCTCGCGATAGCCAAGTGACCATCCTTGAGAAGAAGCCCGTGTTTGTGACTATTGTTACAAATTCTCGAGATGGTGACTCCCTCACCCATGTGATATGCACAGTACGTTCCCATGGACTTGTTTCGGACTTTTTTTGGATATTGTTTCTTATGTATCACAACGAACGCAGATTCTGGCGCAGTTTCTGTGGGGCAGCTGTCCATCCAGGTTTGGAAACCTATGTAACGAAATTCGGGAGAAGAAGTCCTGCCAGCTTTTGTTAAATTTCTTGGGGATAACTTGTTGATGACTACAGTCCCTTCCCCCCACGTGTTTGCTTCTTCGGGTCGATGTGTGGCGGTTTGGCAGAATGTTGTCTAAAACTGTTGCCCTACCCGCTTGCAGCCAAGCTATTGCCGTGCAAGCCAAATTACGTGTGGCGAGAACGTGAGTGCAGCAGTAGGGTGGCCTCACGCCACCTCACGTCACTTTCTCCCACTCGCAGAAAAATATTTTCAGCTACGACGGCCTGGCTGCTTGCTTTCCTTTGCCAGCTCAGATGCAACAAGGTTTTCTAGTAGCCCCAGACACATAAGCTTTTGTGATAATATACAAGGAGGCTTCAGGTTATAGAAAATCTTTCCCGTTCTACGATTTCCCGTACACATTTCCGGTGCAGTATCGCATGCCTTGCAACGCCTCCACCCCTTTATCCCCTCACAGGTGGGGGACAAACCGCAGTGAAGGAGTTTGTTTGTTTTTTTTTTGCGTTATGAGGAAGGAGAATGGGTAGTTTATCAGTATTTCAGCCTCACCGTAGAGAAAAAAGGTTGAACATCAATCTAGTTTTAGACACTTGAATGGGTTCCGAGAAGCACTCGAATTTGTAAGGGTCAGCCCTGAAGTTGCTGGACTCTGTTGGGTTAATAATATTCAATCTTTTTTTTTTCGAATGAAACGCGCTAGGAATCTGCTGCGGAATTGGCATGTCATATCAGTTCAGTTGTTGGGGTTGTGATTGTGATGTCCAAGAAATGGGTTTCCCACACTGAATCAGCTAGTTGGCCGAGGATAACAAGTCAACGTTGTAACTTTGACCGTGAATGGCTGAAAAATACCCAATAACAAACCACTACTTCCACACACCTTGTCAGTGAATCATCTGTAAGCTACGACTGATTAATATACCGTTCTGCCGCGAGTCCCGCTCGCCGCTGGCCATGCACAGGGAAAACGGTGGGCGGGCCAGCAGCGGTGACGGTTCTAGTAGCAGCTTCTAATGACGCCGAAAGCGCATGGCGACGGTTGGAGAAGGCACGTCCCAAGTTGCTTGAAGCAGAAACAGGCGGGGGAAGGGGAGGATGACACGGCGGCAGTGGCGGGAGCTCCGGTCGGTTGCTCCTCGGTGCTATTCCGCGGTAACAACGAGAAATGTGGGCCTACTAGTACTAGGCTCTAGTAGTACTATTCCAGGGTAACAATGAGGGGTGCTTAGGCTCTAGAATGTGAAGATTAGAATCGGTAGTAGGACGAGATTCGATCTCCGTCTCCCTCTCTTCCGTGACATCTCCTCTGGCCGTCCGACTAGGACGGAATAGGGGGAAGAGTCTTCCCCTCTCTCCCACTCCCTTTTCTGCCTCTCCCGGATGGGGCCCATCCTTCTCTCAGCCCGTGTGACCAGGGTCGCATGCCTGGGATCGCATGGCTAGGATCACATGAGTATGACCGCTTGACTAAGCCTAGTAGGCCCTACTCATCACGCTTTCTAGGGATCTCATCATGCCTAGAGATCTCATCATGCGTACTTGCTATGCCTGGGATCTCATGATGATCTCATGCCGACGGATCTCATGTTGGTCTGGTCAAACCACAAACCTGTGCTCTGTGCCGCCACATGCTTTCAGGAGACGTTACTTTGAGTCTCTGAGTTGCTCTAGTGCTAGACACTCTCAGAAAATGCTACTTGCACTGGCGTCTCAATTCACATCCCCCCTCCCTCCCATATCTCTCTACGCCTCCCTTCGCCTGTCCCCTCCTCTCTCACTTGCCCTCCTCTCTCCCCCTCTCAACCTTCCCCCTCAAACGGTCCGTGCATTGATAGTCCTCATGCCCTCCCTCTCCTCCACCTCCCAGCTCCCTTGTTCACGGTGCTGGTCGTCGTGTAGTTAGCCTGCTGCACAGTGACAGCAGCAGCACCTCCTTCTCACCCCTCGCTTCCCCCCTTCTTTCGCCCGCTCCTCGCCCCACCCCCCTCCCCCTCCCAGCGCCCCTGTTCACGGTGCTGGTGGTCGTGTGGGTAGCATGCGGCATAGCAATAGCAACATCCCCTCCCTCTCACCCCTCGCATTCCTTCTTCCTTCACACCCACCTCCCTCTCTTCCCCCTCCCCCCCCCCCTCTCCCAGTGCCCCTGTTCTCGGTGCTGGTGGTCGTGTGGGTAGCATGCGGCGCCGTGACAGCGGCGTGGCTGCTGTGGGACCGGCACTCGCAGTACGAGAGCCGCAGGGAGGAGGCGCTGGGCGTGTGGTGCAAGGAGCGCGCCCTCATGCTGCAGCAGCTCGTGCTGGCCCACGCCGGGCAGATGCAGGTGAGGTGAGGCTGGGTTGGAGTGCTGCCCTCATAATTTCATGCCCATATGCCCCCATCATCTCAAGCCCGCATGCCCTCATGCTGCAGCAGCTCGTGCTGGCCCAAGCCGGGCAGATGCAGGTGAGGCTGGGACGGTGTGCTGCCCTCATAAACTCATGCCCATATGCCCCCATCATCTCATGCCCCCATGCCCTCATGCCCCCATCTTCTCATGGCCCCATCATCTCATGCCCTCATCATCTCAAGCCCTCATGCCCTATGCCCTCATGGTAGGGCTGGGTTGGTGTGCTGCCTGCAAGATCTCGTTTATCTCATCCCTCATTCCCTCATGGCCTCATGCCTTCTTGCCCGCATGCCCTCATCATCTCATGCTACAGCAGCTCGTGCCGGCCCATGCCGCCCAGATGCAGGTAAGGTTGGATTTCCCACCCATGCTGGGCAGAGGCAGGTTCGCTCGGATAACGTTCACCACCTAAGAGGACAGAGAATTAAGTTAAAAGAGTATCTTTAAGCACACATTGTAGCGGCGCCGGCCTGCTGGGAATGTGATGGGTGATTTTTTTAGTCGAGGCGAAAGCAACTGCAGGTTTTGATGAGTCGATTCAAAAACCACACACGTAAAAAAAAAGGGTAAAAAAGGTAACTTAAGCACAGATAGTGGTGGCGCTGGTTTTCTGGGACTCTGAAAATGGTGGTCTAAGCAAGGAGCGCGATTGTTGAGTCAAGTCAACTTATAGGGAGATGGGCGGGTGTGTGTGTGAGCTAAAATCCGTCCCTTCTGCTGTTGAGCCTTCTGCTGTGCACCTTCTTTAATAATCCAATCCCAATCGCCTCCCATTCGTCAGACTCTTGCAGGGTTGATTTCTGTGATGGGCAAGCCAGGGCAAGGGGGCAAGTGGGACATGGGCGGGTGTTTGAACGGCAGCATGTGGGTTTCCTATCTCACTCGCACCGCACAAACTCGCCCAGGCAACACGGGTGCACTCGCGTGTGCGTTGGTGCGCGATGCAGAGAGGTGAGAGGGGAGGGGGAATTGATTTGGGTTGCATCAGCAGCATACCTGGGGACAAGGGTGTTTGAACGGCAGCGTGTGGGTGTCTCATCTCACTCACACGGCCCAGGTTCGCCCGCGAAACACGGGCGCGGTCGTGTGTGCGGTGGTGCACGATGCAGAGAGGTGAGAGGGGAGGGAGGTGGGAGTGGAGTGGAAAGAGAGAGAGAGGAAAGGTTGAAGGGAGGTGAGAGTTTGGGATGTAGAGAGGTGAGAGGGGAGGGTGGTAGGAGTGGTGGAGTGGAGAGCGGAGAGGGTGGAGGGAGTTTAGGGTGAGATTAATGTTACCTATTTCCCCCTGTTTCTAGGTCCTACTCTCATCCCAATCTGCACTGCACCAGACATATTATGAGCAGAAGTAGTGTTACGCAACATAAGAATATACATAAGAACATGTGCAATAGCATAAAAGGGTTGGCGGATGCAATGTCAATGTCATGTTTCCTTACCGTCTTGCCTCCCATCCATTCTTACCTGATCCCACACACTTTGCTGCAGGGCGGCCTTTGAGAAGCAGTACGGCAGCATCAGAGACAATACTCTGATCGTCAGTGCCCGCCGCCCCATCTACTGCCCCAAGATCCTCGAGCTCACAACGCTGTATGCCACCAACGGTCCCAGCAATGTGGACATGTTTCAACGATACTACTCCATGATCCCGCTCGTGGAGGCAGGCAGGCACTTCTACTCCTGGCCCTACCCCCTCGCCAACCCCCTCACCCATGCCGGATTCGGTGAGTGAGGGAGATAATATATATATATATATACATAATGTATCTATATATATATTGTTTCTTCTTCTTCTTGTCGACTCCGCACAGTGCCATCCCTCTCACTCATGGGAGATTCGGTGAGTGAGTGAATGGGTGATCAGTGGCTTCTGAAACGGCCAGAATCCTTGGAGAACCCTCTCACTAATTTTTGAGTCGGTGAGTCCGACTTCTGCGTCGGATCAGAGGCAAGCAGTAATATATACCTGCTTCCAATCACTCTTGTTTCTCCCAACCCCGCCACAGGCGTCGCTTTTCCTCTCCGCCGCAGCCTCCCCACCAACCACTCGAGGAAATCAGCAGTGGGACCAGTGTACGGGTCACTTGCTGCATCTTTTGATGTGACTTACATTGCACAGAAGGTTCTAGAGGAGCTGTATGAACCTGGTGAGTGTAGTATGAACCTGGTGAGTGCAGTATGAACCTGGTGAGTGCAGTATGAACCTGGTGAGTGCAGTATGCACCTGGTGAGTGCAGTATGCACCTGGTGAGTGCAGTATGAACCTGGTGAGTGCAGTATGAACCTGGTGAGTGCAGTATGAACCTGGTGAGTGCAGTATGAACCTGGTGAGTGCAGTATGAACCTGGTGAGTGCAGTATGAACCTGGTGAGTGCAGTATGAACCTGGTGAGTGCAGTATGAACCTGGTGAGTGCAGTATGAACCTGGTGAGTGCAGTATGAACCTGGTGAGTGCAGTATGAACCTGGTGAGTGCAGTATGAACCTGGTGAGTGCAGTATGAACCTGGTGAGTGCAGTATGAACCGGGTGAGTGCAGAGCTGTCTAACCTATGGATGCCCCTTGTTCTCATAAATAACCTTTCCGTACGTATATGTTGAAGACACCTTGGCATTTGCTTCGTGCTCTTCTTAGTCTCTCCCCCCCTCTTCCCTCTTCTCCCTCCCCGCCCCCCCTTCCCTCACTCCCCCTCCCCACTCCCCCTCCCCCTTTCTCCCCCTCCCATCCAGACCCATCCAAGTCCTTTGAGCTATACGACATCACCGACCCAGCCTCTCTCTTCGCCATCGTCCGTTTGAGGCATCTGTACAACCATGCCCTTCTGCCCTCTTCCCTCTCCCCATCCCTCCCTCCCCGCCTCCCACCAAGACCCATCCAAGTCCTTTGAGCTATACGACATCATCGGCCCAGCCTCTCTCTTCACCATTGTCTGTTTCTGAGGCATCTACACAAGCCTCCCTCCTCCCCCTCTTTCCTCTCCCCCCCTCCCCTCCCTCCCCACTCCCATCCAGACCCATCCAAGTCCTTTGAGCTATACGACATCATCAACCCATCCTCTCTTCGCCATCGTCCGTTTGAGGCATCTGTACAACCATGCCCTTCTGCCCTCTTCCCTCTCCCCATCCCTCCCTCCCCGCCTCCCACCCAGACCCATCCAAGTCCTTTGAGCTACACGACACCACCGACCCAGCCTCTCTCTTCGCCATCGTCCATCTTCCCCTTCCGCCCCTCCCCCCTTCTCTTTCTGCAGACCCATCCAAGTCCTTTGAGCTACACGACACCACCGACCCAGCCTCTCTCTTCGCCATCGTCCATCTTCCCCTTCCGCCCCTCCCCCCTTCTCTTTCTGCAGACCCATCCAAGTCCTTTGAGCTATACGACATCACCGACCCAGCCTCTCTCTTTGCCATCGTCTCTCCAGTCCCTCCACACGTCTACTTCCGCCCCGACGACAAGCTCCCCTACATGCGCCCCTCCCCGGACTCGGAAACCCGCCCCTGGGAGCAGCGAGCCGTGGTGTCTCTAGAGGAGATGGGAGCAGGCGTGAGGAAGTACGAGGTCTGGTGCCGGTGAGTGGGAAAGTGAGTGAGCCTTCTCAACTCCGAAACCCTCCCCGTGGGCTCTATCACTCGCTCTCTCGCTCTCTTTCTCCCCCCCATGCACCCCTCCCCGGACTCGGAAACCCGCCCCTGGGAGCAGCGAGCAGTTGTGCCTCTAGAGGAGATAGGGGCAGGCGTGAGGAGGTACGAGGTCTGGTGCCGGTGAGTGTGCTTTGTGGGTGATTGTTCTCGACTCCGAAACCCGCCCCTGGGAGCATCGAGCCGTGGTTCCTTTAGACGAGACGGGAGCAGGCGTGAGGAAGTACGAGGTCTGGTGCCGGTGAGTGAGTGGGTGAGTGAGTGGGTGAGTGAGTGGGTGAGTGAGTGGGTGAGTGAGTGGGTGAGTGGGTGGGTGAGTGAGTGGGTGAGGGAGTGGGTGAATGAGTGGGTGAGTGAGTGGGTGAGTGAGTGGGTGAGGGAGTGGATGAGGGAGTGGGTGAGTGAGTGGGTGAGGGAGTGGGTGAGTGAGTGGGTGAGGGAGTGGGTTAGGGAGTGGGTGAGTGAGTGGGTGAGTGAGTGGGTGAGTGAGTGGGTGAGTGAGTGGGTGAGGGAGTGGGTGAGTGAGTGGGTGAGGGAGTGGGTGAGTGAGTGGGTGAGTGAGTGGGTGAGGGAGTGGGTGAGGGAGTGGGTGAGTGAGTGGGTGAGTAAGTGAGCCTTCTCGTGGGAAAGTGAGTGAGCCTTCTCGACTCCGAAACCCTCCCCGCGGGCTCTATCACTTGCTCTCTCGTGCTCTTGCTCCCCCATATGCACCCCTCTCCGGACTCTGAAACCCGCCCCTGGGAGCATCAAGCCCTGGTGCCCCAGGAGAGCTTGGTGCAAGTACGCTCTTGAAAGCGTTGCGTAGGATGTAATTTGAGTCGCCTCAAAAGCCATATGGTCTGGATAGCTCTCAAATACAAGGGCTGGTGTAGGTACGCTCTTGAAAGCATTATGTATCCCACGGAAGCATTACTTTCAAGAAGATTTCTCCTGCGATCGCGAACATCCACCTCCTTCCTGTTACCCCCCCCATCCAGGCACTCCCAGCCTACCAACATATGGCAATCATGGGGCTTCCCCATCCTCATCGCCCTCTTCGCCCTCCTCCTATACCCCTGCATTGTAAATATCAGATATAAACGAACTTCCTGTTACCCCCCCCCCATCCAGGCAAACCCAGCCTCCCAGCACGTGGCAGCAGTGGGGCATCCCCATCCTCATCGCCCTCTTCGCGCTCCTCCTCGTGCTGCTCGTGCTGCTGGCAGCCTGCCTGCAGCGCGCCAAGTTCTTCCAGACCCAGCAGCAGATGGCAGAGGCGGATAGGCTGAGACGACAGGCGGAGGGCGCAGAGGCGTCTAAGAGCATGTTTGTGGCGTGCATGTCTCACGAGCTGCGGACACCCATGGTTGGAATTACTGGTAATTTTCCTCCTCGAATTTCTGGTAATATTCCTCCTCGAATTACTGGTAATATTCCTCCTGTCTTTGAGTATACCGTGCATGTCTCACGAGTTCAGGACTCCAATGGTTGGGATAACTGGTAGGTACGGTGTTCGCATCACACATGACTGATTCTGTGTCTTATGCGCGCATGAATAAGAGCCGGAGGGCGCAGAGCAGAGGCGTCTAAGAGCATGTTTGTTGCGTGCATGTCTCATGAGCTGCGGACACCGATGGTTGGGATAACTGGTAGGTACGGTGTTCACACATTACTGATTCTGTGTCTTTGGCGCGCATGAATAAGAGCCGGAGGGCGCAGAGGCGCCTAAGAGCATGTTTGACGCGTCGCGTGCATGCCTCACGAGATCAGGACACCCATGGTTGGGATCAGTGGTAGGTGTAGTGTTCATGCGTTAGTTAGTGTGTCTGCTTTGTAGGTGCGTAAGAAGAAGAGCCGTAGGGAGCAGGAGCGTTAAAGAGCATGTCTCACGAGATCAGGACACCCATGGTTGGGATCAGTGGTATGGTAGGTATAGTGTTCATGCGTTAGTTAGTGTGTCTGCTTTGTAGGTGCGTAAGAAGAATTGGCAGAGGGAGCAGGGGTGTCAAAGAGCGTGTCTCATGAGGTGACTATTGAGTCGACTCAAAAGTCACCTCATTGGCGGAGGGCGCAGAGGCGTCTAAGAGCATGTCTCATGAGCTCATGACACCCATGGTTGGGGAGTATTGGTAGGTACAGTGTTCATGTTAAAGGTGCACTGCATCTGGTCAGCCATACATGCACCTTTTCTTTCACTCCAACATGCTCCTTTTTTTTTAATCCATACATGCTCCTTCTTTTTCCCCTGCTCCTCCTGCTCCTGCTTTCTGTTCTACATGAACCGTTATTCTTCCCACATCCCTCTTCTCTCCCCCACCAGGCATGCTCGACGCTCTAGCAGAGATGGGCCTGAACGCCTCTCAGCTAGCCGACCTGCTAATGGCCGGGGCATCAGCAAGAGATGCACTGCATCTGGTCAACCGCGTGTTGGACCTGGCGAAGCTGGAGGCAGGCAAGGCGGTGGTGGATGAGACGGTGATTGACGTGAGGGAGTGGCTTCATGGGGCATTGGAGTGGCACGCGGAGGAAGCACGTTCTAAAGGCATTGAATGTAAGTGTAAGGCGTTGACAGGCATTGAATGTGAGTGCACAAGACATTGTTGGAGGCAGGCAAGGCGATGGTGGATGAGACGGTGATTGAAGTAGATATGAGGCTTAGTTGGGTGCAGTACATGCATGTAACTGCTCATGACTGCTCAAGGATAGAGCGCTGTCACATTAGTTGTTCTTCTGCATTGTTCAATCAACAAGCCTTCCGCGCCTTATGAACCTTTCCATGAAAGGAGCTGAAAGGCAGGCCTTACGCGCCTTACGCCTTACACATTGTTCAATCAACAAGCCTTGAGCGTCTCGCCTCATTCCAGTGGCTGAATGGGTTCTTTGAATGCGTCTCATTCCGATGGTGTGTGTTTGCCCATGGTATCATGACCTACCTGATTCTCGCGATCGTGCGTTGGAAACTTCCACCCTCCTTCCTCCCCATGCAGTGAGTGGCATTGTGAGTGACGGCTGCCCCACGCATGTGATTGCAGACCCCATGCACCTCACCACCATGGTCAAGGAGATCACAGGTGAGCTCAAGGCTGGTGGTGGTGTGGTGTGGTGTGGATGATGGTAAGTGTGTGGGGTGATGTGTGTGATCCACACCACACTCTACAGCGCATGTGATTGCAGACCCCATGCACCTCACCACCATGGTCAAGGAGATCACAGGTGGGCTCAACTCAAGGCTGTGTTTAGAGTGTGGTGTGGATGGTGGTAAGTGGGTGGGGTGGGGTGATGTGTGTGATTGCAACTGCCCCACGCATGTGATTGCAGACCCCATGCACCTCACCACCATGGTCAAGGAGATCACAGGTGAGCCCCAGGCTGAGGCTGTGTGTGAGTGAGTGGTGTGTGGGGTGATGTGTGTGATGGTGACTGCCCCACGCATGTGAGTGTGTACCCCATGCACCTCACCAGCATGGTCAAAGAGATCACAGGTGAGTGGTAGCGGGTGGATGATGGTAAATGGATGGGGTGATGTGGGCAACACCTGCCCTCACGCATGTGATTGCAGACCCCTTGCACCGCACCAACACGGTCAAAGAGATCACAGGTGCACCCCAGGTTGAGGCTGTGCGTGCATAGTGGGTGGAATGATGTGTGTGAGTGGTGACAGCCCCACGCATATGATGTGATGTGATTGTCATTGTGTGAGTACGATCAACCCCATGCATCTAAGGTAACAGCCCATGCACCTCATGGGGTGATGTGAGTCATGGTAACAACCCCACGCACCTCATGGGGTGATGTGAGTCATGGTAACAACCCCACGCTCTTGTTCTTGTTCAACGTGCTCCTGTTCAACGTGCTCTTGTTCAAGATTTACCTCCTTCGCTTCTCACATGTTCCACTTCTGGTTACCCCTTATGCTAACCGCTTCCTCATTTCCGTTTCAGACAACGCGGTCAAGTTCACGACACAAGGCCACGTGACAGTGCGAGTGACCCTGGTGCCGCAAGGGACAAGCTTGCACGACACCCTTTGTTGCCAGGGTAAGGTTGCCATCCTCTCTTTTTTATCACCTACCCTCCGCCCCGCTCTTTGGTTTTCACCCTCCCTCCTCTTTCCCCCACACCATTCCCTACCTCCTCCACCAGCGTTACTTCCTTCTCTTCCCCTCTCCAAATTCCCCTGTTTTTTTGCAGGCCTTCCCCCAGCAGCTCCTCAAGCGGCCGCTGCTAACACTGCCTATTGGCCGTCCACCTGGCTTTGTTCGAGATGGGAATGCTTGATTGAGGCTGTGAGGGGGGCGCCAGTTGCATCTGCAGCGGGAGCAGTAGCAGCAGCAGCAGCAGCAGCAGCAGCAGCAACAGCAGCAGCAGCAGCAGGCAGTGCAAGGGGCGAGGGCGGGCATGAAAGACGGCATGGGAGTCAAGACAGGAAACATATTCAAAAACCAGACAGGGGGCGTGGGAGACGACAGCATGGGACAGGCCATGGCATAGGGCGTGGGAGTGGGCAAGGGAGGGGTGGAGAGCGGTGGATGCTGGTGCTGTCGTGCCAAGACTCGGGCTGTGGCCTCCCAGCGTCTCTCCACACAGCAAGTGGCACTGAAGGGCCTTCCTACTTCTCCCTCCTCGTGAGATTTCAAAAATTCTCTCTCTTGATGAGACTCCTACTTCTCTCTTGATGAAGTGTCTCTCTCATCAAGAGAGTGGCACTGAAGGGCCTTCCTACTTCTCCCTCCTCCACTTCTCTTTCGACTCCATTTCTGTTGAGACTCGGACCGCAGCCTCCCAGTGTCTCTCCACACTGGGTTTTTTTTCAAAATTCTCAAACAAAACTCTCCACACAGCGAGTGGCGTTGGACAGCCTTCTTGCTTCTCCCACCTCGTGAGCCCTGTTTGTTACTCTCCCTCCTCGTGAGCCCTGTTTGTTACTCTCCCTCCTCGTGAGCCCTGTTTGTTACTCTCCCTCCTCGTGAGCCCTGTTTGTTACTCTCCCACCTCGTGAGCCCTGTTTGTTACTCTCCCACCTCGTGAGCCCTGTTTGTTACTCTCCCACCTCGTGAGCCCTGTTTGTTACTCTCCCACCTCGTGAGCCCTGTTTGTTACTCTCCCACCTCGTGAGCCCTGTTTGTTACTCTCCCTCCTCGTGAGCCCTGTTTGTTACTCTCCCACCTCGTGAGCCCTGTTTGTTACTCTCCCACCTCGTGAGCCCTGTTTGTTACTCTCCCACCTCGTGAGCCCTGTTTGTTACTCTCCCACCTCGTGAGCCCTGTTTGTTACTCTCCCTCCTCGTGAGCCCTGTTTGTTACTCTCCCTCCTCGTGAGCCCTGTTTGTTACTCTCCCTCCTCGTGAGCCCTGTTTGTTACTCTCCCACCTCGTGAGCCCTGTTTGTTACTCTCCCACCTCGTGAGCCCTGTTTGTTACTCTCCCACCTCGTGAGCCCTGTTTGTTACTCTCCCACCTCGTGAGCCCTGTTTGTTACTCTCCCACCTCGTGAGCCCTGTTTGTTACTCTCCCACCTCGTGAGCCCTGTTTGTTACTCTCCCACCTCGTGAGCCCTGTTTGTTACTCTCCCACCTCGTGAGCCCTGTTTGTTACTCTCCCACCTCGTGAGCCCTGTTTGTTACTCTCCCTTCTTGTGAGCCTTGATCACTTCAAAAATCACTTTCTACTCCAATCAGTCTTCTTACTCCAGCCCTCCACTCCAGCCCTCCACTCCAGCCCTCCACTCCAGCCCTCCACTCCAATCTCCCACTTGGCCCCTCCCCCATACATCCAACTCTTTGACACGTCTGTCTTCACTCTTCCAGGAGTCGCGGGAGCAAAGGGAGGCGAGGCGTGGGTCAGGGGCAGCCCTCGGGCTCACTTTTGAGAATTCTCAAAAGTGATTTTCATACACCCCTCTCTTTGACATGTATGTCTTTACTCTTCCAGGAATCGCGGGAGCAAAGGGAGGCGAGGAGTGGGTCAGGGGCAGCCCTCGGGCTCGTGTTGGTGCAGCAAACGGTGAGTCCCGTGAGCCCATCAGACACCTTTTAATTCCTCTCATCAGCAAACTAGAGAGAGGCGAGGAGCGGGTCAGGGGCAGCCCTCGGGCTCGTGTTGGTGCAGCAAACGGTGAGTCCCGTGAGCCCATCAGACACCTTTTAATTCCTCTCATCAGCAAACTAGAGAGAGGCGAGGAGCGGGACAGGGGCAGCCCTCGGGCTCGTGTTGGTGCAGCAAACGGTGAGTCCCGTGAGCCCATCAGACACCTTTTAATTCCTCTCATCAGCAAACTAGAGAGAGGCGAGGAGCGGGTCAGGGGCAGCCCTCGGGCTCGTGTTGGTGCAGCAAACGGTGAGTCCCGTGAGCCCATCAGACACCTTTTAATTCCTCTCATCAGCAAACTAGAGAGAGGCGAGGAGCGGGACAGGGGCAGCCCTCGGGCTCGTGTTGGTGCAGCAAACGGTGAGTCCCGTGAGCCCATCAGACACCTTTTAATTCCTCTCATCAGCAAACTAGAGAGAGGCGAGGAGCGGGACAGGGGCAGCCCTCGGGCTCGTGTTGGTGCAGCAAACGGTGAGTCCCGTGAGCCCATCAGACACCTTTTAATTCCTCTCATCAGCAAACTAGAGAGAGGCGAGGAGCGGGTCAGGGGCAGCCCTCGGGCTCGTGTTGGTGCAGCAAACGGTGAGTCCCGTGAGCCCATCAGACACCTTTTAATTCCTCTCATCAGCAAACTAGAGAGAGGCGAGGAGCGGGTCAGGGGCAGCCCTCGGGCTCGTGTTGGTGCAGCAAACGGTGAGTCCCGTGAGCCCATCAGACACCTTTTAATTCCTCTCATCAGCAAACTAGAGAGAGGCGAGGAGCGGGTCAGGGGCAGCCCTCGGGCTCGTGTTGGTGCAGCAAACGGTGAGTCCCGTGAGCCCATCAGACACCTTTTAATTCCTCTCATCAGCAAACTAGAGAGAGGCGAGGAGCGGGTCAGGGGCAGCCCTCGGGCTCGTGTTGGTGCAGCAAACGGTGAGTCCCGTGAGCCCATCAGACACCTTTTAATTCCTCTCATCAGCAAACTAGAGAGAGGCGAGGAGCGGGTCAGGGGCAGCCCTCGGGCTCGTGTTGGCGCAGCAAACGGTGAGTCCCGTGAGCCCATCAGACACCTTTTAATTCCTCTCATCAGCAAACTAGAGAGAGGCGAGGAGCGGGTCAGGGGCAGCCCTCGGGCTCGTGTTGGTGCAGCAAACGGTGAGTCCCGTGAGCCCATCAGACACCTTTTAATTCCTCTCATCAGCAAACTAGAGAGAGGCGAGGAGCGGGTCAGGGGCAGCCCTCGGGCTCGTGTTGGTGCAGCAAACGGTGAGTCCCGTGAGCCCATCAGACACCTTTTAATTCCTCTCATCAGCAAACTAGAGAGAGGCGAGGAGCGGGACAGGGGCAGCCCTCGGGCTCGTGTTGGTGCAGCAAACGGTGAGTCCCGTGAGCCCATCAGACACCTTTTAATTCCTCTCATCAGCAAACTAGAGAGAGGCGAGGAGCGGGTCAGGGGCAGCCCTCGGGCTCGTGTTGGTGCAGCAAACGGTGAGTCCCGTGAGCCCATCAGACACCTTTTAATTCCTCTCATCAGCAAACTAGAGAGAGGCGAGGAGCAGGACAGGGGCAGCCCTCGGGCTCGTGTTGGTGCAGCAAACGGTGAGTCCCGTGAGCCCATCAGACACCTTTTAATTCCTCTCATCAGCAAACTAGAGAGAGGCGAGGAGCGGGACAGGGGCAGCCCTCGGGCTCGTGTTGGTGCAGCAAACGGTGAGTCCCGTGAGCCCATCAGACACCTTTTAATTCCTCTCATCAGCAAACTAGAGAGAGGCGAGGAGCGGGTCAGGGGCAGCCCTCGGGCTCGTGTTGGTGCAGCAAACGGTGAGTCCCGTGAGCCCATCAGACACCTTTTAATTCCTCTCATCAGCAAACTAGAGAGAGGCGAGGAGCGGGTCAGGGGCAGCCCTCGGGCTCGTGTCGGTGCAGCAAACGGTGAGTCCCGTGAGCCCATCAGACACCTTTTAATTCCTCTCATCAGCAAACTAGAGAGAGGCGAGGAGCGGGTCAGGGGCAGCCCTCGGGCTCGTGTTGGTGCAGCAAACGGTGAGTCCCGTGAGCCCATCAGACACCTTTTAATTCCTCTCATCAGCAAACTAGAGAGAGGCGAGGAGCGGGTCAGGGGCAGCCCTCGGGCTCGTGTTGGTGCAGCAAACGGTGAGTCCCGTGAGCCCATCAGACACCTTTTAATTCCTCTCATCAGCAAACTAGAGAGAGGCGAGGAGCGGGTCAGGGGCAGCCCTCGGGCTCGTGTTGGCGCAGCAAACGGTGAGTCCCGTGAGCCCATCAGACACCTTTTAATTCCTCTCATCAGCAAACTAGAGAGAGGCGAGGAGCGGGTCAGGGGCAGCCCTCGGGCTCGTGTTGGTGCAGCAAACGGTGAGTCCCGTGAGCCCATCAGACACCTTTTAATTCCTCTCATCAGCAAACTAGAGAGAGGCGAGGAGCGGGTCAGGGGCAGCCCTCGGGCTCGTGTTGGTGCAGCAAACGGTGAGTCCCGTGAGCCCATCAGACACCTTTTAATTCCTCTCATCAGCAAACTAGAGAGAGGCGAGGAGCGGGACAGGGGCAGCCCTCGGGCTCGTGTTGGTGCAGCAAACGGTGAGTCCCGTGAGCCCATCAGACACCTTTTAATTCCTCTCATCAGCAAACTAGAGAGAGGCGAGGAGCGGGTCAGGGGCAGCCCTCGGGCTCGTGTTGGTGCAGCAAACGGTGAGTCCCGTGAGCCCATCAGACACCTTTTAATTCCTCTCATCAGCAAACTAGAGAGAGGCGAGGAGCGGGACAGGGGCAGCCCTCGGGCTCGTGTTGGTGCAGCAAACGGTGAGTCCCGTGAGCCCATCAGACACCTTTTAATTCCTCTCATCAGCAAACTAGAGAGAGGCGAGGAGCGGGACAGGGGCAGCCCTCGGGCTCGTGTTGGTGCAGCAAACGGTGAGTCCCGTGAGCCCATCAGACACCTTTTAATTCCTCTCATCAGCAAACTAGAGAGAGGCGAGGAGCGGGTCAGGGGCAGCCCTCGGGCTCGTGTTGGTGCAGCAAACGGTGAGTCCCGTGAGCCCATCAGACACCTTTTAATTCCTCTCATCAGCAAACTAGAGAGAGGCGAGGAGCGGGTCAGGGGCAGCCCTCGGGCTCGTGTTGGTGCAGCAAACGGTGAGTCCCGTGAGCCCATCAGACACCTTTTAATTCCTCTCATCAGCAAACTAGAGAGAGGCGAGGAGCGGGTCAGGGGCAGCCCTCGGGCTCGTGTTGGTGCAGCAAACGGTGAGTCCCGTGAGCCCATCAGACACCTTTTAATTCCTCTCATCAGCAAACTAGAGAGAGGCGAGGAGCGGGTCAGGGGCAGCCCTCGGGCTCGTGTTGGTGCAGCAAACGGTGAGTCCCGTGAGCCCATCAGACACCTTTTAATTCCTCTCATCAGCAAACTAGAGAGAGGCGAGGAGCGGGACAGGGGCAGCCCTCGGGCTCGTGTTGGTGCAGCAAACGGTGAGTCCCGTGAGCCCATCAGACACCTTTTAATTCCTCTCATCAGCAAACTAGAGAGAGGCGAGGAGCGGGTCAGGGGCAGCCCTAGGGCTCGTGTTGGTGCAGCAAACGGTGAGTCCCGTGAGCCCATCAGACACCTTTTAATTCCTCTCATCAGCAAACTAGAGAGAGGCGAGGAGCGGGACAGGGGCAGCCCTCGGGCTCGTGTTGGTGCAGCAAACGGTGAGTCCCGTGAGCCCATCAGACACCTTTTAATTCCTCTCATCAGCAAACTAGAGAGAGGCGAGGATCGGGACAGGGGCAGCCCTCGGGCTCGTGTTGGTGCAGCAAACGGTGAGTCCCGTGAGCCCATCAGACACCTTTTAATTCCTCTCATCAGCAAACTAGAGAGAGGCGAGGAGCGGGTCAGGGGCAGCCCTCGGGCTCGTGTCGGTGCAGCAAACGGTGAGTCCCGTGAGCCCATCAGACACCTTTTAATTCCTCTCATCAGCAAACTAGAGAGAGGCGAGGAGCGGGACAGGGGCAGCCCTCGGGCTCGTGTTGGTGCAGCAAACGGTGAGTCCCGTGAGCCCATCAGACACCTTTTAATTCCTCTCATCAGCAAACTAGAGAGAGGCGAGGAGCGGGTCAGGGGCAGCCCTCGGGCTCGTGTTGGTGCAGCAAACGGTGAGTCCCGTGAGCCCATCAGACACCTTTTAATTCCTCTCATCAGCAAACTAGAGAGAGGCGAGGAGCGGGTCAGGGGCAGCCCTCGGGCTCGTGTTGGTGCAGCAAACGGTGAGTCCCGTGAGCCCATCAGACACCTTTTAATTCCTCTCATCAGCAAACTAGAGAGAGGCGAGGAGCGGGTCAGGGGCAGCCCTCGGGCTCGTGTTGGTGCAGCAAACGGTGAGTCCCGTGAGCCCATCAGAGACCTTTTAATTCCTCTCATCAGCAAACTAGAGAGAGGCGAGGAGCGGGACAGGGGCAGCCCTCGGGCTCGTGTTGGTGCAGCAAACGGTGAGTCCCGTGAGCCCATCAGACACCTTATAATTCCTCTCATCAGCAAACTAGAGAGAGGCGAGGAGCGGGTCAGGGGCAGCCCTCGGGCTCGTGTTGGTGCAGCAAACGGTGAGTCCCGTGAGCCCATCAGACACCTTTTAATTCATCTCATCAGCAAACTAGAGAGAGGCGAGGAGCGGGTCAGGGGCAGCCCTCGGGCTCGTGTTGGTGCAGCAAACGGTGAAACCCTCAAACACCTTTTCACTCCTCTCATTCTCACTGTCTTGCCAACCCCGTGTTGCTGCTGCTGCTGCTTCTCAATCCTCGGCCTGGTTTTCAATGACAGGAACATGCCTTTTCATTCCTCATTCTCACTGTCTTGTCAACCCCGTGTTGCTGCTACTGCTGCAGCTGCTGCTACTGCTACTGCTACTGCTGCAGCTGCTGCTACTGCTGCTGCTGCCGCCGCCGCCGCCCCCACCGCTGCTGCTGCTTCTCAATCCTCGGCCTGGTTTTCAATGACAGGAACATGCCTTTTCATTCCTCATTCTCACTGTCTTGCCATCTCCGTGCTGTTGCTGCTGCTGCTGCTGCTGCTGCTGCTGCTGCTGCTGCTGCTGCTGCTGCTGCTGCTGCTGCTGCTGCTGCTGCTGCTGCTGCTGCTGCTGCTGCTGCTGCTGCTGCTGCTGCTGCTGCTGCTGCTGCTGCTGCTGCTGCTGCTGCTGCTGCTGCTGCTGCTGCTGCTGCTGCTGCTGCTACTGCTGCAGCTGCCGCCGCCGCCACCGCCGCCACTGCTGCTGCTTCTCAATCCTAGGTCTGGTATCAATTATGGAAACATGCCTTTTCATCTCCCTCCTCCCCACTCACCCCCAGGTGACTCTAATGAAGGGAGAGCTCGCCTTTGACTCAGTGCCTGGGTGTGGCAGCACAGTTGCTTTCTGTGTGCCTGTAGCCATGCCCTCGTTACAAGAACATTGCCTAGAGGAACTGCAGTCAAACATCGAGGAACAACAGCAGCAAGGGGAGGCCGTATGGCATGGTGAGAGGCAAAGGAGCAGGTCAGGAGGTTTTTCAGGTGCTTGCAGCAGATGGCAGCTGCAGCAGCACAGCCAGGAGATTGATCAGGTGGCTCAACAAAGCCCGAAGCAACAGCAGCAACAGGGAGCGAGAGCCTTTCGGGAACACCAGAGCGAGAGCGAGGAATCGAGTGTGAGTGCGGGTGTGAGTGCGAGTGTGAGTGAAAATGGGAGTGTGAGTGGGGGTGTGAGTGGGAGCGGGAGTGCAGGCACGCTTACTGAAGCAGGTGCCTGTGCAGGTGCCTGTGCTGGTGGTGCTGCTGGTGCAGCGGCAGATGAGGCAGTGACGCGGGCGTGGGTGGGGGGGCTGCGAGTGCTAGTGGTGGACGACACGCCCGTCAACCTCCTCGTGGCCCGCCGCTCCCTCGCCCGCTGGGGCGCCATCGTCACTACCGCCAACCACGGGCAACAAGCAGTGGAGTTGATCGCTGCTGGCTTGCACGAGAGCTCCCTTGCCCGCTGGGGCGCTCGAGTCACCACCGCCAACCACGGGCAACAGGCTGTTGAGTTGATCGCTGCTGACCTCGTCTCCAACGCCGCCCACGAGGAGGAGGAGAGAGGGCAGGAAACACTTGGGGAGGAGGGGCCGAGAGAGCAGCAGGAGGCGAGAGTGCAACAGGAGGCGAGAGGACAACAGGAGGCGAGAAAGCAGAATGATGCAAGAGATCAGGAGAAGGATAGAGGGGAGGAGGGGGCGTGTGGGCAGCAGAAGGATAGAGGGCTGCAGGGGGCGGGAGGGCAGGAGGAGGGGGGTGCATCATTGCAGCATGGCTTCGACCTGATTCTCATGGACCTGCAGATGCCAGGGATGGACGGGTGAGTGGTGTTGAGTGGTGCGCATGGATGGGTAGGTCTTGAATGTGGGTGATTCATGAGAGCGAGTACTTATGCTCCTCCCTTCCTCCTGTTCCTCCCTTCCATTCTGTTCCCACTTCCTCCCTTCCATCCGTTCCTCCATTGCCGTGGCAGATTCGCAGCAGCAACATCTATACGAGCGCTCGAGAGGAGAGTGGAGTTTGAATCCATTTCACGGGCACAGCAGTTGCAGCAGCAGCGGCAGCAGCAAACCCCTTCAGATCTGCCCGTCCCACCCCTCATATTTTCAAACCCTGCTGCCGCCGCCGCCGTTGCTGCTGCTCCTGCTGCTTCTGCTCCTGCTGGTTCTACAACTGCTGCTGCTGCTGCCCGGCCAGTCTCTCTGCGGGTGCCCATAGTGGCTCTGACGGCAGACGTGGATCGCGAAGTGGTGCAGAGGTGTGCAGAGGGGGGGTTTGACGGTGTGCTGCAGAAGCCAGTGGATGCCCACCTGCTCGCCGCCCACCTCTCCCAAATGCACCCCCAGAGGTTCTTCCCGCGGGCCGTGTCACACCCCACTGTCAGTCGAACCATAAACAGACACGACAGATGCAGCAGTCAATAATCCGGCAGTCAGTAATGCGGCAGTTAATCATCCCGCAGTCGATATTGTTCAAGAAAGCTCGCAACACACTTGGGTTGTTTCATTACATCCTCAAAGGAATCCCACACTCCCACTACTAACACGCACACACGCCACGTGTGATGTTTGCACGGCTCGAAGCCCTCTAACAATGCTTCAATGTGATGTGCCCTCCAACAGATATTGTCGAGAGGATACTTAGCGGAAGTGGGTAACTGAGAATGTCGAGAATGCCGCAAGGGGTTGTACTCTCTAGAGAGTACCTCACTACAGCCTAGCATAACTAACAACTATATAAATATAATTTGACACACCCCCATATGCTAAATGAGGGGCATCAAAACGAGCAAGAGAGACAAGCGGTCACAAGACCAGGCAAGGAAAGCAACAAGGTAAGCCAAGCAACTTAGGGTAGTACGACTAGCCAGCCTGTGACACAAACGGCCACAAGGCAAGTTGAAAGGTTCACAAATATATTTATAGCAAAATAAGCAGAGCGAGAAACAAGAGACAAGTCCACAGCAAACGGGGGTCAGTCTGAACAAGGCCAAACTGTAAGCAAAACATGTGGTGGTCACCAAGCGGAAGGGCCTTGGTGAAGATGATGTTTGCAGTATTGGGCGCTGAGGCCACAAAGGCCAAGTATGTCTGGCCGCGTCGCTGCAGCTCTCGCAGAAGGAAGTACAGCAAGTCGATGTGCTTCACTCTGCCCTCCAGTCGAGGCTCTTGACAAAGGAGGATCATGGCCTTGTTGTCAGCGAACAAGGACGGTGCAGCCATGGCACCGGCGTAGATCTCGGCCTCAGCACTGGAAGAAGTCACAGACGACGACCGAGTAGACCTCTGTTAGAATAAGCAGGCAGTACCCATGAGTAGACCTGCAGGTCCCCAAGTCGTCGGCGTAGGACGAGTCGCAGTGCCCGGTCACTACTACTGGCTCTCTCCCTCCAAGCACAAGCCCCATCCCTGATCTGATCGCAAGGTACTTCCCTACCCTCACAGCAGCCGCCTAGTGAACAGGGCGGTGTCTTCCAATCGCAACAAAGCGAGCGAAGATGTTGAGAGAATAAACGAGGTCCAGACGAGTACACGTAATTTGATACATGAGGCGACCCACAAGCTCTGTGTAGGGACCACTAGACTCAAAAGGCTCGTCTGGAAGAGGAGCAGTGAGTCCGTGGTCAACGGCAAGAGGAGTGGGTTGTGTGGTGGAGATCTGAAGTTTGAACCGCTGAAGGACCTGCTGCACCATGTGTGACTGAGTCAGTGTGACAGTGCGAGCGGCTCTGTCCGTGGTGATCGTGTCAGATTACAATTGTATCTCTAGGCTACAGTAGGGTCACTCCTTAGTGAGTACAACACTTTAGGGTTAGGTTTCCCCTACTTGTACTCACCTCTTGCCTAGTCCAATCCATCATTCCTAGTTGTATTCTTGACCTGTTATCAGAGTAGGAACCGTTCCTACATGGGCCCACCGTTCCGCCTAGTGGTAGCGCCACGCCCTACACAGTAGCCAGCGCGCTGGCGCCCCTAGCTCTCACTGTCGCGACCCTTGCAGCCCGTGCGCTGCCCCTGCGACCGCGCTGCCCCTGCAGCCGTGCTCGCCCCTACGACCGTGCTGCCCCTTGCAGCCGTGCTCGCCCCTGCTACCGTGCTGCCCCTGCAGCCGCGCCTGCCCCTGTGGCCCGCGCGCTGCTCCTCCAGCCCGTACGCTGCCCCTGCAGCCGCGCGTCGTCTCTGCAGCCAGCCCGCGCGCCGCCTGTGCAGCCCGTCCTCGCGGACCCTGCAGCCCGCGCGTCGCCCCTGGAGCCCGCGCGCCGCCTCTGCAGCCCGTCCTCGCGGACCCTGCAGCCCGCGCGTCGCCCCTGGAGCCCGCGCGCCGCCTCTGCAGCACGTCCTCGCGGACCCTGCAGCCCGCGCGTCGCCCCTGGAGCCCGCGCGCCGCCTCTGCAGCCCGTCCGCGCGGCCCCTGCAGCCCATACGAGCTGCCTTTGCAGCCAGCGCGGCGCCCCTGCAGCCCGCGCGTCCTGCCCCTGCAACCTGCGCCAGCGCCCTGCCCTGCGCGCGCTGACGCCCTGCCCTGCGCCAGCGCCCTGCCCTGCGCCCGCGCCCTGCCCTGCGCCAGCGCCCTGCCCTGCGCCAGCGCCCTGCTATACCCTAAATATAATTAAATTGTTTATTAAAAAAAAAAAAAAAAAAAAAAAAAAGACCCTAGGTGCTTCTGCCCTAGGAGCTACTGCCTACTACTGCCCTGCTGTGGCCGCGCGCCGCCCTGCTGCTGTTACTACTGCTGCTGCTCCTACTCGTGCTACTGGGAGTGGAGGAGGTGCTGCTGGGAGTGCAGGAGGTGCTGCTGGCGCTGTAGGAGCTGGAGGTGCTGGACCTACTCCTGACCGTCACTGTCTGTCATGGCCACTTCCGCGGCAGTTGCTGCGGCCAGGGGTGGACAGCAGCGGGCACTGCTTCTCCCAGACAACCCCACCCCTCAGCAGCTTCGTGAGTGGGTTATTCAGCGAGGTCGTCCTGGTGGTGGAGGTTATCGTTTTGTTAGGACTGCTGCTCTTGGTGTTAGTGAGTCTGCTGCCGCTCCAGGTGCTAGTGAGTCTGCTGCAGCTCTAGGTGCCCGTGAGTCTACCGACGCTCTAGGTGCTAGTGCGTCTACTACCACAGGTCCTGCCTCAGCTGAGGTCTTGCACACTTTCACGCTTGACTCCGGCGCGTCACGTTGCTTCTTCCGTGATTGCACCACAGTCACACCACTCACAGCACCTGTCCCAGTCTCACTGGCTGACCCCTCTGGGGGCCCAGTGGTTGCGAGAGCCTCCACGGTCCTCCCTTGTCCAGCAGTCCCCTCTGGTTCTTTGTCAGGTCTCCACCTCCCCACGTTCTCGACGAACTTGGTGAGCAACGCTGCCATTCAGGATGTCTGGGTTGATACCTTTATTCCTGGAGGGCAGCGTGTGGCGATCTGTACGTGCTCCCGGACTGGCCGTCACCTGGCTACGTTCACTCGTCAGCCTGGGTCTAGTCTGTACACACTGACCACTGCGTCTGCACAGGTGGCTGAGTCAGGTCAGGTAGCTGCGTCGAGTCGAGCGTCTGCGTCAGGGCAGTTAGCTGCGTCTTGCTCGTGCAGAGTACTCACGCACGAGACTCAGCGCTGGCACCACCGTCTTGGTCACCCCTCCCTGCAGCGTCTGCGCGGCATGCACTCCCGGCTCCTGGTCTCTGGCCTCCCTGAGACCCTGCCCCCCCTCCCGCGCTCACTTGCGCCGCCGTGTCTTCCTTGCGTCGAGGGGAGGCAGCGCGCCGCTCCTCACTCCTCCGAGTTTCCTCCGACCACTGCTCCTCTGCAGACTCTCCACCTGGACGTGTGGGGCCCGGCCCCCGTCGGTGGGACGGACCAGGAGCGCTACTTCCTGCTGGTTGTTGACGACTACACACGCTACACCACAGTCTTCCCCTTGCGTCGCAAGGCGGACGTCAGCGGTGTTTTGATCCCTTGGATCCGTGCTACTCGTCTCCAGCTACACGAGCGCTTTCATCAGGACTTCCCAGTCCTGCGTCTGCACTCTGACAGGGGTGGTGAGTTCTCTTCTGGCGTCCTTGAGACGTTCTGCCAGGATGAGGGCATCGCCCAGTCGTTCACGCTTCCGGCCTCTTCGCAGCAAAATGGGATCGCTGAGCGTCGCATTGGCCTGATCATGGAGGTTGCTCGTACCTCCATGATCCATGCGGCTGCTCCCCATTTCCTATGGCCGTTTGCGGTCCGATACGCCGCGCATCAGCTCAACCTCTGGCCCCGTGTCTCTGCTCCAGAGACCTCGCCCACACTTCGTTGGACGGGACAGCCTGGTGATGTGTCGTCGTTTCGGGTCTGGGGCGCGCTCTCCCTTGTTTGCGATACCAAAGCGAGCAAGCTCTCTCCTCGCACTCTCCGCTGTGTCTTCCTGGGCTTCCCCACCGACGCTCCACCCTGGCAGTTCTACCACCCTGCCTCGCGTCGTGTTCTGTCCTCTCAGGACGTCACCTTCGACGAGTCGGTCTGTTACTACCGACTTCACCCGCACGCGTCCCACCCGGTCCCCCTTGCACCCCTCTTCCTGGTACCAGTCCCCCCCCCCCGGTAGACCCCCTCCCCCCACAGGGTCCTGCTCCCTCAGGTGTGTCCCAGGTAGACCCACCCCCCTTGGATGAGCCAGTTGAGATCTCTTCTGACTCCTCTGACTCACCTGAGGGGGGTGACGCCGTCGCCGACGACACGGCGACCACTCGCCACACTCCTCGCTTGGCGACCCCCCCGGGTTTCCCGCCACGGCCGTCTTCGCCGCCTCCGCAGCCTGCTGCTGTGGACTCTGGAGCTGAGACTACTGGAGCTGGGG